TCACTCACTGCAGGTACTACTCAGAAGACTTTGACGCAGACTCGCTCCACGGAAGAACGAAAGGGATGAACTTATAGCTGAGGAAGTGGATGTTTGGTTTGAAGTCGAGAGAGTTGCGCTAGGTCGTCTACTAAGGTGTGTTATTCTCATGTTCTCTTCACAGCTTCAAGCAAACGTGCTGTGCAGGCGAAGCGCCCAGGACCGTGACTTGTGCCACGTGCATCTTCTGATTATTTATATATCTTGATAGTCATGACCTGCTGGCAGCTGCACGATCCATCATTTTCTTCACGATTTCCTGCCAGCCTGTCTATTTCGCATCGACCTCACAGCCTCAGAACAGCGCAACATCTTGCCATGTCTGTATTCCTCCAAGGTCTAGTATAGGCAATGACGGTAAATGACAGTTCCAGCTATCAAGAGGAGCGAATGGGATGCCAACCCTAGCCAGCAACCTCTGCTGGGGCAAAATAAGCTACAACGCTTGTCTAGCCACGATAATTCTTGTGTGCATCCGCAATGCACTACAGACATCAAGGGGTTCTCATATATCCCTAGTACGCTCGATTTTTTTTGACGATTGTCCTCCTTGACCATCCACATGGAGTTGATTGATGTGTGTCAGATTGTACACGTCAGCTAACTCCATGAAATGATCATTGCTTCTTGAACATTGTGTCCTATGAGACCCAGAGATTATTGTGCTAGTTATCCTGTATAAAATCGATCTCCAAAGAAGCTACGCAATATCTAATTTCTAAACCTACTTGTGTACACCACCCGCCAGCCCATTCGGTACCTTCAACACATTCTCACAAAGCACCGAGTCTCCTTCTGTCGGCCTGCACGTTCCTCGAACTGCTCAAACAGCTCATGAACCGTCCTTCGGGGCCGGCAGAAGCGATCCCCATACTGCCGGAAAATCAAGGCATTGTCCTGGAAAATGAGATCGTAGGCCATGGTCAAACACGGATGGCCCGAGTTGACAACATAGCTTTGGCAATGCAGTGTCGATTGACGAATGGTGCATTGAACGGTATGGGGTGACTATTGACAGTGAGTAAGCAGGTTCTGCCCGAGATCACCAAGCCTACCAAAAACTGTTGTTCTGCCGAGTGCTCTAGCAATAGCATATTCTCGCTTTGATATCAAGCAATATCACACAGGAGATGAACAGAGACGCAAGATTTAGACCTGTTCGATAGCAGTCAAAACATGGCATATAGTTTAGATCACCTGTTCGTGAATAAATACCTGAACACGCTCCAGTCACGGACGAGGAGTAAATACGACTACGCACATGATTGAGTACAAGACTTGCCATCTTCCCTATATGAAGCAAACATCACAAGGTCGCTGTTGATAAAACAATCGAGGTCGCAAGAAAATTCTGGGTTCAATTGGGTCTCTTCGTGGAAGATCAGGATCTGCTAAGTGTAGAGCGTTAAGCAGACACCACTTACTAAATATTGGCAGGCACTAAGCATTCTGTTGAGATGAAGTGACCGCTATAGATACGTCTTGCCAAGCAACATGCTTGACGGCTGTACATCTTTGATATGAGAGCCAAAACACCGCCATAGGTGGGTGATTATTGTTTGACAAACCAGTGCGCCTGGCTTACTGAGGTATTAGCTATCGCTCGCTTGGTAGGCGGCATATTATTGTCTGGAAACTCATTATCAGCACCGCGTCACAGCATCTTCCAGTAGCATACATGATGCTTACCATCCAACTGGGATAGCTAGTTTTGAGTTAGGGAGAGTCGAGTTTCGAACAATGATGGGATCTGTTAGGCGTATGGTGTCAGTAAGTGGACGGAGAACATTCATATCGATGCGCCTACAGACACGCTCGACATGCTAGCTTAACGCCAAAACACATTGTGAGAAATTCCTGCGAAAACACAACTGGGCGAGCTAGCGACTATGGTGTTAAACTGGCTGTGGTGATGAACTAGGCATCTTGTTCAAGACAATCAGCTGGACCCCATGTACCAGTAGGACACGAACGAACCGATTCTGGTGCTGAAAGCAAGCGACACCTCTCATCTGGTCGCAACGTCGCTCGGCAAATATCTTCAGGTGTGCCAGTGTGGAATTGCACTACTCGAAGCCATTTTCTTTGTATGCGGAGAAGCGCTAGACTCGTAGTACCTTAGATGAAGTCGGAAACATGCGATGGATCTGTTTGGGACCCAGACGTTTGCTCGACCTACATGGGGCCGAGTGAATCCCTGAGGGTACTTGGAACGACTGAGGTGGGGTGCCCAGGCAGCCCAGGTCGATCTCAGCATAATCTTGAGCATTCACGGAGTCTGAGAACTGTGAATCCAACAGCAAGGGAGGAGAGTAGTACATACTGATGAGGTGGACCGCATTGTGAGTACCAATGATATGATCTCCTGCAGCCAGAGGAATAGCAGGTATGCATCGTCCGCGATTGGTGAACGGATGTTGCGTCCTAAGTATTCAAAGGTTCCCATTGCTCAGGAAGGAATGAATCTGTTCAGAACCAACCATATTGATCAACATCAACTCAGCAAGATGTCGTTGACAGTAGCTGTAGTTCCGTCATTTGTAGCCGCCGTCATTTGTGCCGTTGTTTTGGTGACAGTGTAGCTGAACCAGTCCGTGACGCCTGTTAAACGTTAGCATGGATCGGAATCGAGGTGCATGCTCAACTCCCTAGGCTGTCACGGTACAGCCTGGCAACTGATAATTTCACTCACCGGAGGCGGCAGCAGCCAAGAAGAATACAGCCAGAGGCCACTATACTGCGATACACGTATTCAACCTGCCAGGGAGAGAAGCGATCTATTGGCTCACCTTTGAATGGTCGATCGGGCCGGCTGCTTCTACCTCTAAGAGAATAGACCCTACATCCATCAAGAAATGTTATTGAATACCCTTGCAAGAGGTGGGAACCTTTCGGAGGGCACAACATTACAACGAGCTAAATATTGATCAATACAGCACGGTGCGATAGCGGAGATGTCTGCGTGTTTGCGATTAGAGATGGACCTGCCAACAATGTGTCATTGATCGCGTACGAAGAAAATAACGAATGAGAAGTACCGGCACAAGGGTCTGATCATCTGAGAGATGGGTATTACTACATCGCAGTCAGGGCATTGTAAAATGTTGTCTCAGTCACGCGCAAATACAGCACCGACATCCAGTTCTTAGGGAGAACTTGGCGGTCGCCGTCGTTTGTGCCGTTGTTGTGGCAGCGATGTAGCTGGAACGCTTTGATCCGTGCTGCCTATTGAACGTTAGCATGGATTGGAACCTAAAGGTGCGTACTCACCTCCCAGCTAGGCTGTACAGCCAGAGGCCACTATACTGCATTAAACGTATTCAACGTATCAGGGAGACGAGCGATATATTTGCTCACCTTTGAATGACCGATCAGGCCTGCTGCTTCCACCTCCAGACACCGGATGCATCAAGAAGTGAGAAAACACTTGAGGACGAATCATCCGCTGACACTGAGGTGTTGACCGCTGGTACAAACCCTGCCAAAAATGTAGACTATTCCCGAGTCTCGACCCAGAAGAAAACGGAACACATTCTATGTATAACACCACCTTTCGCTCACAAAGTGTCCGACACCATCTTCCACATCGACTTCTGACTCTTAGCCACTCCCTGGAATCGTCATTCTAACCGCTTCGTCACGACACTCGCAAGGCGCGGCACCATCGCGTGCAGGAACCGTGAGAGCGACATCATCAAGTCTGGTATCGTCGGTGAGTGCAATTGGCCGACACACGCGATGGGCGAGTCCCCGACATCCAGTTTGATCAGCTGCGAGTTGGTTGCAGACCCGCTTAACTATAGTTGTTGTTGTTTAGAGGCGTTGCTCTGAGCGTATCAAGCCCCACGTCCACGGGGAGGGAGACCCACCGCAGTTCATGGCAGCTCCTAACAAGAGTGTTTAAGGCACATAGGGACACTGGCGTGTTGCACGCCCGCAGACCAAGGATATTGAAGTTTGGGCACGAGCAAGCAAGCGTGAGGATGTCGGCGTCGTGGAGCGCGATGGACGTGACGGGAGAGATGATGAGAATCCTTAGGTGTTTGAGAGATGTAGGGTACACGAGGAGGAGTCGGAGGTCAAAGGATGAAGATTTGTAACAGGAAGATATGTCCCGGCGATAACTGTCGATGAGGATGATATGCTCTAGCTTTGCGCACATCCTCACATGAGATATGCAGGTGAGTAGGTGCGGGAAAGGACCGTGGTACATGGAGAGGGCCGGTGGGGATGCTTCTAGAGTTCAGCTTCAAGGTGAGCCATCAAAGGCGTGGGACCGGACGATGAGATGAAGCGGGTTGCTTGAGATATCACACCATCTGAACGACAGCTCTGTGAGACCCCTAGGATATCTGAACAAGAGGGACTCGATTTCCGAAAGGTTCGTCGGTTCGAGGTAGCCGCTGAACTCAAGAGCATTGAGGCGCGGGGCGGCAGTATGAAGGTCAGGGATGTTTGCCTTGCGGAATGGAGTGGATGCGAGGTCGATAGAAAGGGTCTCGAGAGTGGGTAGGAGGAGGCTGAGGGCCGGAACGGAGGTGAGACGTGTGTCGCACCATGTAAGCGGGCGCAGGCTGGGAAAGAGCAGGGCGTCTTTGGGCGCACTTGCAAGGAGGAGTGCATATGTAGTGTCACGGAACCTACTGTTGGCACAGGGATTAAAGAAGAACTAGATGCGTGCAGCATGAAGTACCAATGTGTGCAAGTACTTTTCGGTTTGGAAGGTTCCCATTTGCCAGTGTAAGGCAGAGCTTGGGCCAATCGTGTGAGAATAAAGGAGATTGAGTGCGACCTGTAGAACAGAGCGGCCTTGAGTGTACGGAGACGGTCCGAGTGTAGGGAATGATAGGCAATGTTTGAACCACGGTGTCGTCGTAGGAGCCGGTCATCCATCGGTCATCCCATTGTTCACTGAATACAAAATGGAATGAGTTCGGGGATCTCAGTCAGGCGAAGACAGCGGTGCATGTCAAGTACATGTACTAGTTTGATATGTTGTGTAGGAGGAAACAAATGTATGCGTAGGCCACTAGCGCTGAGGGTTGTAGCTATACACATTACCATGTAGAAGACGGACTTTACGGGTGGGCGTTTATCGATATCTGCGAGATATCCCAGAAGCAAGTGATGCAGATAAGCGATGGAGGAAGGTATTTTGGATAAGACGGATGCTGTAGATTTGATGATATTCCGAGGACCTACTCGTGATCTATAAGATGTAAGAGTATCATATGGCATGTACAATGAATTCAAGCGGATGTGTTCACCGATATCCAACGTCTCGTGCATGCTGCAAGGAGAACGATTAAAGCAGCCCCTACAAGGAACGACAAAGTACTTCAAAGCTTCAAAGCTTTATGGTCAGGATGTGATGACCCATGTCAAGGTCAGACCTAGGATTTCACGACGCGCGTCGCTCGTTATGACCGAGAATGTATTTTCTGTCAGAGTAAGCGAGCCACTTCACGCCCTTGAGAAAATTCATGGAACCGTGCACTGTCACGGTGCTGGGGGGGATTCAGCATGCAACAAACATAAGAACCCAGGCAGAAATATGTACAGACGCGAATTTTGCGGACATGTGCCCTCGTCACGGGGCGTGCATACAGTGTATGGATCATGCAAGTAGATCACGAAAAAAATTCGGTAAGTAACTGAATCTCAGTGCAACGCAAAGTTGCCGCACAGCATCAAAGTTTTACGTACAGACAGATTTGTTTGTCTTTGCTTGCCCAACAGCTTGTCCAATTATTCTTTGCTCACTGTCTCAAGACAATATCCATCGGTGTCGCAATTATGCAGGACGGCAGAGCCCCAAGGTTGCCCCATTAGCTTCTAGCATCATACAGATACTGACTTGCCACAACTTTCAGGATCAGAAATCGGGCGCCTGCCGCTGTCCAGGTTTGTTTCGTTGACATATGCGTCCGCATTCGTTGACTCTTGATATTCACTTTCGTAGATCACCGCAGAGCAGCTTCTACGAGAGGCAAGTCGTATTGAATCCCCGTCCCGCAGTATTCTGACGTCATTTTCCAGGCTCAAGAGCGTCAAGAATCTACCTTCCGCGCTCCCAAACAACGTGTTGAAGATTTCGAAGAACTCCACGAATATCGCGGCCGCAAGCGAAAAGAGTATGAAGAGCGGGTCAGAAGGACAAGAGGTAGCATGTGAGTGTGGTTTTTGATGATGGCGGTTCTCCTGCTGAACGTTGTATCAGCAAAGAATGGACTCAGTATGCAAACTGGGAGGTTTGTGGTTCAAATTCTTCGGTACATGGCGTGGTCTGATACACTTTTGTAACAGGCCAGCCAAAATGAATTCGACCGCTCTCGCTCTATCTTTGAACGTGCTTTGGACTGTGGATCCTCGAAGCATTCAGCTATGGCTCAGTTATACCGAAATGGAGCTCAAGTCCCGCAACGTCCAACATGCGCGTAATCTATTCGATCGCGCCGTGACGCTATTACCTCGAGTAGACCAGCTCTGGTACAAGTACGTTTACTTGGAAGAGCTCCTGCAAAATGTGCCCGGCGCCCGACAAGTCTTTGAGCGGTGGATGCAATGGGAACCGGATGACAAAGCTTGGCAGGCCTACATCAAGATGGAGGAACGGTATGACGAATCGGATAGGGCAAGTGTTATATATGAGCGATGGATAGCTGTGAGACCGGACCCGAGGGTATGGGTTAAATGGGCAAAGTTCGAAGGAGGAGCGGGGGAAGTTGGACAAGGCGAGAGAGGTGTTTCAAACTGCTCTCCAATTCTTCGGGGACGAGGAAGAGCAAGTGGAGAAGGCTCAAGCAGTTTTCAATGCGTTTGCCAAGATGGAAACTCGGTTGAAAGAGTATGAGCGTGCTCGAGTGATATACAAAGTACGTCATCGCGCGCATGCTCCGTTGGGCCTGCTAGTCTGACAGTCTAAATGATAGTTCGCACTATCACGTCTTCCACGATCAAAATCAGCAAATTTGTACGCAGCTTATACCAAATTCGAGAAGCAACACGGCACACGATCCATTGTAGAATCCACTGTGCTCGGTAAGCGAAGAATCCAGTACGAAGACGAGGTTACGCAGGACGGTCGAAATTATGACGTCTGGTTCGACTACGTTCGGTTGGAAGAAGCTGCCTTGCGAACCTTGCGAGAAGAAGGGGGCACCAAGGAAGAGGAGGATGCCGCCCTGGAGCGCGTACGAGACGTTTATGAGCGTGCTGTTGCACATGTACCTCCTGGACAAGAAAAGCGTCATTGGAGGCGGTATGTCTTCCTTTGGCTTGAGTATGCGTTGTTCGAGGAGATCGAAACCAAGGTCCTTTCATTCTCATACACCACTTGTCCGCCCTGACAATATTTTAAAGGACTATGACCGTGCACGTCAAGTATATCGCACCGCTCTGACTCTTGTGCCGCACAAGCAGTTTACTTTCGCGAAACTGTGGCTCATGGCTGCGAGATTTGAGATCAGACAGCTGGATTTAATGGCAGCGCGCAAAATGCTCGGGACCGCCATTGGCATGTGCCCGAAGGAGGCTTTATTCAAGGGTTATATTCAACTTGAGATGGATGTATGGCCTTTACTCTCTTTCTTGTCGACATGCTGATATCATGTTTAGCTGCGAGAATTTGATCGCGTGCGAACATTATACGAGAAGTATCTTGAGGTATGTCGCCGAAGGTCTTTTAATTCCCTAACAGTGATGTAACATTTTCCGCAGTACGATCCCACCAATTCAGCTGCATGGATTAAATACGCTGAACTCGAGACGGCTCTTGAGGACTTCACCCGTGCCGAAGCGATCTTTGAACTCGGGGTATCTCAACAATCATTATCGATGCCCGAAATCCTTTGGAAGGCGTATATCGACTTCGAAGTCGACGAGCAGGGCGATCGGGAGAAGACGAGAACACTCTACGAGCGCCTGGTGATCCTCAGTGGACACCACAAGGTGTGGATATCTTATGCTGAGTTCGAGGGGTCAAGCATTCCCCTACCCAGAGCTCTGCGAGAAGAAGAGGAAGACGAGGATGCTGAACCTCGTGTTGTCGCCGGTGATCCCGAACTGGCACGACAAATCTTTGAACGTGGTTACAAAGACTTGAAGATCAAGGGCCTAAAAGCCGAGGTATGTGCAGCAGCTTTATAGTTGGCTTGGAGCTGAACCGCTTTTATCACAGAGGGTTGCTTTACTTGAGTCATGGAAGGCATTTGAGCAAGAAAATGGCAGCGAGAACGATGTATCCAAGGTACAAGGCATGATGCCCATTGTCGGCAGGAAGCAACATGTCGACAAAGAGACCGGACAGGTGGTGGAAGGTCAGCGATCTACACCATATGTTGCACAGTTTCCTGACGCTTCTACCACAGATTGGGAACTTGTATTCGCCGACGACGAACGAGAAGCCAACCCGAGATCTTTCAAGTTCTTGCAGATGGCACATGCCTGGAAACATTCGCAGGCCAAGAAAACCGGAGGGCCTGGTATTCTTTCTGGTTTCACTCCTGCATCGTCGAGTACGCTTGAGTCTGCTCAGAATGATGATGTACGGATGGAGGACCGTAGAGAGCAGGAAGATTCACATAGTGATGTCGCTAGCTCTGATGGCGAATAATGGTGAACCAGGTATCTGCTGGAGATTTTGATGTATTCTGTATTTTCTGAATGCATTTGCTCGCGAGACTCTAGGCTGTATGCTTGTAAACATGGCACGTGAAGGTAAATGGCGGTTTGTTGCGCGGTGAATGTAAACTTTGGTTCGCGGAGTTTAACGTGAAGGGGTCTCGTCTTTGATGTGGATATTTCTTTCCTGGATAATTCAGGTGTGTTTTCCAGGACACTATATATGAATAGTAATTAACAAATGGGTAAGACGGTCAAACCCCAATTCCAAGACGCCGCTATGTGTAGGTCCACTGCCCCATGAGGAACTGGACAGCTATCATAGAACTTGCACTGGCAAAGCGTACCCAGCACAATGGTTCCAGTCTGGTACATCACCGGCAAAAAATGGGGCGACAATGCGACAATGCTCTAGAAGGGCAACCCGGTACGCGTTGGTGAGTTTGCTGTCGTAGGTCCAATATAATGCTTCCACTGATACGTGCAAGTTATTCTATTCTCGAAAATAACGAGGCCAGCTGGCGGAGCTATTTGACAGCGATGCTGATTGACTTGAAGATGCATGTTGATGATCAGGAAGAGACCAGCCGGGTGGGTCCGTTTGACAGCGGTGCTCATTGACTTGAAGCTGCATGTTGGTGATCAAATATATGCTTGTCGAGGGTGTTCCAGATGCGCACTTCTTCGGACCCACGATCAATGCCCCATTGCGTGCGCGTCTGCCTGAAACTATTTCACCCTCGAACGATCGAGGGATAGCTGTGGCATATTCTGAATCGGAGAAAGATATCGTTGCGGTTGTTGTTTTTATTGGACGGTGCTTGACGGTTGATCGCCGCGAACAGCCCACTGCCTCGGAACTACATGGCTTAAAGGTGCATAAGAATGTTGCGTGCTCAGTATCTTGACTTCTAGGGCCTTGTTGCTGGAGGCTTCCTCGCCTCACCTGTCTTTGGAGATCTGTGATCCTGGACAATGGAGGACACTTGATATGTCTAAATAACCTTGAGTTGCGTCTAACATGGCATTCCGACGGATCTGTCCCCTAGCCCCCCAGATATCGCGATAGCTATCAGCTCACGGAATATACATCACTGACATCTTTCAATATCACACTGCAGTTTTGAACCGTGTTTAATCAAGTGGAATAATAATTAGGTATTGTGATCAACGTGTATTACATGCATATGGGAATAGCGGGAATCGTCCAAAATACACCATTACTTTTCAAGAACATTATGCTCCGAGATATTGTCCGGTGGTTTCCTTGCACACCACATCAGTCCTCTGCATACCCTCCTAATGATATCAGCCATGCAAACCACCACGCAGTGTAGCCCGTAGATGATAAATTGAAGACTGATCAAGATACCAGAGATAAAACACATGGTCAGAACGGCAGTGGGCCAGGCAGACCATGCCACTGCGAGTAGAAACGCCATCAAAGCGCATGCTGAGATAAACATGCATACAGCCGGAAGACGCGATGATATGCAAAAGAACAGATATTTGCCGTATATATCGCGAGCAAGTTTCTGAGCTGTTTTGAGCATTATGATCTAATATGCGCGAGTGAGAATTACCTGAAATTTTTTAGCGTTTGCTCCGCTGTATATCAAGAGGAACCACCCATCGATTGCGAGACCGATGCCTGAAGCGACGCTTCCGAGAGCTATTGAGCTTTGGGCGAAGCTGTTGATGGAGAACAACGAGCTGGACGAAAAACCAAAGACGGCCGCGTCAAGCCTACGAAATAGATTCATCGTTGCGGAAAGAAGCTAATCTGTCATGATGGACATACCCGGAAAGAGCGACCAGCTACAAACCATGAAGGGTGAATAAGAACAAGTGGAACGGTAGCGGCAACACGTACTGATGCACCCACGAAGTACCATTCAGACGTGAGTTTTTCCAAAACACGCTCGTACTCAGAGTCGCTGCAAGCCTCTCGAAGCTCGCGATAAGACGAGAAAGAGTCAACAAGAGCATCGATAAAAGATAATGAATTGTCGACAGATATACGCTCCGTGTATCTGGGTAACAGGGAAAGCGCAATGGGAACATCATCGCTTGTAAGGACCACAGCACTTAGGTCGACATTGTCCATAAATGTAGAGCTTTCATAGCTGTCGTTAATGAGTTTCACGTGCTCGTCCAGCGGGCGGTCATCGTCTGTGTCTGAGATGTATCCTCGACGGATGCGTATCCCGGAAGATTCAGGTGAGACTGGGGGTGTTATAGCGCGACTCGAACAAGGGAAGTTACTTGTCCTGTCTGATTCAGATTCAGACGTGGGTGAAGAGCGCCCGGATGCTGAAATTACAGTTTTCAGCCGATGAATACGACTGACAAGACCACTCTTACACATAATGTTGTCGTAGTAGTCTTCTGATGTTGATGAATCGTGTAATTCATGGAGTCTTGCCTGAGCTTTGGGCACTTCAAGCTTAGCGACAAGGTGGACTGATACTGTTCTTCCGCGAGCCGACCCACGAATAGAGGGCCGTGACACAGAACTCAGCGGTATTTTGAAAGCTAGAATACGTCAAGCACACCATAATGTGCAATTGTCACACTCACATTTCTCAGTGCCTTTTAACTTGGACAGAGCCTGAAGCGACAGGGAAGTCATAGCAACTAGACACCGCTTCTTGTGTTTCTTCTTGCTCGACGCTTGATGATACAGTTTGATGTCCACTGGAGAACGGTCGTCTGTACCCCGCCTGGTCAAAGGTCTCGGTCAATGGAAGGACACTGGAATAGCAAAAAGCTGACAAACATTATAAAACATTCCTTGAGGTTTGGGTTCTGTCCATCACATCCGAGGTTCACTTCATAATGCTGGTGCTCGTCTACCACCACAGAAACGATTGGTCTCCAAGAGTTTTCAGGGCGCAAAGGCCGATACCCTTGGGCACGAATAACTGCAGTTGCATAAATGGTGAGTAATGCAAGGTTCCGAACTGTATACGGTGGTGTATACTTGCCGGTGATTACCCAAGGACTTAGCCAGCAAGTATTGTAGTGAGCCTCTTTGACACTTCAACAATTGGCTGATATGCGCACCATGATTCCACTTCTAGATCTCCCGTACATTGCATATGTGGAAGTACTATCTGCGTGCTCTGTGAGCGGAGTGGTGGGATGAGAGGTAAACAAATACGTGGCAGTGCTACCTTTCTTCACGTAAGTTATGGCAATATTAATAATGCGCTCTCATAATGATCACCGCAGTCGAGGCTTCCCCATCATCACAAAAATTGCATGAGCGTGACATTGCCATATATAGGTATGTCTGCGCTGTCGAAACTGTCAGCAATGTCAGGGTTAAGGTTAGGTATGTCTGAGCAGACTTGGAACCTGATAAGTCCAATGGACGGACCGAGTACGACGTATTCCGGCTAAATAGATTATTATCTCAATTAGATTATTCAGACATTGTAAATCACACAGAGATAGCCAGTTCATGTCTGATATTGAGTATCATAAAGAGAGTACACGGTAATCTAAAACATTGCAATGTAAAGAACCTGGTGCTAGGGATCCGCACAGGTAAACCCCCGCATACCAGAGCCCATACCCGTACCTGCACTGACGGGTACAGGTTTTTGGCGGGTATGACAAGTTCGGACCTGTACCCGCACCTGTGTGTCTATCCTCAACTCCACTCATTTGCTGACGTGTCGTATGGCCGTATGCCCGATGGCGTAGAGGGCTTGGGCAGTATCCATGCTGGTGTGCGGTGTTGGTATCAGCGTCCCAGAAGTCCTTACCATTCAAAAATGTTAGAACTTTGAATTGCGAGAGAAGAAACGGAAGATTATACTATCATATTTTGCCAAGCCTCCGGGTCTGTGGTTGGGCTGCTGCTCGGAAACCTGACTAGCGTGCAAGATCTAATGAAAAATAAGCAAAGAATAAGGGTGTTCACAAATGATTGGCATACAGCATCTCTCGATCAAAGTGGACGTCCCTGGTAAAGAAGTGAGATACAGCGTGAAAGGGAAACGCAGATGACTTGCTTTGAGCTTTGAATTGCTCTCGTCCGCACTCTGAAGGACAATGATACCCCACTTAGAAAAGACACCGACAACGAATGAACAGACCGCTTCAACACTTTGAATCGTTTCGTCCGAGAGCATCAAATAAGCCCAACTGGACCCAAGGCTGGTTGGGCAACCAGGCCAAGACAGGGCATTGGCGGGTATCGTCTTCGGGACCCGTCCGAACCAAAGTCAAACCTTTCCTTGACAATGACAGTGCATATATGCAGCATATAAGCTGAGGAGAGCGTGGGCATTAGCGAGGTGGGGGTAAAAGAAGGTGAGGGGAGCAGAACAAAGACGAGATCACCATGTGAACATGAGGTGGGAGGTATGCGCATAGTCTAGGTAGTACATACAAATGAAAAAGAGTAAGATAGTACAACTGCTGCAGACACAAGATATAAAGAAAGAAAGAAAAAGAGGAACGCACCGACTAAGTCAGCACTGGCTCTAATCACCTCAGGTCAAGGACCTGAATTGGCCGATAACTGCTCGACATATATTACTTAGGGAAGAGGGATCTGGATTGTTTGTGCACCATAATTACGATGTGACGGTGGTGGTATAAGATAGATTTGCACCCCAGAAATGTGATCAACATATCTCAGATAATCAACCACAGTGACTCGATTCCCATTTTATGTCTAAGTCAAAAACTTGAACTTCTGAATCATCGTACACCGCCTACGGTAGTACAATTCACAGACCACACAGGCGGTGATAGCTCGGACATGCGATCTGACGTTAGGGGCAAGGAGTTGGAGTTCAAAGAAGAGTTGCAGTATTGTAAATCTCACTAAGTCTTTTTTGTTATGACATACATATCTATATATTCAAGTAGTGTCTATGATATATCATGTAGATACAAGAAGTGTCTACTTGATGTCTTTGTGATAGTCTGCCTGGGTTCCAATGTCGTGTCGGGGTATTGATGACATCACGCGGAATGGTTTTGTCATATGTTGAGCCACCCTACCGTCCATATCGGGTAATCTCACGGTTGAGCAATTTTTGTGATGATACTTGTGAGCTATCGAGACTCTCCCTACATAGTCTGCCATGGTCAAACCGTTGAAGATGGAGAACTTAAGAACACCCAGCTAGGCGTGTCTTCTTTATAATTCAACAAGTAAAATACATTATGAAGTAGTATATAATGGAACACATCCGAATCATTCGGATCAGCTAAGATTCTTGTGGTATTTCAGGATCAACCAGAAATACATATGTATCAGATGCGGAACCAATCCCATAAATTAACAATCAACGTTTTCTCCATGATGCGACAATACCGGTCTCTGGGAGACGTCTTCTCAGATTTGAGAAGCCTCGAGGCCTTATCGATGTCACACCCATGACATGATGCTATTGTGACGCGGTACTTCCATACCGGTGCCTGCTCTGTATACTACAGGGCTTTACTTTACAACGCAACCCCCAATCTGGTTTAAACTCCGCGAATTACATAAGAATTTTCATTCTACTCCCGCGAGGGCTGTAAACGCCATATGAACATATTGAACATTGGTGGTCTAAATGACTGGTTGAGCAGCCTAGCTTAACTCTCAAGTAAGGGTCCTGCACCTAATGACGACAGTCTAATAGATTTGAAACGTTGGCATGTGCCCAGCAGCCTACATATAATTGTGTGACAGTGTTGAGCACTGCAATTTGTGGGCGTATGTGGGCGTCGCAACAATATATTTTCCCACTAACTTGGAACCAGGATCACGATCTGCTTCAGTCTTCTTGTTCTCCCTATCAGTGTTATTGTTTTCAATGTCGCGGTCGCGAGGGAAACTCGGCGCCAAATACTGGCGTTTCTTGCCAGGTCCGAGTCTCGCAGAAGTAGAAATACGAGATGAGTTCAAGGTATGTGCTAGGTCCCCATCCACAAATTCTATACACTCACCATATCGCCAGATTCTACCAGCGCCACATCATGGTTTCCTTCTGGAAAAACCTTTGGACTTCACGAGAGCAGGTCATCACCAATATAGAGAGCGTCCTGGAAGCCATTCTTGAACTCTGTACCACCAACTTAGGCCTACTGACCCACGAGGAGCGATCGTCTTTTATGGATGAATACTCCAGGTATCGTGCATACATTCTATCGTATCATACACTACATCTCACTGGCTGGTAGTCTCGCAGATACCCGTCTTCGGCTGAACAAGCGCACAGATTATAACACATTGACTGGGGCACTCGGCGAGTGCGAGAAGTTGAAGCTGAGGATTGAGGTTCAGTTTCTTATTTTTCAACAATGAGTTTTGTTTAACAGTTTACAGAGAGCATTCCGAAAACACAAGGAAGATAAGATCAGGAGAGGCGGGCCAGTATCTCCAACAAATTCAGGTAGGTGTTACACAGACAGCGTCGCTGTTGCTAAAGACTGAGTGCCGTATTTCAGCCGCCACTGAATCTTGCGAATCATCTATTATGCCAGCTGATCCCGACCCATCGAACCGGATCCCACCGTCTGAAGGTCCTGATTCGGCTCACCGGCAGTCTTATCCTGCCATGACAAGTGGGAAAAGCCCGCGCCCTTCTGACCCTTCAACCGGTACAGGTGGTCTTGCAGTCTCAGCCACTATTTTTGGAGACCAGCAAACTACCTCGCAGACTTCCACATGTACGTGCACGACGTCCCAACCTATAAGTTTGATAGTGACACCATATTAAAGTACTACCCACGGAGGAAAGTTCATATGCACCGCCCGCCACCAACACAGACTGCATGATGTTCGACCCAGACTCGTCCGTTGCGTCGCCCACATTCAACATTGACTCAGAAGAGGCAACTGGAGCAAGTAGGCTACATGTTTCCGAGCTTGCTTGTTCTGCATACTGATCAATCCTTTAGCACATACATTCTCTGGCAATGGTCCATCTCTCGGACTCCCAGCAAGGAGAGAGCCGTTCACAGGCGTTTATCAGCCATCCACAACAAGCAGCTTACCAGCCGCACACAGCTTACGCCGTGAAGCGTGAGCGTGTCATGTATTTCGGCCCTGGCACGACAGCGGGTAGTCCGACCTTCAATATCCGGTCTCCGCGTGCTTCTGGTACCAGTGAGTCCACTCGTATATGCGATCGTCTGACACGAACTCGCCATTGACTGAATTATTCAGTCGAACAAGTCATCCCTCATCGCTCAGAAGCGTTGACCGAATCCTTCAGTTGAACAAGTTGTTTCTAATGGCCCACAAGCCTAATACTTGGGAATGCCAGTATGGAGATTCCATTCTTCAAATTTATAGTAGCTGGGTATGCATTAGCGACCACTGTATCATAACAGATCCATATATAATATCGAATTCGGACCTTTCCTTCAAAGTCGTGGTTCAAATTTGGTTCAAGTCAACGAATATGCAAAGACTCCAAGAGCTGTACATAATTAGTATACTCGTGGTCGACAACTTACCGCCCTCATATGTACTGAAGCAGTTCCTTTAGCACAAGACAATGCTGCACAGGGTTATGATGGTATATCGCACGATGCCGCCAATCTACTAGATAATCAAAGCGACGTCCTTATACTAGAACTATCCTCTCATTGTCATGTAATTCATGACTTCGAGTACTGAGCATCTCAGAGCAGTTATTTGAGATTGTGACGTCAATCTCCTTGTTCTCTTTTTGATTGATACATTGATGCGGCATCATGCATCATGGGGGATCTGTGCATGAAACGTGTATATGCCAGCTGCTCAACTCAATCTGGTGTTCGCCAACCCTGGCATCTTCTGTGTAAAAATCACCAAAATAAATCACTAACATTTGTTTGAAATAAAGCCAAGTCTACCAACCCATCACGCGAGGCAGCGCAATTGACATGGGAACAGATGGTGGAGCATGAACGAGAAACACGATAAAACTACCTTTATCAGAACCCAAGCTTGTACCCACACCGCCGCTTGCAATGTGATCCTGCAGGAGTCACCACAAGGCTAAGGCCTATTTTCGCGCAAGTTATGGTGTTCAATGAACACAAGAACCTCTGAATCAGGCCCAATGACGTTGAACTCGTGGTAGAAATTTACTTTGTGATTCCGTTGAATTTTAATTTTTAACGCACCCAGTTCTCAGGATTTGACAAACTCAGCGCATCATTTGAACTCAGCGGCTTCGGCGCTGCCAGGCACGGCCATAATACTCCGCGAGGGCTGTAAACCCAATATTTATGATGTCCATTATCGAACATTGGAATAAGTAACGGTGAGCACTGAGGGAACGTGAGGTTAGGTGAACTAATGGTAACAGTTCTATATTTGAAAAAGGAGAAGTATACGCTTTACTTGGTAGCAGTCCAATTGTATCAGTAGGGAATTTTTCGATTTGTGGGCGTTTGTGGGTGTTGCCGCACTTGCGACACCTTCTAGAACCGCCAAATACTGTTTTCTTCAGTCCTCTTGTTCTGAAGGCTGCGGTATTGTTCAGTTCCTCAATTTCGCCGCGAGGGAAACTCAACGCCAGGCACTTGCGCTACCTTCCTGGCATTCCTCGCAGATTTAGAAATATGTGGCATTGAGAAGTTAGAGGTGCGTACTAGCTGCCCATAGATGTACTGGAATAACAGATCATTAAAAACTACCAGGGCTACCGATCATGCCTTCATTGCGGAAACCTTTTCTCCTTCACAAGAACAGGTTACCGCCGACACGGAGAGCGTTTTGACTGCCAACGTAGATTCATTGACTTACCAGGAGCGATCGTCTTTCGCGGATGAGTACTCCAGGATGGGCTTGCGATCTCCGCTAGTAGTACTCTTGCAGCCCAGCGAACTGCATCGCAGGTTTCGCAGGTATGTGTATCTCATTTTGACTTGCAAGTCCAACAACCTCACAGTAATATCCACAGCCCAGGCTCGTCCATATACACAACGGGCTCACGCAGACTGCATGACATTCGAAAGAATGACCTACGTTTTGTTCCCTATATCGAACATCGACTCAGAGCAGGCGACTGGAGCGAGCCATATTTCAGAACATCATGCTGGTACTTCACACTGACTCGGATCAGTCCTCTAGCAAATGTAATTCGGCCCCAGCACGGTAGTGGGTAGCCCCACCTTTAACATCCGGTCTCCGCATAATCTATACCAGTGAGATAGGTCGTTCAATCCGAGCTTATAACCCTTGCGCCCGGGAATGCCAGCGTGGACTGTATATTATGGTAGCATTAGCGATCACTACGCATCGGGCAGTTCTGCATATGATATTAGATGCGAGTGGAGTACTAGTTTTCAGAATCCCCTTGTTTTCTCGACGTTGTTTTAGGGGAGCGCCACAGCCGACAGGCAACTGCGTGCATATTACATGGTAGAGACAAATGTGTTTCCATATGAGAACTGTCTTCGGAATAATATTCCACGGTACCACATGCTCAGATTGTGCTCAGATCTGGCGAACTTCTCGTACAGCTTTGTTGTCCACAGTCACGAAGGCAACAGATGAGATATTCCTGTGGGCCCATTCCAACATAAATATGCTATGTTCAACAATACCAATGGCTCCGCACGGTTCGGTTCAGCATGCTTCGGTCACTCCTTGGATTCACCACCAAGCCCCACGGTCATGGAGACGCAGAGAAGGAACTCGCTGAAGTCATAGACCTTCTCTCCAAATACCCTCGGTGTCTTGCAGAGATCGACAAGAGCGAGTTCAAGAGTGAATATGACAGGCACGTCTTTTATGTCGGGTTATCCCTTTTCATCGATGATAATGGCTTCTGCAGACTGCAGCGCGAAATGTGTTTGTACAAAGCAGGGGGCTCAACAGCAAACCCAAGGAACGCGGATATAATTTTGAATGACTGCAGAGCCCTCAAATGCAAAGTTAAAGTTACGATCCTGCTTCTCTTTCTTGCAGATCTGTGCTGATACTATCGATTTGCAGAAGACGATTGATGATCGAACAGCGGCTGCTGTGAGAGCAGAAATTTCAGCTCCCACAGGCGCAGGTGATGCCCATCGGATCGCACCACAAGAATCGAAAACACCATCACCTTTAGCACCAGCCAGAGATGCATCACATATAAAACCTAGCAACTCAAATCAACCACCAAAAGTCGAAACCAAAACATCACTTCCCACAATATCTGCAAAGACGTTGACCACTGCTAAGGCTTGTCTCGAACCTCAGCCAAGCGTCCTGGCATCGACCAATCCTCGTGATGGCCTTCCTAAAAGTGCGGGACCTGGCGTTCCAAAAGTTAAATCCTAACCATTTCTAAGTAGGACATCGTATTCCCGTGCAAGTTAACTTGAGGCAAGCATTTTCCCAAGTAACGTCGGGAATCTCGTATGAAGTGGACTCAATGGTCATGGTGGGCGCAAGTGTGAGGTGCCCGACTCTGAATATCGACTCCCCAGATAGCACCGGTGCTAGTACGGATTTCGATCATTTCTCTTTGAAAGCATTGACAACCTCAACCACAGCGATCATCTCGCACGGGCCCCAGGTTGTTCAGCAGGCACCTCAGCCCGCTCGCCCTCGGCGAGCTACTGGTAGGCGTGCACGACAGCAACCCGGTAACTTCATGGGCTTCGTGAATGGAGCGTATGCGAGCCATGGTTCTATCATATGCCAAAATTCCAGCGTGATGGGTGCTACATTGAATGTTAACACCAGAAACTCCTCTGGGACTGGTGAGTACTTTCTGTCCAGCCAAATGTCGAATCTGGTTTCACATTGCACAAATGGCAGTGTTTCATTGTGGTACTCATCCCACGAGAGCTTGATAAATGCTGGTGAATAAGGATAGGGATGAATTAATCGATATAGGGGGCACCAAGACATTGTCTCTATCCTGTAATTAGGGCATTCCCGTCGGTATATGATAGAATTGATATTTGGTGTACACTGCTAGCGAGAAAAGCTTAACTTATTGTGTAAGAGGTCCTAGTTGAACGTTGACTCTCAGTGAGAACCGACCAAAAAGAGACAGATATATGTCGATAGGCGTCGAATAGATCAAACCACGTCGATTTTATAGTTGTGTTTAGACGTCTTTCGAAAAGCGGCACTTTTCGACATGGAAAATGATAGAAGTCGAAAGAAAGTTTAGGTCATTAGATAGCTTTATCGTCCAATGTTATGCGTTGCAAATCATTCCGTTTGGCCTGGAAAATGGTACCGATACAGATTTACTGCTATTGAATGAATAATAGGTGGATATCGCTGTGAATTGCTGGTGTTAGTATGGTACTATAGTAAGTAGTAGGGTATCCGCTGCTCCTCGCCCTCGCGCCTCGCGCGCCTTGTACACCATCATACCGTGACGCCCCCATTGGGGCTGCGCTGGGGTCCCGTTCCTAGTCGTCAATGTCGGCTCTTTCAGGTCGGTTTTCTCTAGGATTGACTTCCAAAAGATCACCTTGGGGTTAAAGATAATAACGTCCATCTAGTGGTCAAAAATTACGTGTTTAGCTAGAACGGCATATATCCGCGTAAGTACTTGGCAATTGACACGAAGGACAAGATCACCATCCATTCCCATGTGCCTGTGATTATCCGTGACATCGTGTTGTCAATCTCATTGTTCTCCTTGATATGCCAGTACTAGTGATGCGAAGGTCCCTACGCAAAAGGTAAGTACTTAGGTACTTGATTTATATCCCGGCTACGCTGGTGAAGTGAAATATAAGCATTTTGAATTCTGGTGCATATTTCCTAACTATGCATCTGCGCAACATTGCCAGTAACACCATTCGCAAGCTGATTAAATCAAAGGACCGACCCTTGTTGATCATAAGTAGACGATAATACTATGCTCGCCGATCAAAACAAAGTCCGCCGTCAGATCGATCATCTGCCTTTGTACATACACTGCTTGCGAGATTAATCTTGCGTAGGTCTTAACCACAAGGTGGAGACTTATTTTCTCCTAAGGTACATGGAATTTTCCGGGCTCGCTGAAGCGCTGAAGGCGAGCACCTCGGACACCCTTCATATGGACCAACAAAGAACAAGAACCCATAGCCTCATGTTGAACGCATATCATGGGTGTCGAGTCTTTTTTTGGGCGATTTTAGTTAGAAATTTACAATTTATTGTTGAAGCCAACACACCAACTTGTGCAGCCCAACACCCTCGTTCTTAAAACTCCGCGGTCGGCAGTAACCATGATCGCTGTTAAATTTTCGGCAAAATGATCTCAGCTCCCTCTCCGCGCCCGGATGTATATTATAAGGACATTCAGTAAAACGACGAGAAGAGAGTGTAGCACAATCAGAAGTCTGAATTCGATTTTCAATAGTCCTGAATTTCGAGAGAAAATTTGAAGTAGCAGCGGTACCGTACTTATCATTTCGGAAGGAGAGGTGTGGCTGATACACGCTTGACAATGAAACCTATCCGTCGACTCCAGTGGGTAACCCCATGATAGATATTCTCAAAGGAACCTTCGTCCTTGGATGTGACACGAGAGCGCAGCTTCCAATTGCTGAGTTGTTGTCGAATGGATCCAAAACGTTCGAGTACCTCCTCCATTGTAGGTCTCTTTTGTGGATCATCGTGGACCATATCATCAACGAGGGACTTTAAGAACTTGAATCCCATTTTGGTCTTGGTTATGGTCATAAGCAATAAACAGAGGGTAACTAGGGAAGCGCTTACGTCCAGGAACTGTTCTCTGACGACGTTTCCAAGATAGTAGACGTCGGTGGGGAAGGGGTTCAGTGGAATATCTAGATTATGCTTGAATTCCGGCACTGACTTGTCGCCCCCAAATATCGGATATTCTAGTGGATTTTCTTCACCGGCATCGTATTGGCGCGATAAGCCAAAGTCGATGAAATAATACTTCGGTGGCCGCCGAGTGCGAGTATAATGGCTCACATGACCGCTGAAGTCGCGCTTCATGTAAGGCTTTACGGGGTGATATGGTTCGGCGTAGAGGTCTTTGGCATCCATCATTATGTTCATCCACATGCAATCGCTGTCCTCGAGTTAGTTGAAGACACGTGACCTGACAGTTATGAACTCACCGGTGAGCAACATGATTGTTGTGCATAAACCACAGACCCTATAGTGAATTGCTAAGATGCTACACAGGCTTAAGGGCAGTCGCGCGTACTTCAAAAAGTTGTCGAAGGCATTCCACCACTTCGCCGAAGGTATCGAATCGAATCTTGGCGAATGGAAGCAATAATGGCATCACGATAATTTGAGTATCATCGTCGTTCGGAACTGACAGAACATCGAGAAACGGAACGCAGTGGTTCTTGGGATCGGACGCAAGTTGTTCCGACGTGAGATATTGCCCGATCTCTACTTCGTGGGGGTGCTCCGACTTCTTCACCATTTTGAGAGATAAATACAAGCCGTCAGACACGCGAGTTGCATCCATGACTTGACCAAACTATGGAGCCGTCAGCTAGTCGACCATACAGTCCAAAAGTTGTCGTCTTACATGTAGAACATATCCATCTTCACAAGCCAACGCATCGCGCTTGGAACCCTCCCAAGATGGAACCCAGTCCGGAGCGTACCGAGGACGGAGTAGGTACCCTCGAACTTTCAACCATGAATACTGTTCGCGCCACCAAATTTCATCAACAGACAAAGCCCCGGGTCTTCGTTCGCGTTCTTCCCCGAAAACTGTGAGCTCCTTTTGGGCTCTGCGTCTCTCGCGTGCTGCCCTTTCTTCGGCCTTGGATTCAGCCTTGGTCTTTGCGTCACTCTTGCCCTTTGAGGCCTTGGTCTTGTTCATGCGTCACAGTTGAGACGGGCGAATGTCAGATCTGAAGGAGGACACAGACTCAACGTTGCATAAACAAACGTACACATGGATCCATATGGCCGAACTTAGTAATTAGTAAGTACAATGTTCTCAATGCCCAGCTGATTATCAAGGTTTCATTATTGCACGAGTTTTATGCAAGCTACAGTCGACCCCCTGAAACCATGTCAAGATTGATAACAACGAAATTTCAAACACTCGTCAACTTGCAATTGGCCATGTGTCACGGTTCCCTTCGGAATATATAATACACTGATACTACTAGATCTTGGCTTGATATCATCTCACCGCAACCTACTATGGCCTCACGACCGAAACGTCAAACCCTGCTTTTTCCTTTTAAACTTGGCTCACCTTCTCAATATGACAAAAATTTATTCCCCCTCAGTCGAGTGCCACAGGGCAAAATCTCCCTCAATGAAGTAGACTTTGTCCTCGAGGCCACGCTAGATGAGCTCGTCAAGATACGCAAAATGGTAGGGGATGCGGAAAAATCTCAACGGCTCATTCGTAATGCGAAGGCACAGTACGATGAGTGCGTCTGGATATACCCGCATTCATGCCATCTTACTGACTAGCATTCGAAGGCTGATGAGGGAGAAAGAAAAATTGGACACACAGCCCAAATCCTTGAACCCTATGAAAATATTCTCTACATATCGTTCAATTCGGTTGCTTTTTGAAGCAGGGAGAGTTTTATACACGGAAGCAAGGGTGTGATAATGTCCGAATCTTGATGCTTGCCATTACTCAAGATAAATCACTCTAGAGTGCATCCGAGAAGATGAGGAGGCAGTTACTCTCTGTCAACACAGAGGATGTACAGCCAGTGGATTGTCTGTTTAAGTCATGCTCGCATTATGGACACTTAGGACTTACAGTCCATATAGACAATGATCTACCATCTGACGCCACCATTGGGGGGATCGCTGTTTCTCTGCCAGACTCCGATTCTCAACTAGACGAATCCACGGCTTCATTCTTCACCGAAGCGGCAAGCTTCATTGCCTCCCAAGTAAGCTTACTCGGCGAGGCGAATCCTTTTTCAGATGAACATCAAGTGGAAGATTGTAGGAACAACATCATATCTGCTAGCTGTCTGCATACTCACGTAGACGATCAGCTCAAACTAGTGCAGGTGACAAAAGCAGTTCGACTAGCGACGTTGGAGTCGCGTCATCAGCTAGTTCTCGTCTTTCTGGGGCACCTGGCAACAACTTTTTTTTATTCCAAAATAGTTGTGTTGCTTTGAATTCTGCCATTCAAGCGCCAACTCTAAACCACGGCGGGTCACACAATCAATGATTATATTCATTCTTTTACCTCTATCATAATATGATTTTGTCTCATCACACACCTTAGCTACCCGCCGTTGACACTGGCAATTGTTGAGTGTTGTTTACATACAACAAGTGGCCCAAATCACGATTGAACTTTCGTCGGGGACATGATATACTACACATTTTATGACACGCCATACGCGATTTGTCCGTAATGATTCCGATGGTGTCGAACAGCACCAGTAGTCGATGAACTCAAGTTTCAGAATCACTTCCGCGAAATATTTGATATGGATTATGCAGTGCTTTTTCATGCTCCGCGACATCCAAAATCTCTCCGCGTCACTTTACCTTTACAGAGCCGGGCCCTACAAAGGAAAGGGACACAATGTTTTTGTGACGCGAGGTTGGCAGCACTTAGACTGCCCGATGGATCAGTGTGGTTATTAACTGAAGGACCTAGCGTCTGTGAAGACCAAATATTTGGCATCCATTGAAGCATAATAATTAAATGATAGTGGGACGCTTGTCAAGTTTTGTCAGAATTACATCTCCAATCAACAATTCAAGAAATAAGCACCCAGAGTGCTTGGGGCTGCATTGTCACGGCGGAGGGGGAAACTTCCCTACGCAAGCAGTATTTTCCTTCAAGAGTCCGCACACGTCCTTTGCCGGAATAGAGAGAAGGACCGTGATTTGTAGGTAGAGCGGCGTGAGATCTAGCACACACTAAGTTCTCATCCTGGCAGATACTTTGCATCGCTACGAAGATTGCGCCTCTTATTAAATCGCAGGGGCGGTGGCCATCTGTAGGAACATACATTATGATGTCAAGAGACAGACATCCCTGCAGTAAAACGACTTTAAGTGATGACTCACACGCGATAAAGTAAACGGCTGATCTGTGGACAGCGTGACGTCGATGCATGAATTGTAGGCCTTCGTGACGGAGAGGGAGAAACCTGGAGTCACTGGCCTCCACGATCTAGCGAATATGCACAACAACCTCAAACATGTCAAAATGAGTCATCGGGCGGTTGAATGAAAGGCAGTAAAATGAGCAAGCATCCAGTGGCTCAGATATGCGTATGCTAGTGATCGAGTTTCGAGGTATGAACAGATCATAAAAGCTGGGATGACATTACGCTTACCCACGACAACAAGTCATCTTGGATGTTGACCAGGGATCATACATGCCAGTGGTTCTTCTGAGCGGCAATCTAGCCTGGACACATCGAGTCGAGGCATGCGGTCACGATCCAGTAGTAGTGATATCTCCATTCTTCTGTGGTTGTTGATGAGTGGAGGATCATGCAGAAGACTACATCCTCGTTTCAAGGGCGTGAAGCTATGCTACAGCCTGGCCCCTGTACATATCATGAAGAACATACGTCAAGGCAACTGACGGACAGTGACGATTCTGTTGCGAGCATGATCGATCGTCATCTTCCGTTCGAGCGTTCGAGCTGCTGGACGACCTCGATGGGGACTTCGTGGTCTGGTCGGGTGTATCGCAGGTATCACAGTAACGAGTTGGCAGTTGCTGAATACCGTATCCGCTCAGTATTGGAGTTTTTGGGAGGTTTAGACTGACCTCTTCGAGCTGCCGGTCTCTTCTGCAGGTAGGCACAACCTTTACCTTGTTTACTCACGACACTCACGTATATTCTGTCTCGCCGCCTAAATCTGGCCTCCTGAAGGTAGCCATGGATGGTAACGTCGGCCGTTTTGATCGTAAGTCAATTTATATATGTGTGCCAACTATAGATACGGACACGGGGAAACCACGCGTTACTGATCTATTGCGATCTAAGAAGCGAGGATATAAGTGGACTGATCCACCACCGGGACTTCGACGGATCGTTTCGCATTGATATCCGGAGAAGGAGAGGGAGTACATCCTTGGGAACTATGAATACAGCATCCGACTAGCCATCTCAAATCCGAGGAACGTTGCCCCATTCGCGAATGGTGAACTGGTGAGAAGTGAGCTGGTGAAAACATTTATGAGGGCCGAAAAACGTACCGAATTAAAGTGGGCCCCAGACCACGTGTAAATGCACTAATTCCCTCGGTCCTCCAAACCTTGCGCACGCAATCTCGTGCTGAAGCATATTTTTGTCCAGTAGAAGGGCTAAATCCGTCAGTCTGCATTCTAGATTTGATCATGTCTATAGGGTATATGACTGCCCAAAGCTGTCGCGGAATTAGCTCAATGTCCATTCTCCTAGGAAGACGAGATTCAACTTACGGCGTATCCAGCGGTTGCACCGTAGAGAATGGGGTTCAAAAAGTTAATCTGGTCCCGGCGTATGCCCTTCTGGGTCATTTCCCGCTGTATAAGTTTTTCGTACACCAAGAAGTAGACACCGTAGCCTGTCGCTTCACGTAGGAAGGTGACACACTGTCCTTTGAACAGTCCGGCGATGCCATATTGTGAGGCAATTTTCTTCATTGCGTTAAATGGACCTTTGTATGTCGGGTTCGTATTTGACTGCGTTTGCAGACCTAAAGAAGAGGTGATGTGCTGAATGCTAGTCATAAAAAAGTGACTCACGAATGCGAATATGTTCCACTGGACCAGATACTATACCGTTAGCAAGCCCTGCCGCTACTCCAGCAATGACCAACTGCCCTCCACCAAGCATCTTTCCTTCTTCCCCGCCTTCACCTCTAGCTAAATTCTGAGCTGTAAACACCCGCTTTGCATATTCGAGTACTCCGAATTGTATTGATACGCAGACACCAATTCCCAGCAATGGTGTCAATGTGCCCTAACAGAATGTGAGCTAGCGCAGCGTAGAGTGACAAGAGCAAAACCTTATAGAACGCCAGAGGCCCTTCGTTCTTCAAGATACCGCCAGCGCAATGCAGCATGCCGTTGTAAGTGCCCTTGGCTGAGGTTTGCATGCGCTGAGGGAGAGTCATTGTGGGTAAGCAAGTATCCTTGCTTAGATCTTATAGCCACTCTCACCACTTTCACGATATCGAAAGGTTGCCCGACAAGGACCTAACACGCGAACTGAGTCAACACGTTGCACCAGTGAGCCTATTTCATACACACCTGAGCTATCCCTCCAGCCGTTCCGGCCGCCAGGTCCTTGATCGCGTTCGACATTTGCGTTTGGCTGGTAAATTTGTGAGATTGAGAAGGCGGAATTTAAGCTTGAGCTTAAAACAACCAGCTGGCAGTTACAATTGCGGAGTTTCACCGAGCAAAAGAATACTTGCTGACTACTAACGGATGTATGTAACTCGATTTGCACCTCGCTGGCTCATTGCCACGACTATGATACGTAGTCTCAATAAGTCATACAAGACGGACGGTTGGCAACGTTGAAGAGGTTCAGTATCGGCCAAGTACCGGTCCGTACCGACCAACTGGATCATCATAATCTTATAATAACTGTGACCGCAGCTCCCACTAACCATCTCGTCTGAGTACTAGTACTCAAGTACTCATGGCTGAACCTAAATCTAACAATATCGACGCGACAGAAAACTCGACCACTCAGCACATTGAAGATAAGGAGGCGGATGAATGGGTTGAAGAGGACGAAAATTATGACGACGATGACTACGAAGACGGAGAGGAAGAAGCAGAGGAAATTGCGCGTCGGTTGAAGGAACAACTATGGGCGGACATTAGCAAAGCGCAGGCAGACCGCGTCAATGTCACCGCGACGTCATCAACTCTTGCACCCCTACATGAGGGTGCTCCGTCTGCGGTTCCTTCTCCAGTTCCGATCACACACCCGCGTCCCCAATCGTCTGTGTCATCCAAGAAGGAAGAAGCCGCATTAAAGACAATGACGAACGTGCTGAACATTGCAGGAAAGGATCCTCTAGTTCACTCAACTCTGGCATCTGCAATTGTTCCTGGTGCAGGCACTAGCGTTCTGGAAATCCTAAGTCGCACCGTTGCCGCCGGGACAATTTCCAAAGACCTTGCAAAATCGCTCAGCCTGACTCTTGTATCTCTGGCTCGCTCCGACGCTCTCTTTGCCGCACTGCGTCATTCTAATGCGCCTGCACTGCAGCTAGACAAGGGCAAGAGGAAACGCGACGAGACCGAAGAAGAACGGCAGAGGAACGAGTCACGAGCCTTTAAACGGCCAACTTTTGCACATGGACATTTGCAGAGCCAGATAACAGACGCAGTTCGCGTCGTATCAGAAACTCTTGCCTCCCATCCACCTTCCAACGGCCCACCAGATCCTTCGATCATATCCTCAATCCAGCTACAGTTACATCAAATATTTCTTTTTGCGGTCACCTCTTCTGCAAGAGGAGGACCTGAGACGAACGCTTTACAAGAGATCAGTGGACTCATTCAGGTGGTTGGAGTCCTGAGTGGCAGTCCTATTGGCCCCACCGCGGTCCCACCGAATGCCCCGATGCCAAATATTCAACCCACTGGCGGATCGATGTATCCTCCCCGCCCATGGATACCTCCAGGAACAGGCCCTCATCCCGTCCCTTTTAGCGACATTGGCACTGCAGTATACCCCTGCCTAGTGTTAGGTTGCCGCAAGATTTTCGCGCGGCTTTTTAACCTACGAGCGCACCAACAAGTGCACGCAGTGCATAGGCCATATCGTTGCGTTGCATGTCCCGCCTCGTTTGCCCGAAATCATGACCTAAAACGCCATGCCAAACTACACGACAAGACGGGATACCAGTGTGCCGGTTGCTACAAGCTGTTCTCGCGGCGTGACGCAATCAAAAGGCATAAAAACAGCAGCGCAGCCCGTGGTGGCAAAGGGGAGGCATGTGTCAACGCAGCGATCAAAGAGGTTGAACTGGACAAGGAGGGCGGGGAAGAGGCTCTGCGGGAAGGTCGACGGACACGGATGTGGGCTGATATTGTAACCAATTCTGTGGCATCTACAGCAAATTACGGAACATTCGGAGATGATTGGGGTCCAGAGGAAGGCGAAATGGAAGGCGACGTCATCAGCCATGCACAAAGGGCTGTGCTCAGTCTCCACAAGACGTTGCAAGCTCATGTGTCCAGCGCGTTAGGAACAACAGCGGATCATAATATTCCCCCAATGCATGTTGATCCGACCGGAGGCCAAGCGACCCTGGCTAGCGTCATCGCCAAGGCTCAGCTGCAAAATATGCCGTCTTCACAAACTCAACAAGATAATTCAGCGATGGACGCTGCCCATCCTACCATGGACGAATCGCCGTTTTTACCACCGGACGACGGAAGTTACGATCCGAATAATGATTATCTTGCTCCAACCGCGGAAAGTGCAACTGTTTCTGCACCGCCGCTCTCACTATATGGTCTTTCAGAAGAACAAGCGCGACTTTTGGAGCAGGCCATTGCAAATGCTGCATCTGCAGCTCAAGCACAGGCAGAAGCAGAGGCAGCGTTGGAAGAACAGGAAGAGGATTATGAAGAGGATTACGACGAACTAGACGAAGGTGACGTGGGGATCTGCTCAACGGTCGGGACCGAAGTCTCCTCAACGTTGGGATCGTAATTTTGTCTATGTATTGCGAGCGCGCCAAGTATCAATCTCTGACAATTAGTACTATAGCTTTCTGCCACCTCCCAGGCATGCCCAGCAGCCTTCCAGCATCTGTAATGCAACTAATCGTACAATTGGTGATATCGTCCAAGTAATGAATATATGTACATGGAATGCGAAGGACCTAAATGGCAATGATATGCTAGCAACTTCAGTAATGAACTGAATTCGTGGGTGTCATCGCTTACCGGTCATGTCATCAAAATGCGGACCCTACATCTTTCCCCGTGGTTTAGGTGATCTGGAGACTGCATAAAGTTCTTTGCGTTTTGCCTCTGCTTGTCGCCAAAATTCTTGGCTTTGCGGAGATTCACGTCGCCACGCTTCCGCAATGACTTGAGCAGGCGATAGGTTTGCGCAATATATCGACCCTTTCTTCCCATCTTGTTTGGGGTGAGGGTCGGACGTCATCGCATTCTAGAGTTCAGAAAATGTAAGAGTTCAGGAATCCGAAATACCAGAGAAACCGATGTAGCAAAATTGGCGTACGGCAGCTCAAGGTTCAAACAGGTGGGACATGGGCAGGGACCGGGGGATTGGACTTTATACAAGGTTTGGTTGCTACCAAATCTCGTTTCTTTCCATCTGCGGGAGCACGTCGATTCTCGAGACAGACCAGGGCAGACTCTTCATTGTTGTTCGCCTTAAATGGAAGGGTCAAAGCGGGCGGATAGACCACCGGACGGTATATCTAGGCCTTCTGCGATGAGCGCAGGGCTTCGCGTAGTAGCCGAAAATGGGTAATGAACAAACGAATTGCCGTAAAAGGCAGTTTCAAGGCGGACGGCGCACGTAACTTTCATGGATCAGAGCGCTGTGTTAGAACGCCTCGTGCAAATGGCATCAAGACATGTCATAGCTCTGAGATGCGTCCATTGTCTGCAGTTCACAGGGCGAAATGGCCGTGGTAGAATGACTTGCCTCATGTTCGATATGAGTTTCCGAACAAATCACATTGGAGGAAAGTGAGTCAGCGAGGCAACCAGACCCACGAGTGTGGCAAACGCGGAGTAGCGAGGAATGACTTGGGCGTGTCAGGGACATTGCCCAGCCAACAAGGCACTGTTTCTTCGTTCTGATTGGAGTGTCAGCCACGAAGCTTTGTGAAGTCATTGGGCTATGATAAACCGGTTCATAGGAGGCACGGGAAGCGCGGAGAAGAAGCACTCTACTTCGAAAATCACCTCCAATCCGGTGGTAAGTCACTCTCATCCATTGTGACCCAAGTATGGGAAGATCAATGGACATTGCGAAACTTCATCGATGCATCTTCTTCGCCGGAACATATGCGTGAGCTGTGAAGAAAGAAGATGTGATCGCCAAGCACCTTCAAATGTTCCAGTATATAGACACAAAGGACTACAAGTTAATCCACGTGCTCGCAGTTGCAAAAGCCCGAATAGAACCTACGAAAGGCTCCATATGATTGTTATGGGCGGCCACTAGCTTAGTTCCGAGGAATGGAGTGATGAAATGCGGGGTAAACTGACGCTAGTACCACAAAAATGACAAGGTATTGATATTATGGTCTGTCGAAATTTTGGTCCGAGTCACAGCGTTGTGTCCTTGAGGTGTCTCCGATTCCGTAGCACCCGCCGGAAGCAAAAATAGATCAACGGCCCGCGTCAAACCCGTCTGACTGTCCCACCTCACTGCGCTAATCAGTGAGCACGCTGGCAGAACTCGTGCATAGACTCTAGAAGGAGCCATTTTTCTATTTGCAATCATAGCCTTCCAAGCACTACGCACCATTAACTTCAGGATGGGCGAAGCGTCAGTGTAATGATCTACATACGGGCCGCTCTGATCAACTCTGTTTCCCAGATTTACCAATTTCCTTGGGGGATCACCACTCAATCGTCTATCATGGCTGAGGACATCTCATTCATTCCTCAATGCAGTCGTTGTTTCACCTACGACGAGGTGGATCTTATTCAATGGGGGTCAGCCGCTTATCGCTTCTCATCCTGGCACACAGACACGAAGTCTAGCGTTATTGAGCACCGACGACGTTAAGCCCTTGCTCGGCGCAGAGCCGTTCTTTGGGCAATGCGAGCAGGAAGGAGAGCACTGCGCACCCGATGTACCCGTTCTTGAGGCTGCCCGAGTTCGAGGGCCACCAATAGTCTTCCTGGGCTTGGAAGAGGCGGAAGCTTCAGGCAGTGCTCTTCCGTCTTCCGACTTCAAAGATCCCCATGCTGCTGTCGAGAAACTTAAAGGAACTCCTTACTTCTCTGTGGATGTTGTGGACCTTGATGAGAATAAGATTAATGAAGTCATAGAGAACACCGAGCTTGCAAAGGATGGCTCGACGCTTGCTTTTTTGGAGCCACGTGCGGCGATGTCAAGCCTTGATGTATATACCGCAGGGATCTTTGCGGAGGCTCGGAGCATGGTAGATTGGAACCAAAGGAACAAGGCATGTATTAGTATATGCGGAATGGGAGCCATGTGCTGAAATACAATGATCCAGTTCTGTCCTGCGTGCGGTTCACCCGTATATTCCTTGTGGGCCGGCTGGAAGCTCGCTTGTACGTCTCTACTTCCCTGGGCCGACAACGCGGACAAGAAACCTTGTCCCTCTGGGTTCGTTCAAATACTGCGTCGGAAACAATCACTAATAGGACATGAAGGCAAGGGCTGCATAATTTTGCTCATCCTCGGACGGATCCCGTCGTAATCATGGCCGCCATTGATGAATCAGGGGAGAAAATCCTTCTCGGGAGAAATGTTCGTGTTCGCGTACATCTTCAATACAAACTGTCTTATCTGACGTGACCTGCACCAGAAAAAATTCCCTGTAAAGTTCTACTCTGCGCTTGCTGGCTTCATTGAGCCAGGCGAGTCCTTCGAGGACGCCGTAAAGCGGGAGATGTGGGAGGAGGCTGGAGTGAAGGTCTGGAATATCCGATATCACTCTGGACAGCCTTGGGTACGTGTCTCCACGTCGCAGAACCCCAACATCTCAACTCCAAAATCTTAGCCGTATCCAGCCAACTTAATGGTCGGCTTTTATGCGACTGCTGATTCTTCTGCCCCGATCCGTACTGATTTGGATAACGAACTTGAAGGTCAGTTGTCTTCTTTTGAAACGTTAATCGTGTAGTAGGATTTACGGATCTGCCTTAGATGCTCGGTGGTACACCAGAGAGGAAGTTCTTGCTGTCTTGAGACATCCTAGTGGGACTAACTTCTCTCGCCGTGACTACAAGAAGCTCGCGGAGATTCAAGATGGTCCTGACAACAAGCCCGCGACCAACAACACCCAGTCGGGCGCAGAAGTTAATAGCAACAACGAGCTGCCCTTCAGGATCCCTTCGTCGACTGCAATCGCGGGTGTTCTCATTCAGCATTGGGCAGAAGGAAAGATACTAGTAGGAGCGGATGTCAACGGGTTTACAGCGAAGGGTAATCTATGATTAGATAGGTAAATTCTATAGAAGTACGACATTTTAGAAGCTGGAAGGAGTGTATATAAACAGTGGAAGGAGTGTGTCAAAACACCTGGAACGAGTGTGTAAAATCAAGGAGTGTATCAAAGCAGCTGGAATGAGTGTATCAATGACGACCTATCTAACGCCCCATGGCATCGATGATAGAGTCAAGGAGCATATCGTTGTAATCACCACCCGCCTCCCACATCGAGAAACCGCGCAGCCCGGCTTCTTTAATGAATTCGCCCTTGGCAGCAAATGACTTGGTGTTGTCGAAGGAAACCATAACTTGTGAGGTTTCATTGTACACATACGGCTGTAAAGCAATAAAATAAGCACTCCTCCTTCGGGGTGTAAAACTCTATTTACCGTCTGACTGCACTCGTCATATCTGTAGTAAATGCCCTCAGCAGGCTTGCCTTTTTCGGTGAGGAAACCGCCGTCAATGAGGCCCCAGAAGTTGAAAGTGCCACCCGAGCCCTCGTACACGCCACAGACATCTAAACCACCTGTGGCATCCCATGCATCACCCAAGGGCTGATTCGAGCCGTTGAAAGCGGGGTATGCTGCGAGCGTCTTCTTGCCGGACACGAAGGCATCAGAGGGAGGGACGCTAAACGAGTGACTGTAGGAAGGAACACCGAGCACGATCTGGTTGGTAGGCATCCCTGCATCTGTCCAAGCCTTGACTGCAGAAACGGCAGAGCCCTGTTGGTTCGCGAACGAAGCGCATGTGTCGTTCAATGGCGCGTTGGCCCCGACAGTCGAGGACCAAGAACCCCAAACGTCATAATTCATCACAGAGATGTAATCGAGGACCTTGGCAAACCCAGTGACGTCAGTAGAGGGACTTCCGGTAGCGTCATAGAATGGTGATAGAGCTACGGCGGCCGAGAGGGTGAGATTTGCCCCCACTGGGTTCAGGCGGAGCTCCTCGAGGAATGCGAGGAGATTTGCCGTGTCATTCTCGCTGACGATGTTGCAACCGATTCCCTGATGGTTTGGGTACTCCCAGCTGTTGGAAATCAAGGACAACTGAGATCAGCGCATGAGATCGAAGTTCCAAGAATCAACCTACTCGAACTGGATGCCGTCGAGGTCGTAATTGAAAGCAAACTCCGCCACGGTCTGAACAAATGCTGTCCGGTTTTCAGCGGTGGCAAGGTTAGAGGAGAACCAAAGACCCCCAGTCCATCCTCCGACAGCGACGTGGGCCTCAACACCCTGCGCATGCCTTAGACATCAATTGTAGAAGCGATAAAATTTCCATTGCTCACATGTGCATGGGCTTCAGAGACGAACTGAGGGAGCAAATCGCCATTAGAGCCGTTGAGGGTCAGACCGGTGACGTTTGGAGTGGTCTCTCTAAGAGACATCATCGCGTCAACCAACCCCATCAAAATTTATACAGACAACTTACGCAAATGAGTAGTAGATCGTGTTGTACTTCTCCCAGCTAACTGAAGAGAGCGGGAATCCTTCGGTGGCGTGCCAGCCGGCATACCAAGTTGCTACGATGGGTGTAGTGGAGCGAGCGGCGGGTGTGCTCGCGCTTACCGCGGATAGGGCGAGAAGAGGCACAACGAAGATGGATAGCATGACGAGGAACTCGGGATGCTGAGGGAGATTCTGGGGGATTGTAATAGTGATGACGACTTCTTATAGCTTTTCCGCCATCCTGGACAAATCAAAATCGAAACCTGTCGCGAATCGCGAATCGCGAAGTTCGGAGCAGTAGCAATATACATTCGCGGTTGCAAATTTGCCGATCATCGCATCTCCCAGTGTTTCGAGAGAGCCACAACATGATGGGAGGATAAAACAATATTTATTCATCACCATACTCTGCAGAATTATCAGCGGATCAGTCCATCTTACAACATTGCCTGCAAGACCCCGTCACCATCTCTTAGTATACACTCTCCTTCGAAAAGTACACGGTCAGACATCCCGTTGTCTTTGATGTACTGCACGCAAGCAACATCAGTTGCTCCTGGCTGGCACCAGACAGCGGGAATCGAAAGTTCCTTGATTTGCTTGAGCAGATCGATAGTGATCTTATCGGGCACATATTCAGTTGCGAACTTGCAACCGTGGCAACATACTACTGACCTTAGCGGACGTTATTATACTCACCGACGTCTCGGTTGGCTTCGGAAGGTCAATCAGGGACCGTATGGTCTTTATGCCCTCCAACTCGTCATTCGATGGGTGGACTGGGGTTACTGGTTTGTTCCGCTGGATGTACCATTGCAGAACCTATGGACTATATTGTAATCTCTATGACAGAACTTAAAACCAGGACTACCTTCGTGCCGAACTTTGACTGGTCTGTGGAAGCGCCGACCACAGCGTAGTATGGAAACGACAGAAAGTGCTTTTGCTGTTGAATAGTGTTGGCCATGGAAGAAGGGAACCTGAGACGCATATCGTACAACCACGTGTGAAAGGAACTTGTATGACACGCTCAACAAGGAAATACTCCCAGCGGCAGTTGCATGCAGATCTTGATTCTTGACTGACTGACTGACTTGAACCTTTATTCCGCGCTCATAAACGTTTGTGATGAGCTGAATATTCACAGCTGTGGGACGTGGCAAATCTCAGTCAAAAACCTTGATCACAAAATTTTTAAAAACACTGATCCCTGCAAGCTCCACCGAAAATATTAGAGTACAGCCGGTGTGCGTAGAAATAAAGATCTTACCCCGATGAAATTTACCGATGATCTCTGCCACAGCGGAGATAGGTCCCCGACTCGAGGAAATACCGAAGGTCGTGCGTATCATATCGATGGCCGCATTTTGTTAAACCGTGCCACGCAAACAGAACGATCCGCCGCCGAAAGTAATGGTAACATCTAACGGTAGCTGAAGACATGGAACAGAAGGAAAGATCACACGACGGTCATTAGAGGGGAGGTGATACTTGGCCGGAGCAAAACATTACATACTAACCAAAGGGGGGACGGGACGATGGCAAGGGAAATACGTCCCTGTTTCTATTTCTGTCGGGTGAACTCAGGCAAGGCTGAAACAGATTATGTAGAGATGCGTTATGAAAAGAATAACCTCATAATTCGGTTTCATTTGATAGAAAACCCCCATCATAAGGTTATTCTTCCCGTTATGAAGATGCTCTAAAAATGAGGTGCGCCCACGAACGAAATATTGGTGGTCAGTCACCCGGTGGCTCCGATCGGCTGCTCATCTGCCACATAATTAGCCAGATCACGGTGCTACCCTCGTCAGACAATAATTGAATAAGGATGGCGAGACGGGCTACGGAAAATCACTGGGATAGCAAAAGAAAAAATGATTACGAATTGCCGCAGAGTCTAGGGACATTCAAGTGAGCGGGGTATGCACACGAGTGTACAGTACGTACTGACAATATTATGATTCGTTCATCGATGGGGCCATCTGTGAATTCGAATGGCTTGGCCATAGCCTAGCGCGAAGCGTTGAGGAATATAGCTTGCAAAATAGTGAACAGAATTGAATCAATAAGCGAGCCGTGAGAGAGTCGCGCACGGGCCAAGTCGAAAAGTTATATAAAGCTGACAGCCAAGATAATGAATCCTTAGAACATACTCAGCTAGGATCTATTTTATAGAAACTAACTCGAGTCTCGCATGTTTACACATGCCACATCCTTCAAATCCACTGGATGACAATTGCGCTCTCTCGTTCGACAGAGAACATGGCCTTCGCGTTTATGCGAGGTTTCGAGGACGTTTGGTTTTGTCCTTTGCGCGACTGCTTGCAGTTTAGTGAAGCGGAGCCAGCGAGTTGAGCGTCTGTCTGATGGATTTCTATTTGTACACTATTTTATCTAGTTGTGATGAATATAAGTTCCTTTGACTTTATGCAAACTTGTGAAGGCTAGTTACGCCTGTGTCTTGATGTCGTTTGCTGCTGATTGGATTCCAGTGCTGCTCAAGGGAACATAATGATACATGTCCGTGGTCTAGCATCATGATCGGCACATTGATGCCAGTCACTTAACCTTGTTCAATTCATACTTTACTCATTCCATGAAACTTTTTGAGTCGGCTTTACATTCCTGGTTTTCCAATACGACTGTTTGTCATACTATCTCTGGCCCAGAGTTGCAAAACTTTTCGATGTTCGCGTGATAGCTCAACAACAACACAACATTTAAAAACGGCGACAACAGGGGGACGTAGGATTCAGTTCAGGCTTCAGCGTTATGTAAAACACATTTGCAAATTTTGTTGAGGCTACGTTGCCAGAGAGAAGCCGGCGTGAACGGTGTTTGAGCACAGAGTTGCAAAATTTCTCACCTGCACAGAATTGATCAGGTCACACTGTGTCACACTGCCGTTTTTACTCTCCGACGCCGTCAAGTGTTGATCGAATGGAGTAGGGCGTTGGATGCCGAGCGGAGCTTGATGACTCCGACCACCAAATCACTCCCCCTGTCACGCCCTGTGTCTCGACAGTACAACATTTGTGTCGCACAACACAGCTCGGTTTTTGTGTCGGAAAAAATTAGAGCAGTGTTAGAAGGTAATGAGGAGTCATGCGTAAAATTCTTGATTTTTTTTGGTCGATGCGATGGCTTCCCTGTGACGGATTGGCGTGGAAAGTACACTTTCTGAGCAGTGTTTTACTCCCGCAAGCACTTCCCGTCCATTTTTTGTGAAATAAAAAATACAGACAGTGAGCTATGCATCGATCATCCTTCAGAATCATTGTGCAAAGAAAATGAGCGAAAGATGAGTGTGCTACATCGCATTTTGCAACTCTGGGCCATTTTGCAACTCTGGGCCAAAGATAGTATCACCTGCGGCATTCTTATAGGATTTACCTTGTTTGTAACATCGATGTCAAAGCCTCTCGCAGGAGCAGTTCGAGTTTCGGCCGATTGAGCTGACAAGTGATGAGGTTCTGCATGGAGTCGCTGGACTGTGATAGGTGTGTGATTCGATCATTTGAGCGTTCTTTGGATAGAAAATGAAAGTTTGAACGACTCGCGTCCAGGAAATACATACCCCTTTGGTTCGTTGAGTGATGCTTTGGGAGTCGAGATTCTTGGAAAAGCGGAGGTGAGTTTCGAGCCAGAACCTTCCCCTTCAAGGTCTCCAACATTTGGCCATCTGTAGTTTGTGAATCCCTAAGGGAGTGTCAAGGACCGAGTTGCCCTGCGTAGCAAGTTCTTTGCGCAGCAATCGACCTGGATCTCATTGTTTTGTGACATGAAATCATCGAGGATGCAGAGCGGCAAGGTTTGTTGCACCATCACACTGCTCCCGCATCTTTGAAGGCACTGTTGGTATCTCGATAGCAACGATAGCAAAAGCAAGGTAAGCGATCCTAGTTCTAGTGCCAGAATGTGTCCATAGCATGATGTTGCAGGGGATATGATACAAGTGGGCAATTTCATCGAGCTTTCTGACCCATCTCACATTTCTTAGCAAATATCATGCCGGACGATGTGGCCCAGGAGAAGGTGAATGCGCTGCAAGCCCTTGGAGCTGATGTCCAGCGTATTCGTCCCGCGAGCATCGTCGAGAAAGAACAGGTGCGATCTCATATCGTGGTCACTCAATTTTTATTTACCATGTTCGTCACGATAATCGCAGTATGTGGTGAGCAATCTCTTTTTGAGTAAAATGACGAAATGATATTCACTTATAAACTTCGCGAACAGAATATCGCTAGGCGAGCAGCCATCAAATTTGGATGGTCAGATATAGTGAAAAGCTTGGACGACGCCCATATCAGCCACGAGCTTCAAACAGGTTCTCCATTTGTGGTGGGGACAACTACTTCCTCGCATATCCACACAGAAGGCACCGTCGACGACCCGCTGGATGAGGACCTGCTGAGCAAGCCGAGGGGCTTCTTTGCCGATAAATTTGAGGTGTTTACTTTGATAGATGAACGGGAGACTAAGACTTAAAAACGCACAGAATCGTAATAATTATGAAGCCCATCACGACGGGACTGGCCCAGAAATCTGGCGCCAAACCAATGGTCACGTCGATGGTATCTGGAGCAGGTGCCCACCGGTTACATTTTAGCTGTCTTGCTTTTCCAATACTATGATTGCAGGGACCGGTGGAACGATCGCAGGCACTGGGCGATTTCTCAAATCGATGGATGACGAGGTCCAGGTTGTCCTAGCGGACCCAGAAGGCAGTGGTCTCTATAACAAGGTCGAAGCCTGTCTTTGCTGGCTGCCTGACAATATTTCATGCACCTTCAGGTCAAGCACGGCGTAATGTACGACCGCAGGGAACTGAAGGCACCAAACGAAGGCATCAAGTTGACATAGTAGTCGAAGGGGTGTGCGTATACAAATATCATTTGTAATTCCCATCTGACTTATCTCTGTAGAGGAATCAACCGCATGACGAACAATATCGACCTTGCACTCCCGATTATAGATGACGCATTCCGGTGCGTCAAGTCTGACCTTGTATTTGAATGGAAGCTCATCGATGACAAAGGATAACTGACGTTGAAGCGGTCGCCATGTTTCGATACCTCGTTCAGAATGATGGCCTATTTCTGGTCTCCAGCAGCGTCCGCAAATTGATGGCATGCATCAAATTCGCAAAGAAAAAAGGCTGTCGGGAAGGTCAAATACTTGTCACGATCCTGTAGATTCCCGGAGAAACCCGTGGAACAATTGCAACTCACTGTTTTCCTAGGTGCGACTCTGGTGATAGACATTACTCCAAGGTGAGTGCACGATATCCTAAGAGGATCGTCTCTAACGCCTCTGTATCTGGGCCCGTCATCAGTTCTGGTGAGCAAAACTTCTTTCGTCTGGAGATTCGCTGACGTGTGTGTAGGAACGATGGTTACTTGCGTAAAGCTGATATCCCGGTCGACCGCAGTCTAATCGAGGATCTTATCGCCCAACCTGGTTCTGGACCTCAATGATGAATCCACAAATTGCATGCGGGTAATAATGTATCCGAGTGCTATGGTACGAATGCTACTTCATGAAGAAAATAACGGGATGGAGATGTTTTTAAACGTTCTGCCCGGTCGAGAGCTGCCCCCAGCGATTCGGAGGCAGTAAAGATCATCGTTACTTAAGGAGCAATTGCAGCAATTACATTATTGACTATGCCCGCGGGGGGTACGACTTTCTGACAATTGAGCGGCGGTAGCTTACGATAGTGCTTCTTGAGTGCAAAGGCCACCCGGAACAAGAAGCGAAGACCTACGGTACGTCGCATACATCAATGATATCTTCATCACTTAGGCTGTATTTCAAAATGGTATTTGTTTGTCCGTCGACAGCCAGCGACCCAATACTCTATCCCCTTATATCCCCAGGCCTAACCATTCTGCCGAATTAATTGACAGGACATAAAAGCAAGCTGTCTTCCTACCGTGTCCCCCACACTCAGAGTCATTATTCCGATCTCATATCACCTCGCACAAATAATGCGTTTCTCCTTCCTCGCTGTCGTTACTGCTTTGATAGCATCTATGTCTGTCACTGCATGCGAGAAGCGGTACTGGACTTGCACCAAGGACAGTGATTGCTGCCACGGTCTTAGCTGTGTATCAACTGTGAGTATGAGTAGCTTTGCATCCAGGATCCGGTCTCATGATTCACCATTTACGCCTTGCAACGCTAAAAGTCTTACTATTCATCCTGTGATTATAAATGATTCTTGATGAGCTGAAAGCTTGAGTGACAGGTCGTGATGTGAGTCATGTTTCTGCTTTCTCTTTGGTGTCGTGCTTGATGAAGTAATACGTAGTTCGTCGTCAATTTACCCAATATGATCAATTTGATATGCTCCAAGATATATGATTGATCCACGCCCCGTTAGCTGAATACCAAGCAATCAACACGCCAAATGACCAGTGCAGAACTTGAACATCAAATACTTAATCCAGAGTTCAGAATTTAGACCCTCCCGGTTGCCCTTTGTGACAGACAACTTGAATAGTACTAATAAATGTCGATGAACCAAAAGAAAGTCTGTTAAGTACTGTCGATCACGTCGTCGACTTGCAGATATACAGAATTCTCAAGTGAAAGTGGGGAGTGCAGTGCAGACGGAGCAAGCGCACAAATACTGACACAACCAAGTGCTCAATTCTTCCACTATTAATACGAGTACAGCTTGCACGTTGTCATCTAGGGCACAAGAAAATCAACATCATGTCCCTGCATTGCTATGACTCGGAGCACCTTTATGAACCCATGGCAGAGTATGTTTCTATCCTCGTAAAGGAGTTTGGTCATGCCCTATTTGGCGATGAGATAAGTACTCCGCGTCCTGAGTCCGAAAGAGAGCAAGCAAATTACCTAGGTGATTAATATTGTACCAGGCAGAAAGGATGTGATATCAGTCTGACTCCTCAGTCCTGACAATGACTATCAATAAATATTTATGGTCACGTGCAGTTCAGTCCTCGCCGGTTTGTTTGGCAAAAGCGTTAGATCCAAACAAACGCTCCGAGGCGGCTTTCCCCTTCGGAACATTTCCACTCTGGCACCAACTCCCATTGTAATTTTACTTTTCAGCCATTCCTATGGGTCGTCAACCTATGAACCGAACCGATGGTTCAGTTGCTTTTCACTTAGGGGACGCACTGTGACTTCACCGTCAGCGGCAGTAGCAAGCGGTTCCAATGTCGTGCGAGATCATATTACCCCATCACAACTCGAGAGGTCTGTGCTCCTTTAGCCAGGATGTTTCCACATTTTCTCCTATTGATGATTTCCTCACCCGCACATCTTACTTTCGCCGTCGCCACTGATCACAAAGCTGCTACATTCTCTGTCGCTTGCTGGCTACCGCCACGCTCCTGGACCACCACTGCGATATCATTAGCGCATCATCGAAGCTTTGTGCGATGAACTATAACAATTGCTGCTGCCGATCGTCACACCGCGTAGCAGATACAACGCCAACATCACTCCTACCATACGGATACCCTACCCTAATATTATTTTTAGCTTTACACATTGTATCTCACATACAGGATGATACTTTTCGGGACACACACACTCGTAATATTACCCAGGCACTCTCAGGTTGTGTCGCGCACTCGGCAGTTGTATCCCACACTCGACCGTCATATCGCGCAACTTTATTAAAGTGGAGTTTACAGCGTCATATCCAATCGAGAGTTGCCGCCAGCGATTCGGAGGCAGTAAAGATCATCGCTACTTGAGGAGCAATCGCAGCAAATACATTATTGACTATCCCCGCCGGTGGTAAGACTTTCTGACAGTTGAGCAGTGGCAGCTTCCGATAGTGCTTCTTGAGTACAAAGGCCACCCGGACCAAGAAGCGAAGACCTACGGTACGTCGCATACATCAATGATACCTTCATCACTTAGGCTGTATTTCAAAATGGTATTTGTTTATCCGTCGACAGCCAGCGACCCGATACTCCATCCCCCCCTATCCATAGGCCTGACCATTCTGCCGAATTAATTGATAGGACATAAAAGCAAGTTGTCTTCCTACCGTGTCCCCCACCCTCAGAGTCATTATTCCGATCTCATATCACCTCGCACAAATAATGCGTTTCTCCTTCCTCGCTGTTGCTACTGCTTTGATAGCGTCTGTGTCTGTCACTGCATGCGAGGAGCAGTACTGGACTTGCACCAAGGACAGTGATTGCTGTCACGGCCTTAGCTGTGCATTAACTGTGAGTATGAGTAGCTTTGCATCCAGGATCCAGTCTCATGATTCACCATTTGCGCCTTGCAACGCTAAAAGCCTTACTATCCATCCTGCCAACCTGCATGATTCTTGATGAGCTGGAAGCTTGAGTGACAGGTCGTGATGTGAGTCATGTTTCTGCTTTTGCTTTGGTACCGTGCTTGATGAAGTAATACGTAGTTCATCGTCAAATTACCCAATATAATCAACTCGTTTCATGATATGGTCCAAGATATATGATTGATCTACGCTCCGTTAGCTGAATATCAAGCAATCAACATGCTAAATGACCGGCGCAAAACTTGAACATCAAATAACCCAAAGTTCGGGATTCCATAGTAGACCTCTCGTCCGCCCTTTGTGACGGACAACTTGAATAGTACCAATAAATGTCGATGGACCGAACGAAAATCTGTTGAGCCAAGTCAAGCACTGTCGATCACGTCGTCGACTTGCAGATGCCACAGATTTCTCAAGTGAAAGTGGGGTGTCTGAGTTAGTTCGTCGCCGTGCACAGCGTTCGTCGAGATGGCCCGGCAAAAGTCTGATTTTTAGAACTGTTCGCGGCGACTTCTCGCTGAACCTGACCGAGAACTCGGAGAAACTTTGGGCCTTTCGTGTGCGTGTCTCCTCAGCGATCTCGCGGAGTATCTCATCGCCAAATTGGGCATGTCCAAATTCCTTTGCGAGGATAGAAACACACTCTGGCGTGGTAGGTTCGTAAAGGTGATAAGACCCGAGCACTTGCCAGTGGTTGTGCCAGTAGTTGTGCGCTTGCTCCATCTGCACTCCACTGTAGTCAAACTGATACAGGAAGGCGTCTGATTTGAACCGATTTGAACGAATCCGTATCTTGTCAAGTGATCAACAAATCAAGCAGTTGCTCAGGTTCGACTGCAATTCTTTCAGCTGACTGCATACATTATGTCCGACCTATGAGGTTTTTGGTCTTCAAGGTTCAGACCAGCAACTTTTTGATTTGTCTCGACAAAACATGCGGTCAATCAAATCAGACACCTTCCTCGGTTTGACCGTGGCTTGCCTCCTCTCGCTGCCGCTTGTGATTCCTCGGTTGTTTGCCCAGCATCCATCGAGAATCTGGCCAAACAAGAGACTGATTTCAATTTGAGCGACCAAGAACCAGGCCCTTCGTGTCCTGCGCATTGAACGTACGTCTTGCCAGCGTGAAGTATCTCATCGCCAAATTGAGCACGAGTATTGAACTCCTTTGCGAGGATCGAAAGACACTCCGCCGTCTTAATACAAAGGAACGACTGTCTTCCATCGATTGGTCTGGCTAGGGGAGACTCTGCCGTGGTTTCTTTAAGAAAGGTGCTCATAGTACTGTAGGGACATGATGGCATGCATTGCCAATCAATGATATGATAACGCGCGGGCTGTACTCACATTGACAATTGGAGACCCGAAAAATTGGTTGTGCTAGTAGGCGCGCGCTTGCATCGCCCACTTTAACTTGAAAATCTATAGCCATTCGCCAGCTTCGACAACGAGATCGACAGTAAGTACGACTTGGCTCGACAAACTTTCGTTCAATCCATTAGTACCATTCGAGTTCTCTGTCGCGAGCAGTCTCACGGTGCCACCCTCGTCAGACCAGAAGAATGGCGGGACCGAAAATGGTAACAGTAAAAGAAAAATGATGATTACGGATTGCCGCAGAGTCTTAGATTCTAGGGATATTCAAGTGAGCGGCGTTGATCGTCCATAATCAGGCCATCTGTGAACGGCCTGGTCATAGCCTAGCGCGAAGCATTGAAACGAATATAACTTGCAAAACAATGAACTGAATTGAATCGATAAGCGAGCCGTGAGAGAGTCGCGCACGGGCCAGGTGGAAAAGTTATATAAAGCTGACAGCCAAGATAATGAATCCTTAGAACATACTCAGCTAGGATCTATTTTATAGAAACTAACTCGAGTCTCGCATGTTTACACATGCCACATCCTTCAAATCCACTGGATGACAATTGCGCTCTCTCGTTCGACAGAGAACATGGCCTTCGCTTTTATGCGGGGTTTCGAGGACGTTTGGTTTTGTCCTTTGCGCGACTGCTTGCAGTTTAGTGAAGCGGAGCCAGCGAGCTGAGCGTCTGTCTGATGGATTTCTACTTGTACATGAATCATGATATTGTCTAGTTACTATGAATTCAAATTTCTTTGACTTTATACTGGATGGTTCCTTGCTGCTTGTTGGATCTGGTCTCTTGTTTTGGTAAGGAAAACTTCTTTTGTCTGGAGATTTGTTGACATGGAGAAACAATATGATCCCTTGGCCGGCGGCAGTCTAATTGATGACCTGATCGCACAACCTTGTTCTGGAGGGTTTTCGCCTCAATAAATGAATCCATAAGTTGCATGAAGGTAAACAATGTATGCGAGTGCTATGGTACACTTGATGAAGCAAACAACGGGATGGAGATAGCATGGACATCAACTTCAAGGCCACAGCGGGGCAGATAGACTGGGTGGCGTGGGTATTGGTCTGTGACCAAATCCGTTTTGACTGATGGAAGGAGCCCCTGTTGCAGGAGGATGTGGTGAAATACGTGATGTCTCCTTGGATGGAGATACGCTTAGTGCTGTATGGGAGATGCCGTTCATGCTAGGAAAATGTGTCAGTGTCTAGCTAAGGAGAACAGACATAGACATACGAGGTATCATGAGGAGTAGCAAGCGGCGGGTCAGGGTGTAATTTTGAGGAAACCGGCTTGCACCAAAAAATCCCAAACTCGACTCGTCTTGTTTACGTCAATCTTGACGAGATCCCGCGCTTCCCTGCGACGAAGCTTGCCTCCACGACGAGCGTACTCTCGGACAAGGGTTTCCTTGATGACAAGATATGGTTTGGGTAAGATTCGGAGCTGCGAGCAGAGGGTCTGCTCGGCTGGAGTAAGCAAGTGCAAAGATGGACTATTAGCAAGATTGAGAGGGGCGGCTGGATGGCAAGGTGAGCTATTGTGCGATAAACTTGAATAGAAATAAAAACGAACGTGGTCTGCGGTTTGGAGGACCTGTTCCACCGGGTGTCCCGATTTTTGGAGTCGAGTCTCTCTCGTGACTTTTGCGACCTTCCGATTCTCCTAAAACAATGTCGGTAAAGGAGATACATTGAAGGTATGAAGAAATGACATACTCGCGCTGCCTCCAGCACGGAGCTGCGCCAGACGTTCCGAAGAATAATAATCGCGAGACAAATTTGCTTTTGCTTGAGTCTACCGTACAGGTGAGTTGTACATACTTGACAAACCAGTTGCGGTGCATTTCTTACCCGCCGAATGGAGTCGAGTTCAAATTTATCAATGTCCGCAGGAGTAGTAAGTCCCATTCGTCGATAATCCTGCAATTCTTTTATTCTCTTCCTTAACATGGCTTCAGTCTATTGCAGCAACATCATTAGCGTCTATCCACCACAAATGCAAGAAGTCCTTACAGAGAATATCAGCGGCAAAAACTTCGAAATCCTCGGCAGTCTGAAGTCGAGCAAATGGTCGAAGCCGCTGAACGATGTCCTTCTCTTCCTTCGGGCGCTTCTTTTCGGCGGCTTGCATCTTCAAAAAGAAGTCAGTCTATAGTGCGTACATATGCGACGACATACCTTCTTGTATTCCAAGAGACCTCGTTCATACATGATAGCTTTGGATTCCCGTCGCTTATCAACGCGCTGATTGTACATCTCCATCAGAGATAGCTTGAAGGCGAGTGAATCTTCCGTCTCATATGGAGGAGGTAGCGTTGCTTCTTCTGCATTTGCGTCGTCCTCCGTTGAACCCTGCTGCTCGCCAGACGGTTCTTCGGACTTGACGCGCGAATCACCGTTCATTGGGAGATGTCCGTTGCCATTCAGGATACCATTGACACCATTGATGGGTGGCTGACTGCTGTTCCTGGAACCATCAGCGGTTTTGCGCTCCTCATGCATACGTGCCCTTGCGCGAACATCCGCAGTCGTTTTCATCTTCCACTATTTGGTCACCGCCCCATGCATGACAAATTCCAAATTCGAGGTCTTTCACAAGATCCTCCGCTTCATTGTCGAGCTCGTGTTCGAACTCGAGCCTACCAGGGAGGAAAGTGGCAATTTCATGTACCCCAGGGGCGGAGGTTGGGGCTACCTTGGGCGGGGGAGGCAAAGAAGTGGTCATGGTTGACATTCGTCTGCGTTTGCGAGCCTGGAATGCCTCTGGCTCAATATTGAATTCGACAGTCCATTCGCTGTAACACGTGTCATTTTTTGAAGGTGCAAACTTGAACCATAGACGTACAGGAAGTGGCCAATCGGGGGAATCAACATATATGCTGTTGTAATGTTCTTCAACATCTTCCTTTGGTGCGAGTTCCAATATGTTCTGCGATCATCTGCCAGTTTCCAAGGCCTTCCTGAGATATTCCCTCAACAAGTAAGAGCTCCCTGTAGATACGATTCAGACGAAAGCAATGACGAAGGCATTGGTAACTTACTCATCTGCCCCCCAGTCAGCAGAGAAAATTGGATATGAGTGAAGTTCCTAACATGCCAGTCAACACCGGAACGTGCACCGAACGTGAATATGTCGTACGATAACGCGGTATGCGTGACCTGGTTTATGCTTGGCGAACTCTTTGCCAGCGCAAAAGCAAGCGGGGCAGATATCCACACCATCTCCCGGCTCACAGACAGGATCAGCGCACTTGATACGAGCGGAATGCGTCAAGTCGCATTGGCAGCAATCACATTGAATCTGCAAGCCCGGCTCGTTTACAGCTGGACAGTGCGTTTACGTAAATTAAGCGTGAGAACGGCTTTTGATCATTGAAGCAGAAAATACGGCTGGAAGAGGTGGAAGAAACCACGTACTTTGTATTTCATCAGGTTGGTGTTGTCGCTTTCGATGGGAGACAGTCATCCCAGAAGAAATGGACGGAGAAGCCCAAGGTGCTGGGGCTCGAAAGGTAATAGAGCTTTGAGCTCGCAAGCTGAAACAGGTTTACAGAAAGACGATCGTATGATTATGAGAAAACGTACAGAAAAGTTGTATTTCAGCTCTCTGCGACAAACGAAGGAGACACGTGTCGTGGGTGACAGAAGTGGAAGAACGCGCTAGTTGCTGGCGATGCGGAGCAACTGCCGGAGTCCTGTAACGTCGCGAGGAAACACCAGCGGGGTAAGATCAAGTATTGGCGATGTTGCTAGATCTCTCTCAGGCCTTAGGAATCGAAAGACGAACAAGGCCTCGACAACGTACAGCTGACTGGCGCCAATGCCAGAGACGAGGAGGAGAGTATTTACATATGTTTGGCCCCGCCGCCCTTGACCAAAAGCGGAATGCACGTGAAAGACTTGTGGTCTAACTTATAAGTTTACGGCGTGCGCCAAAGTTTGCGAATTTAAAAGCATCCCCCCAGGCCTCACCGGCACCAATCTGAATGTATATGAGTGTGCTGGAGCGCTGACTTTCAAGTTTTGAGGTTTTACCCACGTGATCCGCCATCCATCATATCTCTCAAGTTTTTCGCTTTGTTCCCTTCCTCCGCAGCGAGCTGACTCGTCACGTTTTGTTTCAGGCTCGTTGAGGACATCGTGTTTTCGTTTCCGATCTGGCATGAATGGTATCGATGTGAATTTGTGCAACCGTGTATGTACCTAAGTTTGCCCTCGGTACTATGATGAGGATATAAAAGCAAGTCGTCTTCCTACCGTGCCTCCCCACATCAGAGTTATGATTCGAGATCTGATCCCCCTTGGCAGATCCCATATCACCTCACAAATAATGCGCCTCTCCTTCCTCCTCGCCGTTGTTGCTGCTTTGACAACATCTATGTCTGTCAGTGGTGACAGTGCGGTTAGTAATACGCGGCTTGCACCACTGGCAGTGATTGCTGCTTTCACCTTACCTGTGTTCTTCCTTTACATCCAGGATTGAATCTCATGACTAACCATTCATGCCTTGTGATACTAATATGGTTTCGATTTATACTGTGATTATGCCGGTCCAGGTAATTAGCTGGCAGCCGAATGGCATGTCGCGGCAGTGAGTCATGTTTCTGCTTTCACATTGGTGCTGTGGTTGATGGCACGATACGTAGTTCACTGCCGAGTCGATAAATATGGCTTCTGGACAGCTGCTTGAACATCGCGGACCGTTGAATAGAGGAACATATCAGGCACTTGATACGATACTGACTCAAATGCGCGACATATGGGCGAATGAAGTACTACATGCGTTTCAGGCTTGGTGTAACTTGAAGCCTGAACACCAAAAATCTCATATGTTGGACACAATGCATGTCAGCTGCAAGGATTGCAGTCGAAACTGAACAAGGGCTTGTTTTGTTGAACACTTGACAAAACATGCAGTTACTCAAATCAGACACCTTCCTATATCGGTTTGATCATGGCTTGCCTCATCTCGTTCGGTCGGAGTTGGTTCGTCGCCGCTCGCGACGTGCTCGGTTGTATGGACGGCGTCCGTCGAGACGGCCAAGCAAGAGACTAATTTATTTGAGTTTACGGCGACTCCTCGTTGAACCTGATCGAGGACCAGGAAAATTCATGTCCTGCGCGCTGGGCATCTTGTCAGCGATCTCGCGGAGTATCCCATCGCCAAATTGGGCATGAGCAACCTCCTTAAAAGTGCTCATAGTACTGCAGCCTGCAGGAACATGATGGCATGCACCGCCAATCCGTAATATGATAACGCGCAAGCTGTACTCATGTTAAGAATCGAAGACCCGAGCACTTCGTTGTGCTAGTAGTTGTGCGCTTCCACCCTCCCACTTTAACTTCAGAAATCTATAGCATCTACAGGTCGACAACATGATCAACAGCAAGTACTTGGCTTGGCTTGACAGACTTTCGTTCAAATTTACTAGTCTAGTGCTATTCAAGTTGTCTGTCAAGAAGGGCGATAGGGAGAGTCTATGGAATTCTGAACTTTGGAGTTATATAGTATGACTAGTAGTCCTGATAGTACAATGTATCAGTGTAAGCCTGGTGGCTTACGTACGCCTACACATATGGTTCATTGCATCGTAGACACCCCTCTTTCCCTTAAGGTCAGTACGGATTCGATGTACTAATTCAAGGTTTCGTCTCATGTTTACCTAGCGTCAACGTACGTCAACATACGGCATATGCAAGTAAAAATTTCACATCCCGACGTTGTTTGCAGGTTACAGGCTCCACACCTGCATGTAAACTTGTCGTTGCAAATACGCTCTATTACTATAACCCATCTGCATTGTTTCATAGCGCTGGCGCCAGGCGCCAGGTCATTGATCCTCACCTTGAAAAGGTTTTTGGTTATGATGGCATGTCACAGGGTGCCCATATTTTGGAGCCGAGCGAAGTCTTTCAAATCTGCGTCATTTCATAGTGCTGGCGCCTCGTAATCCGTTATCATATAAATTGAATGTTGTCGAGTCCCAAAATCCTCAGAGACAATCGACTCATTGCAGTGAGTAATCCTGAGACCTAAAGACTTGTGCAACTTGACCATTACATCCATTTCGAATTTAGCTCTTCCTGGACGTGCCATAACACCATCGCGTACACCACACAATCACAAAATTTGATCGTGGGTAGTAGTTTCCTGGCATCGAGGGTCATCACTGACGCATATACTAGATACCATGAAGATCCAGTTCACCTACCTCGCTATCCTTGCTGCCGCCACCGCCGGGGTGAAGGCTGTCAGTGAATCCTGCGTGGATTTTTGCTACTCCGATGACCTTCAATGCGATCCAACTTACTATCCCCTCTATCAAGCTAGGACTGGCTGCTGGATCTGCTGCAATGACACCTGAGGGGTAGCCATCGAATTTGTGCAGATGCATGTATTTTGTCTGATTGCCTAATATCATGGGTTCTGAACCCGCTAATGAAAATCATTGGAAAATATGTTGATGCTGAGAGGCACAGTGACCGAACTGCGCCCAAGTTGTTCTCCAGTCAGACTCAGAGTATCAAGTAAGTAAGAATAGACACGCCACATCACCATCGGTACTAATAAACGTTTAACCGGGTGTCAACATGTCATGCTAAAGAGCTGGCCTACTAGAAACGGAAGGCTTCCTCGACGTCCTGTTGATCAGATTATTCAAGCAAAAATCACCAGTCAACAAAGCAAACTCACGTCCGCCAAGGGATCTCCTCCCCAAACCCAGACGCACCGTCATTATAACTCTCCTGCACGTTATCAATGAGCCTCCACCACCTCTGCATCTCCTGGTCGTCCCCAAAAGCCTTCATGTCTTTCTCAAGGTACTTTGTACTTGAAGTTTGCGATGAGAAAATCAGCGGCGGTTAATGGTTGATCGAGTAGTCCACGACGTGGTATCGTCTGAGAGCGTGCAGAGTGCCAGGCCAGAAATCCTGCGGACAATATCGCTTGCACTTGCTGTCGCTAGCACAGGTAGGCAGCCTCCGAGATTTCGAATAAAAAATAGTAGATCATATATTTAACAAGCGCTCCTTACACCTTCGGATGTTTTCCACCGTCAATCACAATAAGAGATGTCTGTACACCTACGTTTACCGTTGTATTTTCCTCTTTCTCCCTTCCGAATAGCGATCAAATGTCTCGTCGACATCGCACTCTCAATAGTATGGTGTATAGCTGTCCGTGTGCGAACGAATCTGTGCGCAAGTCAAGCACGACTTTCTCTAGCGTCAGCCCTTGACATCCGTTGAATGTCGTCGCATAGGCAGGTCGCAGAGGAAACTGTTTGCGATTTACAGTCCAGCTTGAGTATCTCTCCGGTATGAGAACTTCGACAAATGAAGAGCGGTGATGCAGGCTTGTGCATTTCGACGGACATGTTACGTTATATTGCGCACACAGCATTCACTTTGAGATCTAATCGATGAGGCCTGGGTGTGTCCGGATGAGTCAACATCGCGAGATAGTCTAGAGTCTGCTCGAGACAGGAAGATCTCCAACGCCGTCTTCTGGCTCAAAAGACACGGGTACAAAGCCATCCATCTTCCAAAACGGTTTTTTCGGCTCCAAAGCATAACGAGTAGCATTTTGAATACCGACGACGCCGTGAAATGAGCATGCAGAGGCCATGGTGGTAAAAGCAGAGGCACACAGTTAGGAGAGAAACGTGCGATCGCATGTGGAGCTCGGTGGCGTGCAATTGTAAAAGGAGTAGAGACACGGAGATAAGCGAATCACCAAGCAAATCGGACAGCATGTGGAGCTTAGGTGGAGCACAAACAGGAGAGTCACGCGCATTGGTTCCGTAGGATCAAACGTTTCCGAGTCATCCTTACATATGTTAGATGTTCAAGTTCTGCACTGTGGTCATTTGGCGTGTTGATTACTTGGTATTCAGCTAACGGGGCGTAGACCAATCATATATCTTCGACCGTATCTTGAAACAAGTTGATCATATTGAGTAATTGGACGATGGCCTACGTATCGTATCATCAAGCACAGCACCAAAGCGAAAGCAGAAACATGACTCACATCGCGACCTGTGACTCAGGCTTCCAGCTCATCAAGAATCATCAAACATCGCAGAATGAAGCGAGTTCATCCTTTTAGTGTTGCAAGGCGCAAATGGTGAGTCATAGGATTGGAATCTGGATGCAAAGGAAATCGGTCATACTTACAGAGTAACAAAAAAGGCCATAACAGCAATCCTTGTAGGTTTTGCAATCATCGTATATCCCACCACATGCCTTGGTTGCACTGACAGACATGGATGCTGTCAAAGCAGCAGAAACAGCGAGGAGGAAGGAGAAACGCATTATTTGTGAAGTGATATGGGATCTGCTAAAGGGGATCTCGAATGGTGAGGGAGGCACGGTAGGAAGACGACTTGCTTTTATGTCCTGCGAATAGCGCCGCGGACAGAAGTCGGGGTTTCTTGGGCAGAATGGTTAGGCCTGGGGGATAGCGGCGAGAGTGTAGGCATGGTCACGGATAGACAAATACAGCCTGAGTGATGGAGGGAACATTGTATGCGATGTGCCGTAGGGCTTCGTCCACACATTAATAACGGTTGGAGCGTTCATAGTTGGCGAAGGCAAAGGTGGGACAAACGTATTAGCAGAGGAGCCCTCCATGGAAACAGGGCCATAAATACTAGATAGGCCATTTGCTTTGGAGGTGGAAGCACTGGACTCGTATTTGGGATGAAGGAAGCATGCGGTAGATATGCTATTGGGGCTGGGGACCCAGATGTCGCTCGACTTCACAGGAACGATTGTCTTCTTCAGAAGCCGGGGGTCGAGCTCGATATCAGTATAATATGTGGCGTCAGAGGAATGAACACAGCGTGGGTTGGGTCGGGGTAAACTGCACCCTCCTACACTTTAGTGTAATTCGTACAGTACAATGTTCCGCGACAGTCGAATTGCGATAGTGCTAAGCACAGCTGGATTGGGGAACACGTATGCGACATCGCATATCCAGATTGGTAATGGTGTTCGTTGGAGGTATACACATGATCAATATAGATATGAACGGTGGTATATTCTCAGAAGAGGGACTGCATTTTCTGAGTACGACGATGCAAAGTATCAGTGCCGCTAAGCTGTCAATCGGGAATTAGCCAGGGAACACAAGTAAAAATTGAGCCTGATACGTGCGATCAGAATAAATTTCGATACGTTTGGTGGAACTGCGGAAGAAGTAAAGGTTCTCCGGACAATATTTGAAAACGACTGCTGGCAAAATGAGATATTTCCGTTCAATGCGTCTGCGCTTCGGGATCGCAGGAATGATAATTACCGTCTTTTGCGGCCTAGAAAGTCCAAAACAAACAGTGTGTAGCCCCAAGACTTTGGCGCGTTTGTCCACGTCACCTATCTTAACCCGCCGCACGTCTGGTAATACCTAGTGAAAGGACCAAATAAGGTGAAGTGTAGTACATGCACGCGGGGTGAAGATTCTCCCTCGTCGTCACGATGGCTTCACAATCTGCGTTACTCATTTTTGTTGTATGAGATGCAGGGACTGCAGCACCGTTCCAAAACTTGACATTCAGAGGGAAGAAATGGCATGGAATACGTCGACGGAGAGAGTTCGACTTGCATAGTCAACGGAGGACGACTGGGATCATGATAGATCTGTGGAATGGTAATTAATAATGTGGAGTCGATTCCAAGACGCGCTAGTATAGGGCACACGCACACGACAAACATAACCAGAATTCCAAGATAACAAAGGAATGCAATGTATACAATATCATCTGATGCGAATAAACCAGACTCCTACTTATGACAGAGCACAGAACCGTCAAGAGGGATGGCGGCATTGTCTACAGGTCCCTTGAGATGCCTGAAATATTTTTATCAAATGCATTCGCTGATAGTGGTTCTGGAAGTCAACCGAGCCTCTCCTCGGGACACGGGGAGGGGCAACTGTCAACACGAAATCTAGTGATAGCGCGGATGATGGTGGCGTGGATCATGGAAAACTTGCCGGGTAGTACAGATCGTTACCATGCGGGCAACATTTAACGTGCCCAGTACCGAAAGTGTAAGGAGTATCTAGCGATCATTCTGGGCGATCTTGGTCTCGTGGCAAAGCAGGGTGCGTACGAAGGATGATGAAAGACGAATGAAAGAGACATCTGGTTGATAGGAACAGACATATGATCTTTCGAGCGGGTTCATCGAGCCAGTGCGGCAGTTCTGAACCTTGATTGTACATTTGTTCCACTTCCCGCATTCGTTCAAATACGAATAATTACGAGAGTACCAGTGAGTGAAACGTAGCACATAAGATGAGAGAATCTATGCTCGATCATCAAATGGAATATTCATCCATGAAGAAGCTCACGCGGCAGTAAGTCCTAGTTGTTGATGCCATCTCTGCGCAGAGATCGGGAGTAGCTTCCAGGATGCTCTCTATTTCAGCAAGCTCCACGATATCCTTTCGCGAAGTAGAAAGAACGAATCCGTGATGTTGGTAGCGCCAGCTCTGATATTATCTGGTAAACTCTTATAGCATTATATCAATCTAGTACAGACCTCCAGCGAAGGTCGACTTCAGCAAGACCTGTCAACAGCGAGCTAGTGTCTGACTTCCAGTTGTCATCGCGACATCGAGAACAATATTCTCGTAGGCAGAGGGAGACGAAGCCGACCGTGTTTCTAGAACCAAGTCAGCCGGAACATAGGAAGATGTCCAATTTGAACGACTGCCAGCGCATGCCTTGCGAAGTGGACGAATAATAGTCTAATGTTGCAAACTACTGCTCTGATTCAAGTAATTCTCGTACCAGGGAGTCTTATTCTTTGAGTTCAAGCTGTAGGCATTGCGGTAGTATTGCTACGCAGAACTCGGCGGTCGGTTTGGCAGAACGGATAACGATGGCGAAACTTTTACGAAGAGAGTAAGCCGACACCCTACGAGGATTCGTTATCCGCCGTAGGTGGTCACACCGAAAGACAATATTAATGCGGAGTGATAGTTTAGGTGCCTCAGGTTCAAGTTCAATGTTGAATAGATGGATGGACCACCACGTGACTTCCTGTCAGTTGCCGTCGGAGGTTTTACTACACCGTCAGTTTTGGCATCGGAATTCGGAGCCCGAGCTTGTTCTCCACTTCGAATAACTATATAGCTGCAGCTGTAGCTGTGGCCGAACTCTCGTTTTCTGTTTCGACTACACTTTTCTTCCTCCATATCACTGAACCTACTCAGAATTCCGGTTCTAAGGATGGACGACGTGACATATGCCGGCAGCGGGAGGTCAATCGACATCGAGCTTGGAGGACAAGAAGTCATTACAATCGATCTTGACAACCTTGATCCGAACCGGAAGATGTATTGGATCTTTTGAAGGAAGGTCAATGCAAAGTTTCTGTGTGGACGAAGTTAGCTGGCGAGTATTGGCGAAGGGGGATACTGGCAGCTGCTGAAAGAATAGCACATTCTGCTATTGAATGTGCGTTTATAGCTCAAGCTATCGTGTAATTTACTTGAGTGTGTCTGCAGCATTACAGGGCAAATGGGAGCGACAGCTTCCTCCCCTCCAATATACGCGCTTCTTGCGAATATCCAGATAGCTCATGCTCAAAAAGCCCCCAAAGTGGTGCTTTCAGAAGCTCGTAGCTCCATCAATTTAAGCTTTTAGCCACGACTAATAGGTCTCAGGGGAGGATAAACTGACTGGTGTTGCCGTCCAAAGGAAGAATATTACCGTGTGAAGCTGCTCAGTATCTTAACACCTGGCGAGAGGGGCTGCTGCCGAAGGTGGTGAGGGTGTGGGCGGAACCTTGGCATGTCTTGACTCGAGGTACTGCTCTCATCCCATCCAGTCTCTGACTAACTTACCACTTTATCCAGGGATACAACAACTGGCCACAAGGTCATGGATGATTGCCATGCCGCTCCTTTGAGGGTGTACTGGCTGAAAAACCTACTAATGTCGTGGCACTTCTCGGCAAAGTACGTTCTATTAGCCTGCGATTCTAAGTAGTTGGTGACCACCCAGGTATCAGGCTCGAATTCTCTATGCTCGAAGGAGTTATCCTCCCAGCACTCAAAACTATTCCAACAAATTCTTCAGCTCAACCCGCAGTGCATCCCTGACCCACGGATTGGTATCGGACTGTGTCTATGGGCAATGGACCATAAATCGAAAGCGAAAGCGGCAATGGCAGCGAAGCTTAGAAGTAGTAAGTACTGGTACCGAGTGGGGCGCCGTCAGATGGCTAAACGAATTTCGTAGAATCCGTCAGAATGGTCGGCACAGCTTCTGCTTGGACTGGAGTCCATTAACGCAAGTAAGACCGAAAATCTCAGTGAGAAAGATCGCGCGCAGGCGTTCCTTGCTGGCACAAAATTCATAGAGAAGGCTTTCAATGCCAATCAGAAGAGTGCTGCCGCCGCCAATGCGCTATGTGAACTCTTCCTCAGGAAGGGCAGCTACAAACGAGTATGTGGTATTTCATTCCCTTTTAGAACGCACTTCACGCCACGTCACTAGGCTCTCAAGCTTGCAGAGCGCACCATTCAGTTCGCTGACACCCTCACACTGCTAACAGAGGGAAACCTCAGAGCTGCTCGGGTGTTGCATGCAGAAGGCTCTCTCAAAGAAGCTACCAAATATTACACGACAGCCACAGATGGCCAGCCAAAACATATTTAGGTGCCATCGGCATGGCGCAAATGCAGATACAGAACGGTAGGCCGACGTGAACAGAAGAGCAGAAAAGGTAACTCATCTCATTCCCAGATGAGACAGCTGCAGCGATCCACACCCTCGATCTTCTTCTGCAACCTCCAAATCCTCAGCGTTCTGTTGAAGCGATGGTTATGCTCGCTTCCCTCCGCGCTCACCCCCGTCCAGGAGTGTCTAGCTCGGACTTCGCTCAAGAAAAAGCCAAAGCCCGTGAACTATTCGACCGCGCTATCAAAGCTCTCGAGCAGGACGACTCTCGTGCGTCCAATGGTCATATTCACATCACACAGTCAGTTATATCAACGACGACTTGGATATGCATGTCGAAATTGCACGGCTTTGGCAAGAGGAGAGTCTTGACCGGACAACACGAGCCCTGAAGGAGGCGCTGAGGCTCAGTGAAGCAAACGAAAGGATCGACCCACGGTTGCTCAATAATATGGGTGCCCTCCAGCACTTGGAAGGCAATGTAGCAGAGGCACGGGCATTCTACGAAGACGCACTCACCAAAGCAGCTAGCTTGGGCCAGGATGTTGCAGAATCGATGTCAATAACGATGTTATACAATCTAGCTCGGGTGTACGAAGACAGTGGGGACGTCGCAATGGCGAAGGAAGCATATGATAAGCTCCTAGCAAGACATCCGGAATATGTCGACGGTGAGTGCAGCTAAACAGAGCTTGTATCCCTGTCTAACGCTGCCCTTTAGCCAAGGTTCGACAAGCGCAGATGCTAGCTGATCTCAATCAGTCAAACGAAGCTCACGAGCTCCTGAAACAAGCCATGGCATCGCAAAACAGCAACCTCAATCTCCGCGCGTTCTATACTTACTTCCTCATCCAAAGCAATTTCCCGAAACCAGCCAAAGATTTCGTGTTTGCTACTCTCAAGGATCACGACAAGCATGATGTCTATTCATTATGCGCCGCCGGTTGGATTCAATATCATCAAAGCAGGGAAAGTCGAGACTCAACCCCGAAAGGCTTAGAAGAGCGGAGACGTGGTTTTTCAGCGCTCTGCTGAGTTCTATGATAAAGCTCTGCTATTAGACCCGCTCTGTGCTGTTGCCGCTCAAGGACTTGCCATCGTAACCGCGGAAGATGCCACTCGGGTCCTTTGGAGGTGGTCCAGCTACTTCTAATGCAGACGATCCACAGAAACGAATGAGGAACGCACGAGACGCCCTCGACATTTTTGCGAAGATAAGGGAGTCCCTCGCCGACGGCAGCGTATACCTGAACATGGGACATTGCTATTATGCTCGGGACGAGTTTGATCGTGCTATTGAAAGTGTGAGCCTTCCATGAGTCTATCTCACGCTATTCACGCGGATTGACATGTGCATGGCATAGTATGAGACAGCATCTGTACGATTTTACAGTGGCCATAATGTTTCTGTGCTCTTGTGTCTGTGTCGAACGTGGTATGCAAAGGCCAGCAAGGACCAATCGTTTGTTGCTATGAGCACGGCGCTGAAATATGCACAAAAGGCATGACATTCCCCTTCTCTGACTTTCGTTGGAATTTACGGTCTTTGATAGGCCCTCCACTTACAACCAAGCGACAAGGCCATCTTATACAATATCGCCATGGTTCAGCAAAAAGCTGCAGAGCTACTCTTCGGCCTGAGCCCGTCGAAGCGTACACTTAAAGATCTGGAGTGGGCGATCCTACAGGCTGGGCATGCACAACGGTGAGCTCTCATCTCATCGATAATGTCGTGGCTTGGATTAAATGAGCATCTCCAGATTGTTTGCTTCTCTTGCCGCAGACTCTGCCTCAGTCGTGCCGTACAGTCGCGATATCGCCGATCAACGTAGGAAATACGGTGAAAGTATGCTGAGAAGAGGGGACGAGCATCTGGCGACACAGAAAGAGTTCGAAGCTGAAGCGCAGGCGAAACTTGACGCTGCTAGACAACGGAGACAATTGGAGAGGGAGAAGCAGGAGGCTCTCGAGGTAAGTGCATTCGTTCTTTTTCGTTCAAGTTCTGTCTGAGCTACTTTCTCAGCGAGAAAAAATCGAAGAACTCCGTCATCAAGCGGAAAAGCTTGCAGAAGAACGTCGGAAGGCGAGGGAACAAGCTCAGGAATGGACAAGGGAGGTTTCAAATGGAGAGTGACGAAGAGCGCGAACGTAAATCCAAGCGAGCCGCTAAAAAGGTCAAGGTTGAAGGAGAGAGTGGAGATGAAGGGGCCGAACCTAAGAAGAAGAAGAGGGGCGGAGGCAAACTCAAAAAAACCATTGATCAGGATGTCGACAACGAGCAGCTCTTCAGCGATGAGGAGGTCGACAGTAAACCAGCGAAGAAGGTATGGCATTTCGATTTAACTTGACTGAGACAGTTTTGAATTCCTTAAATCAGCGCGTCCCGAAAAAACGAGTCGTCCGAGATGATGACGACCAGGAAGCTGTCGGAGGACCACGCAAAAAGCAATAGTACGTGTGGCATCTAGACATTCTTGACCTTTGCTCATTCCTCGCCAGTAAAAGCAAGGAGATTATATCTGATACTGACGATGAGGATATGTCATGATGCAGAGTCCTTGTATTATCACTGTTGCTTTCGTTTAAATTGGCATCTATCGAACCCGCGGTACTTGGAGCTCGGGATCGCTTCATGTAAATATATATATCTTGTACCATACTATTCCGAAGCGATTATTATTATGTAGCTCAGCTGCCAGCTAGAAAGGAGTACCAAGAAGTCGCTTAATGTAGATGTAGTACTTTCTTATTGCCGTCGTGACCCCGGCTTCAATTATATCTCCAACTTACCGAGTAACGGTCGCCGATCTCGAGGATGCCCCCTCGGTCCCGCAACTTATGCCAAGTCTGTCACGAAACTGAATCAAAGTATACTTGCGCAAAATGCAGAACAACCGTCTAGTAGGTTCACCCGCATTGCGCTTGCTCGATACTAATATCCATGCCCGACGTCCCAGCTGCTCCGTAGGATGCTACAAACTCCATAAAGGTATGATATTTCAAACATAGAAACAAGCCAAAGATGGATCTCATCGAAAGCCGCCCCACAGAATCTTGCGGCTCTGCTGAAACCCCAGCTGTGACCCGCGAAGGTAAATTCCTTCCTTGAGTTATCCCAGAGTTTTCCTCAAAGAGAATCAGCACCACCATCATCTGCAGAAATCGCAGAAGATGGAGTGACGCTCGATGATCCAAAGCCACCCCGCTCTCTCACTTCTCTCAATTGGCCTTACGTGCCTGAAGAATCAGCATATCCCGACCCATTGAAACGTGATGACCCAAGGCCATTGCAAGTCCACCAGTACGAAGCCATCGGTATGTCCGTTCATCAACTACCGTTTCGTGCGTTCAATCCTATCTCCGATCGTTAGCTACTTCCGCTGCTGTGCGTCGTGCGCTGGAGTCAAATCCTCGTCTGCCAGGGCTTCTTACTTCCATAGACAAGCTAAGAGGTGCAGATAGAGAGGATGCTTTAAATCGCGCTCTTGGAGTTGACTCTAGGCAGCTCAAGAATGATTTATTGCGTCCTCAAGAGTTAGATGAAGACACTAGGGCACTGAGACAGCTCGCAGAAGCTGTGGAAGCTGCTGCGCGAGGGGGAAAGGAAGGGGTGCTAGGTCTTGACTGGGACGAATAAGCAACGGAATCAAAATGCCAGAGCAGAAATGCATGCACAGGAAAAAACCTCCAAGACACTGACAAGATAGCAATGCAAGTCTAACAAACCCATCCCTTGCACTTCACTTGACCCCTAAAAACAACAGTCCCCTCTTCGCCTTTTCAACCTCCTCCTCTAGTTCGCGCCCATCACTAGCTGTCCACCAATCTGCCTTGTCGATATCTTCGACCTTTTTGCCACTCCTAATAGCAGACTCGAATGCCGATTTTCTGGCATTCAGGCTGGCCATGCGTCGGGGATCTGAGTGGCCGGTGAAAATGATGAGTGCCGTCCTTGGAGGGAGGGATGCGTAGAGGGTGACAAGCTGGTTGTTAAGAGTTGCCTGGGCGTTGGCGATAACGCTAGGCGATGGTTCAGCGGGGGTGACTGGGGCAGCTTGGGTCTCTGCAGCCGTCGTCTTTGGTGTTAGCCCTACAAATCGTAAGTATATAATAATAGAGAGATCAAGTGTATGTGTACTCACATCCCATTGCGTCTGCAATGCCGGTGAACCGTGCAAATGCGAACTCGTGTCCTGGAATAGCCTGCAGCAGCCCATCGAGCACTTCGTCGTCGCTAGTACAAGGCACATTCGAGTTGGCTTTTGCTCCATGCATTACACCAGGGTTCCCATGGTCCACCACTACACTCCGTACAGACCCTGGTCCTCCTCTCCCGCTTGCCCTCCCCATACGTTCATATATGCTCTCAAAATCGGTCTTGTACTCCCCATAGGTAGGGCCATACCTCAATTTCGACTTCAGGAGGTCGATACATGCCCGCGCATCCTCCTCCGGATCGTGCCCACTATCACCACGTGTCTGGATTTCGCGATTCACCCATTTTTTGGTGAGCCACGCAAGTCCCGGCTTCAGCGGCCTCCCGCGTGGGTGATGGTATATGACAGCAGTGTCGATGCACCTAGGGTGGCAGATCCGGAGTGCTCGGAGGTCGGATTCAAGGGAGTGTCCGACGAGGATGGAGGTCGGTCCGCCTTCTGGTGCGAGGATGGGCATGAGTTGTGCCTGAACCTCAGCGACCGTTGTTGTAGCCGATGCGAGCAAGGATTCTGTGATGCCTGACCATCTGATGGCACATATTTCAAAATCGGCGTTTGATCATGATGTGACATTTCGCTTACTTGGTCATGTAGTCGATAACTGGCTTCGGAGGTTTGACAAGTTTGTCGTACACGACTATTCCGCTCTCGTAATCGATCATGCAAACTCGGGTAAGTTCCTTGCCGTCCTCTGTTAAGCACTATGTTCGCGTTTGAGTTAGTGACTCGTCACCCCAGCTGCAGTCACGCACCATTTCACAGTCGATAGCATATATTTTTGATTGCCGTTTCTCTGCTGGAAGCAATAGCACTGACTCTTCCGATGCCTGTGGAGTCTCGACCCAACCAGGTCCCTTTTCGAATACGTCAGCCATGTATGAGGGAACTGGATATTCGTTCTCTATCATCTCCTTCAACGATAGAATATACAGCGCTGGCGTGTTATCAAAGGCACGTTGTGCTACATTAGGACATCGTCAGGGTTGACAAGAAAGTTACGGATAGCACACATACAAGCCCGCTGTGCCTGCCTCTTAGCTTTCTCTTGTGGTGTGACCTGGCATTGGAAGAACTCGCTGAGAACGGAGTACATCCGGGTTTGGTCGCCTGGTGCGCGAGTTGGACACGCGTGACTGTAAGTGGATGCGATGAAGGGAATGGGGGTGTGGGACTCTGCAGGAAGAGGAATTGAGAGCGGGACATTTGGATTAACGGTTGCTGAGGTTGGTAGAGGTGGAAGAGCCAAGGTGGAAGGAAGAATCCCAGGTATGAGGAGTGCTACGACCTTTTCGATCGATCGGGCGTGCTGCACAGATGGTCAAAAATACGACTCAGAGATGAAACTCGTCAAGACATACCTCGACCTTGACCCAGTTAGGCGGAGGTGCATCTGCGACTATGTGCAAAATCAAGTCTCGAACATCCTACAACGACGCGCAGCGTAAATGTGATCCAACCTCCTAAGCAGAAGCGACCCACATTTATATGTACCGCGTCCTTTCTCTTTACGATCTCACCATTCACATACATGAATCTGGGCATCAGTGCCTAAAACCAAGGAGAAACATATATCTCATTCAAAAAAGTTGTGGACGACAAAGGGAAGCACTAATAAGACACACATCGTGTTTGGCCTCAACCTTCTTGTTCTTTTTGGTTTTTCGCTTTTCCACGCGGGTCCATTCCCCTTCAGCAGCATCACCCTCGCCTGTTGTGCTCGCGTGATGAACTACCTGGTTAGGTGCTACTTTGGCCTTTTTGTGCTTGGACGACCTGGGAGGAGAAGATACGGAGTCTTGAGATCTTTTCATTGTACACTAGTGATCCACGCAGAGTGCACGATTCATGAGCCAAGGATATGGATGGATGGGTTTGACGGTCGTCGAGCACGCGTTTGATGGCAAGGACCTCAAGCAAAACGCCTTCCATATTGATAATAAAAAGAGGGTCGTGAATCCTTATATGGTCTTCATTTTGCCATAAATACGAAATGACCCCTAAGTTATGCCGTGGGGTCCGACTTTAGATAAAAGATCTGGAACAGCGAAACACTACTCGAAAGTAACAAGAAAATGCGAGACAGGCCAAGCAGATAAGTGAGAGTTATGCGGGGCTTTGAATTCGTTATTATTGTTTTGAGAACAACACTAAATTTGCAATATAGAATTGGGGTACGGCGTCACGCCGAAGAGAAATTCATGAGAAAACGACGGAAACGTTGAAGGCACTCACGAAACGCTGACGAATACGGACCTAGCGTCATAGCTAAACCGACCAAAATCACGGAAGACGTACCTTTGAGTAAAAAGGAAAAAAAATCAGTGACCACGGCCAAGCAACGCGGTCGTCGGTAAGCTCAGCACGTGTACGTCCTTGATCGCAACATTGGGCACGAGCCGTCAGGCCACATTTCGCAATTTATCTGCACGGACCACTATTCTGCCACACTCACCTGCGCCTTGTGCTTTGTTTAGCGTATTGTAACCGGTTAGGTACCTCGAGAGGTCTCCAGGCATCCGAAGTTTTCTCTGGAATCAAATCTGCAGCAGAAGGTGAAATAGCTTCACACTCAAGGAATCGAGAATGAGTGAAGCTAGTTGCTTGAGTTGAGCTTGGGGCTTTGAGAACACAATGGGTGTCAACGAATTAAGGCCCCAGGGTGGGAATAATAAGGTCTATGATAAGTCATACGTGTGCTAATTGCCAAGCAGACTTGGTGCGCAGCCCTGCACAGGTAGACACTGTGTCGCGAGTAATTAGACAGTTTTCCGTTTCCCTTTACAAAACGACTCACGCGAGCTAGTCTTGCGCGGGCGTGAGCTCTTTCTTTGCTTTCTTTATATTTCTCTCTATATCGACCTGTTCTGAATCCACGATGATTTCCCTCCCCCTTGTAGCTATCGCACTTCTTCCATTATTTGCCCTTGCTGCTCCCCAACCGGCTACAGGTGTTATTCATGTTCCAATCGTGCGACGTACACAACCCAACCGAGTTGCAAATTTACCAAAAGCCGTCGAAGCAATCCGGGCAAAGTACGGTTATCAGTCAAACAATGTGACGAATTCGAAGCGAGGAAACACTGCTGCAATTCCCATCACTGACGAGGTATGCAGCTTGAGCTTCCATGTAGTTTGTAGAATTAATCATGATGTCATTAGCAAAATGATCTCAGTTACTCGGGTGTCGTGAGCATTGGGACACCGTAAGTTACAAAGGTCGAAACGTAGCAATATCCGCAAACACTTATTTCTTTTTGCGAAGAGCGCAGAACTTCAATCTTATTCTCGACACTGGTTCTTCTGACCTTTGGGTTGCAACATCCGCATGTCCTTCGTGCGCAACAACTGAGTTTACCACCTCAAAATCGTCGACATACCAGTCAACAGGCTCCGCCATGACGATTAATTATGGTTCAGGATCGGTGAGAGGAACCACCTCCCAAGATACCGTCACTTTCGGTGGCTTCACAATCACTAAGCAAGAACTCTGTACGTCTATCCCCCTGATTTGAGTCACTTTAGATCCAGCCTTATTTTTTATTATCATAGTGGCTGTTACTCAAACTACGTCCGGCTTGATCGACGGTTCACTCTCAGGTATCATGGGTCTTGGGTTTGCCTCAATTTCTGCCCTCGGGACTACCCCATTTTGGCAAGCCTTGTATAATTCCAGCCAGCTCTCAGAACCCTTGTTCTCTTTCTACCTTGAGCGCTATATCGACCAATCTGCTGTGGACACTGCTCCGGGCGGCACGCTCACTCTCGGTGGAACAGACTCAACTTTGTACCAGGGCTCTATCGAGTACTTGAGCCTAACTGGTCCGGAATCGTATTGGCTGCTCGATGTTACCTGTTAGCCTCATCACTCTTTTATGTCGTCAGTCTATTGATTGATCACAATGTGCAGCGGTCTCTGTGCAAGGAAAGACAATCAGCGTCCCATCGTCCAGTGCTCTTGCTGCCATCGACACAGGCACTACCCTTATCGCCGCACCCACCTCCATTACCGCAAGTATTTATGCCCAAATTCCAGGCTCCGTGGTGCTTACAGGACAATACCAAGGCTTGTATGCATTCCGTCAGTATCATTTGTACATTGCAGGATAAGCAGGAGACTCATCTATTTCTAGCCTGTACCACTAACGTCGTCGTTACTATGTCTTTTGGCGGTACCAACTGGGCGATTAACTCTCTGGACATGAACATCGGCTCCGTCCCCGCTTCCGCCTTGACTTCCACGACTCAGACTCAGATGTGCGCTGGTGGTATCTTCGATATCGGCACCAGCATTGGCGGTGGTTCTAGCTCACCTACTTGGATTATCGGTGATACCTTCTTGAAGAACGTGTACTCCGTTTTCCGTGCCAACCCCCCTGCTGTTGGCTTTGCGCAGCTTGCTAGTGGCTTGAGCACTTCAACCGGAACTGCTTCTGCGAACTCCCCGGCGAAGGCGACTTCCGTGTCGCCTACTAGCTCGAGTACAAGCTCAAGCGGCAGTGGTGCAAACCCCCTTGTTGGAGCTGCCTCTACTAACAAAAACATCGCTGTATCTCTTACTCTTCTCGCATCTGTGGCGGCCTGCTTCACCTTGTTGCTCTAAAGAGACTATATATACCATATTACTATTATTGTGATACCATACACGGATTCGGAGTCTTGGTTCGCATCCAACTCGGATATTCTGTCTAACATCACTCGTTGACTAGTTACTGACCTTATATTTAAGACTCCCCGTCCATTCTTTCATTTACGTTTTATATGTTTGGTTTGGACAGTTGTATTATGGTTCATAGGGAGGTGTGCAGTACGTAGGTAACTTCCTTGCATGTATATTGCAATGCATTTGCAGTTGATTTGCAGTCGCTGATCATCCCTTAGGATCAATGGATATTGAGGTGTTTGTTGAAATTGGTCTCCAGAAGCTCAGAAGGCAGTTCGTTCCTCTATAAATAGTGCTGGAGTATGAAAGCGTACGAAGCTCTATACATACCCCGAAGTGACGACAACGGGGTTGATCTTGATTCCTGATTGATCTGGCATGTTTTGCACTGACTGTCTATTAACGCTGTCTATTGGTGACACTATCTCTTCAAGCTGTTGGCCCTGGAAGGCACCTATCTTTGCAGCTAGATGGCCTATCTCGCACTTTTACAGTTGGCTCAAGTCAACTGGCATCAGATTCGAAAGTCCAACCGCGTCCGTGCGTGATCGTGCGTATTACAATGTCACAAGTTCCGGCGGTATGATCCTTTAAAGTGTTCTAATCGAGCTCAGGGGTGTAAAAGAAGCCCCATCATTTTCGCCCCCGTCCGAGTCCCCTTCCAGTTTGAATTTCGAATCCAGTAAGACAAAACGACCTTCGCTTCGAAGCGGCGTTCGTATCTTGAATTTTCTTGAAACTTTACGCCGTCGGCTACGGTGATAGCTATAGTCTGCCAGGAACGGACGTGAGTGTTGAGATAGGACTTGGGTTTGGGATGATGGATCTGGTAGGATTTATGTAATTCCTGTGTATTTTTTCACGTAATTCAGTAATCTGCACCGTTCAACGCAAGAAGTTCGAGGATTACATGACGAGATTTCCGATGTTATAGGAAGTAAAATTCCCCTGAGAAGGAAGCGGGGATCGTCCAGACGCCTTTTAAGTAGTATGCCCACGATAAAATACTACTGTCCCAATCGCGAACATACAAACAAAAGCCCCAACAAAGTAATGGCATGCTGGCAGAATGTCCAGTCACCGAAGAATTCGAAGCTCCTCTCCGAGTCATTGTAAGTATTTCCGAGCGAGATCAAAACAGCCTAACGCACAAGATTAATGATGGGCGGCACCGAACCTTTCGAGGCCTCGGAATATAATTGCCACTGTGAGAGTTGCTGTCAGAGGTTATGTCAGGGTAAATGCTGAGCAGGGATTTCTACGAGGCAAAACCCGAGGTTCAATCTCACATATCTATTGCTGGTTCTATGGGAGAGAACGATTGCTGTGACGGCTTTTGGGTATTTGTGACGGTGAGGCAGTCGCCGATCAGTGTTATCGGAGCCGTGCGTAGCGAGAACGATGGGAAGTACTACTGAGTACGCGGTAGGTGCAGCATGGCTGCTGATGATAAAGGCACTGCCCGTCGTGCGAGCTAGACAGCAAGGTGATGGTTATGATTGCGGCGTGAATCAGTTGACCTTGGTTTGAAAGTACTTGTGTGTCAAAATGTAGCGCAGGTAGAACGCGAAGGCAAGGAAGCAATACTTACGCCGAGATTATCGGGTCCGAGATATGAGAAACCGAGGATAACGTAGTAAGTGGACTAAACGCTCAAGAAATGAAGCCATTCAGGTTGTATTGGAGTGGGATATTGTATATGAAAGCACTGACGTACGAGATATGGGACGTCCTCGGGGTGGCAAAAGTATTGCACCTGTGCACTCGAAACAATCATTGGCAAAGAAGGTAACGGCCAGGGTGAGTATCGGGAATTTCGAGATGGAAAACTTTGAGGCAGTGTAAACCCCGATACGCTCTGTGGGTGATGGGGGACAGAAATATAACCTTGCATCAAAGGGCACAAGCCATGTAGTATGGGGATGGAGTCTAAACGTCATCAAACCCTGAGTGCTCAGCTCCCCCTTGGCCCGGGCTGAGCTGATGTCGTGGAACCTAAGACCTTGCACTGGAAGATGATGCTCACCTCGTTAGCAGATGTCGTTGTAGTACAATCTGGTTTCAGGTCCCGGCCGTAATTTATACTCAAGTCAGTACATGTCAATTGTGATCAGGAGCTGTGTGACACCATGTGGGGGACAACGGGACTTTAATATCTGTTGATGTGATCAAGGGCCCGGGATATAAGATATCGGTCAACCGAGTTGATTATGAAGGCCAGGATAAATGTGAGAACCGACGCCGGAGTAGCGCAGCCTCTAGAATGCAGGTCGTGTAGGGGCGAGCTCGGAGGAGTTTACACACCATCAAACCTTAGCTTGAGCGCGAGTTTGAACGCCAACGTGTGTACAAGCCGATTGAATAACATCTGGCACTGGAATGTGGCGCGTATCTCATCAGCAGCTCTAGCAGTAGGTCCTGACCGTTCATTATCTGCAAGCCGGTGCAATTCAATACTGATGGTTAATTGATCAAGAGCTGTGTGAACCATGCACTCAGTGATCAGTTTAACGTGATCGAGGTAGAGCAAATGCAGATGTGAGCCACGCGTTACCAATCAGTAGGCGTTTGATGTGAAAGGCGCAAGATAAGTTATGTAGAAGTTGAACATACTGATAGGGCGGGTTTCATGTTCGACTAATATTGATGGTATGGGTTCTGCTTTCTTTGGGAGTGTGCAGAGAAGCACAGCTGAGAATCTTCAGTAAAACGTTGAACGATCGATTATTGTGGCGGCACGCAGATACATTGGCGCAGTCACCGATCAAATGACATCAAGTAGTACTAGCCTTAGCAGGTAGGTTGAATTAAAGGGCGAACCAAAACGACCAAGGCGCAGTTTGCCATCTAAACTTTCAATAGCAAATTACAATACTAACGCCCCGTGGCGGGCCGCACTGGACCGCGATACGATGAACGGGATATTAACGAGGATGACGAGAGATCTGTACTAGAGAAGAGATGTTGTCTGCACAGAGGTTTTAGCGTCTCCTCAGAAGGAGTTCGAATGTTTTTCAGGATTGGTTTGGGATCATTGCTGCAGGGTCAAGTTCTCTGAAGCGTCCAAAAACCGTAGTTCGTTACCGATTCCGCGGACATGACCAAAAGATTGGACACGTGGCGAAGACATTTGGCTTTCCGTCGGATGATGAAAAGCAATCATCATCTGAGGAGAGACAACTCAATTTACTTGACACGCAGAGTGGAAGTTTAGTGTTAAACTACATAGCCAATTTCTGTACGTACCTGCTGACAAATATTATCGGTTTTTATTCAAGACCGAGTTGTATATGGATACCGCATAAAACTAAAAATGGCTGTGCATTTGACCTTGTGGGTCAACACAGCATTATGGGGATCGGACGTAACTTCTTCAAAGAATGTATGACCTCGAGTCGTCGAATTTTAGAGTATCTTGATGTTCGATGATTAAGAGATCAATCCGAGGCTCGTCATGAATGTATCTGGGGAAAGAAAGAAGGACGGACACGGGATAGGAAGACCGTTGTGAGAGGCCAGCAGACGATCCTAATGAAACAGCCACCAAAGGACCGCTCATGTGATGACCTTTGTCGGGATTGTAAACCTCGGAATTTTCCAGAGATCTCCGGCGGAACTTATACCTGAAAGGGGAGTCCGACAACGCGGCTCTGCTATCTGACATCAAGACAATATCCTTCAAGTGCGGCAAGCTGACACGGCTGAAGGAAACTATTTGAGCACGCTCATCCATGTTCCCAGTAAATTATTTCTAAAGTTCTGTCACAGAAGGCCACCCTTGTTCACTCCATGCCTATCGAAAACTTATAGTCAGTCTTCTCCATCTCACTTTTACCGTATCCTAGGTCACCCCCGTCGGCTTCAAGGTATGTCTCCTTACTACTCTACTTCTACTCCGCAGTCGATGACATCGTTCCACCCATTAGTTTCACTCTCATTCGTGTATATTTAGTATCCATTCCCATAATGGCCAGTAATCAGTCCAACACGCCTCCGCCCACTCTCCAGAGGGGGAAAGCATGCTTGCGTTGCAGGTATTTTCTCTACTCCCTCGTCGTTCAAAAAAACTTGCTAATCATGCTCAAACGCGCCTTGTCCAGAAAACGTAAAATGGTAAGTTCCATCTCTTATCATTCTGAGCCAAAGTCAGTCGCTCACAACTCATCAGAGATGTGACGGGAGCAAGCCAGCCTGTCAACAATGTGTTCGTGCAAAGCAGCCTGATGGCTGTCAGTACGATGATGGAAAGGGAAAGACCAGAACTCAACTTCTCCGTGAACACATCGAGCGCTTAGAACAGCGTATACGAGAGCTCGAGGATCCTGAGTACACCTCCCCATCCGTAACTCTACATGATCCCCATCATCATCGCCGTTCTGAAAGTTCTTCTTCTTCCCTCACTGGTTCACCTGCAAGCACAGGGTTTTCGATTTCTCAGTCTTCTTTCCCTTCTGGTTCGTTCATTCGTCCGTCACCATTCTCCCACTGTAATTCAATTATTTTACAGCAAGTAATTCCCCTCAGACCTCTTGGATACAGGGCATCCCTTCCCCCTCGCCCACACCATTTACGGATATCATCTACCATGAGGAACCACAACCAACAATAGAGCTCGCTCAGACGCTCGTAGACATCTTTTCTACACACTGTCGTCAGTCCCTCCTGGGTCTCCATATGGGTCGACTACGAGAATCTTTCACCCGCCCTCTCATGGAGCAGCATCACCCTGTCCTCACGAATGCCATCTTTTTATGGGCATGTTATATCTCCAGGCCTGGTCCTCTTAGCCAGCACGAGTCTCATTACTTGAATCGAACCCTCGACTCCCTCAGCGATGCCCTCCAATACCAAAACAGATTGCTCGATGTGATTCAGGCATCATGTCTTCTGTCTGTGTACTTCCTCTCAAATGGAAGGGCACTAGAAGGCAGTTACCATGCCAACGCTGCCGCATCACTGGCTATCCAATGCGGCCTTCATGGGGCGATGATGAACCATTCATCATTTGAAACCACAGCCTCCATTTCACCGTTTAAGCTTGACCCCCCCAAAGATGCCATCGAACAGGGCGAACGGATATTGACGTTTTGGCAAGTATTCATCCTGGATCGGTGCTGGTCGGTGGTACTTCAGAAGCCAGTAACCATTCCACATGGTTCAGATGGATACGCCTCCATCATGATCCCGTGGCCGCAAGATATGGAAGAGTATGCAGCAGTACGTTCTATTTTCACGTGCATGGAATGGTGACTGATTAAACCTTCTCAGGGTCAGATCGATGACTTGCACAGCTTCCACACTGTTCGGAGTTTCTTTGAACGTCAAGTCACAAACGTCCGCGGAGGGTTCTCCTCAGTAGCCCTTCGTGTCAAAGCATCCGCTCTCTTCGAACGTGCGCACCACCTCGCTTCAACATGGGACCAGCGTAGGCATATTCCCTTCAAACGTCAACCACTTTTTGATCAACATGTAGCTTTAGCCATGTCAAGCGCGTTTACCGACGACTTTCAGACTTTAGAACACACGATCGCACGCTTTATCCCTACCCTCATTCCAGTCCACCAACTGGATGCTACTGTGCCTGACGAGAAACACGCCTACGTTGCGACACACACGCTAGCTCATGCTGCGATGATACATCTGTATTACCCATTCGGCGCTGAAGACCCTGTCTCGTACGAAAAGTGTCTTCGAGCTGCACGATGTGTCGTATCCATCGTCAAACATATCGCTGACTCAGATTACGAGTTCCTCGATCCCATTATCGGCGTGAGTAACTTTTTAGTGCACTCGACAGATTAGTTAATGATAATCCTTCTTCTTCTCGACACAGCCCTGCTGGACGTGCGCTGTGGACACGTTGATTCGAGAACTCAACATCATCGAGTCTTCGTGGCCGCTCGTGAGCAGCTCGGATATCCGCAATGAAATCGGGACCATGCTGTACGCCATGAACAACCTTAGCGCGCGCTTCCCGCTGCTCGGATATTCCGTGGCCAAGGTACAAAAGCGACTATCTGGTCTATAACCCACTTAGCGACAGCGACTCTGCCTGATGACCGTCATCTGCGTGCAGACTTTTTTCCGAAAAAAAGATCCTAATCGACCTACGGACTCTTGGCCCCTTATGACTTGGACGCACTAGTATATCGAATGTTTTCGCCGCCTGGACTTTTCTTCTGATGTTCTTTTCCTGGACTTCAATCTCTTACGGACAGCCTCTTACGTTCACGTTCGTTACGACATTCACGAACTCTTTGTACCTCGGACGTTGTGATCTAGTTGGACATTTATATCGCCACGGACAGCAGCGCAGGACTAGAATATGTATGGACTTGCACATTACCCCACAAAGTTGGACATTCCTCACTCGTCACGCCTCGTAATTGTTACTCTAGTTGTTATATTTTTATGTCGTGCCATATCCCTTTTGCTTTGTTTTGATAGACCCTTGTTGAATGTCGTTTTTCTGTTTAGGCTATCGTCGCGCCGTATCTAGCTCTTGTTTGTTGTACCATTACTTAGTATGATCAAGGAAGAAAAATAGTGGACGTCGTCTTACTGATTTTCGAAGTTTTTGATTTGAAGTTCAATGCTTATAAGTGCGGATGATCGGACATGATGCATGATGATCGTCGGCTGCGCGACCGCTCCCAGCCAAAATTCAGGAGAGCCCGCATCTACGTCGGACGACTACATAGATTTATTGAGACAAATATGTTATGGTTAGGCTGCGCAACTACTCCCAGCCGAGAGTCCGCATGACTCGTCATGACGGCTACATAGATTCGTTAAGACAAGGAAATGGAAATACGGACATTTAACAATTTGGAAATGCAGTACATGCTTGAATACGACCAGGCACATGAAGGAAACCCAAATGTCGGGAGACCCACAATTACCAAAGTCGACGGACGGATCAACATGTCGCTGACGACGGATGGAGAACATGTGCTTGGTTTGCTAAAAGTAGGAGATGCGGCGAAACCATTGGATTTGATGTGCTTGTATTTTGAAGTCGATTCGGGATGTCGATGATCAGATGGGAATGGGAATGGGAATGGCTTGGCGAAGAATGAAGCCTGCATGGTGTGGCCATCTTGTCGGTTACTGGACGAGCTGGTCATGGTGACGTGGGACGACCGTCATAACAAGAGTCGTGGTTTACAACCACTCCACTCGTGCTCGCACGATGAGTGTTCGCTGGAGTTATATCCTTGGATGCTGTAGGCGTGAATGATGAAGAGGATAACGTGAAGTTCTAACGTATGTAGAACTCCTTCTTCCTTCTTCCGAGTGTTGCCTTTACCGGCACCCCGAGTGTCGCCTTGTCCGAATGTCATGTGCTCGCAAGCAGCGTGGCTGCTTGAGCTGCATCCTCGGAAACTGCAGGCGTGAATGTAACTGCATGATGATGAGGACGACGTGCAAATGTCGGCATTCCAACGTTGGCACAGCTCCTTCTTCCTGTCGCTTAGTAAATGTAGATGCCGCCTTTGAGATAGACTTTTATTTCCTTGTAGTTCCGGCCAAAAGGGAGGAAGTAAGATACCCCGACCCCAGGCCAGACCATCCAGTAGTGCAGGTATTTGAGACTGTAAATAGTGCAGGGCTTTGGGCTGAAGTACAGAATGGCCTGCGACCACTAGTCTCCCCTGACCAGACCATAAAAAAGGAAGACAGTCGTTCCTTCTTGATTATATACGACCAGGGGGCGCCCGCCTGGCCATTTTCAAGGGTGACAGCGTAGGTATTCAGCAAGTGTTCAGCAAGTACTGGGACATTAATGACAGGGGTGGATGGCGCGACGGGGGCGGCCGACAGCGCGGGAGGGTGCAGAAGAGGGTTTGCGCGATGGCGGTGAACTTCGCCTTAGTTATGAATGCTGAAGTCAGGTTACGATGTCGGTGGTTAAGTCGAAGGGAAATGATAATAATGACTCACGGTTTTTGATCAGTTTGAGGTTCACAGTCTCCCTGCCGGTGAGAGAAGATGTTTTTGTGTCTGGACTATCAGGTGGAGGTGACTCAAAATGCGCGCTTGTGATCGAGCTCGAGAGTCAGAGATGTTAGACTCCGAACAATCCGAGATAGCTGTGAGGGGAGAATGATAGGTCCGAGCTCAAGCCAAAATGGACATTGACGAGCGACGTTGTGACGTCGGCTCGTGTCCTGCAATATGTTACCTTTTCGATTGATATATTTTCGTTTCCATACAACTCACTATAAAGTCGCCAGCAGTAGCACGAACGCATCTCAGGTTCTTTCAAGAGACTGAGATGTGAGTTAATAGTGTCGTCGTATCCGCTAGAAGAAAATGACGAGTCCGTAGTATACTCTGTTTTGATAGGTTCATGGCTCGTTAGTAGAGGTTCTTTCAAATTATACTCTGTTTTCATAGCGTCCCCGAAGGCCCGCGACTCACTATACACCATAAGAGACAGCGTCAGCGGTGAGAGATAGGAGAAACACTGGCTTACCGTTTATTGGCAGAGGCTGGCGTGGGGGGTAGGCAGGGCTATTAGAGTCGGCGGTCATAATGTATGATATTGTGAGAGCGGAAGGAAATCAGGTTCAAAGAAGGATGCAATAGCGCTCGCTAGCAACTTACAGCTGCAGTGCTGCAGTTTGAAATATGGTACACCATGAAAGAAAATACCGCCCGTTGATAGATTTGGCAGTTTGTTCCAGGTGAATGGAACTGTCAGAACAGGTGGTTTTCACCTAGCTTGTTAGGCGGTGATGCAGAATCACCGGTTTACTAGGTGAGTCGGGCAATTCACCTGCGCGGCCGGTGATTCCAACCTTTTTTCAGTTTTGTAGTGGATAGCCTGCGGAGATCTGGCCGGCTACGTAGTTCCACTAGTAAGTAAGTACTGCAGAAACTCATTAACCATTACTAATACTATTGATGGTTAGTTCGTGCCATCCCGACATCCTCAAAAACGTTCAGTATGACGTTTATTCAAAATTCACAGGCAAGGAACGGTATATGGTTTGTATGCCGTAAGGTACATACAGCATGCACTGACGTAGTTGCCTTCTGATTCTGAACCAGCATCTGAACCTTCGCCCCTCTGAGTACTGACGTTTGCTCTCCTTCTGCTTGAGACGCATTTCTTGTAGATAGCCTTTTGCACCACTTTCGTGCGTGGTCGGGATGGCGAGGAATTCATCGAATGTAAGTGCCCTTTTCTGGTACACTTTCTGGGGTTGCCAGTGCGGGCCCATGGCAGTGAATCCTCCAAACTCACCCATTCCACGATGCTAAAAGTATTGCCCTCTAGCCACCTCTTCACCTACAGATCCTCCCCTTTCTACTGCTGCGGCAGTTCTAAATATTTGTTCGGCTCATGTGATTGGGTGAACAGGAGAAGCGCGGAACTGCATCTAAAAAAGTCAAACCAGTCAAAACAAGTTTTTTAACAGAAGCCTGTAGCGTCGCCCAAGTACCTCTCCACCAATGAGAGCGCACGCTTATGGCTGTCGTCGAAGCCAAGGAGTTTATTGAGCGCACGAGCGCTGTGGGCAGAGATACTATATCTACCCAGGATCATCATTCTGCGCAAGCCGGAGCATTAGAATATATGTACAAACCACAAGATGACATGCCTGTATTCTTATTATTTCGTGAGAGTTGGATGAGCAATTATGACAGTTTTGTTCCAGCCGCTGCTGGAGACCTACTCAGCCACAACAGCAGGAAAACGGCAGGAACACTAAGATTATCACTACACTAAGTTATCGCAGGCCACCTCTCTCCAGCTGTGAAGGAGCCTGCAAAGAATCACGAATACAAAGGTTCGACCGAAACTCCGCGCTTCGCCTGCCAAATCATCGACCAGTCTGACTACGTCAACCTCTTAACATTTCAACTTGAAAGACGTAGCCCAGACTGGTTACGAGTCTAGTTGAATAGTCGGTTTCTGTTTCGCCTTTTTTCGAAGTAGGTTATCGTCGTACCGTATCTCTGTTATTTAGTATAACAACAAGTTTCAGTATTCTACTTTTGAGTCTTCATGCGATCACACATGAAGTATAATAAGCGTCGGCTGCGCAACTGCCCAGCCAAAACGAGTCACAACGACCGTTACATGAGTGGGTTCTTCAAGGAAATGGAATACAGACATTGTCAATTTGGAAATGCAGTATGTGCTTGAAAACGACCAGGCACATGAAAGGAACCCAAATGTTGGGAGACCCAAAGTTACCAAAGTCGACGGACGGATTCAACGTGTCGTTGACGACGGATGGAGAACATGTGCTTGGTTTGCTATAAGTGGGAAATGACGCATGGGGTGAAAGGAGGCTGAAACATTAGATTTGATTCGATTTGGTATGCCTATATTTTGAAGAGGTCGATTCGGGATGTCGATGATCAGATGACAAAAGGGATGGGCGTGACTTGGCGAAGAATGAAGCCCGCAGTGTGACAATCTTGTCGGTTAGTCCGGACAAGCTGACGATGGACGTGGGGCGACAGTCACAACCACTCTACTCGTGCTTGCACGCCGGGTGTTCGTTAAAGTTGCATCCTCGGATACTGCAGGCATGAATGCGGTGGCATGGTGAGGATGTGATGCAAGCGCCGTTGTTCCAACGTGTGCAGAACTCCCTCCTACCCCGAGTCTCGCCTTCGCAGGAACCCCGATTTCGCCTTTTCCGAGTGTCATGTGCTCGCAAGTAGCGTGACTGCTAGAACTGCATCCTCGGAAATTGCAGGCGTGAATGTAACCGCATGATGGTGAGGATGACGTGCAAATGCCGGCGTTCTAGCGTCAATATAACTCCTTCCTGTCGGAAGTCTTGTCTTTAGAGGACGTGGATGCAGCCGTCGAGCTAGAGTTTATTTCCTCGTAGCCCGAACCACAGAAGAGGAAGTAGGAATTGTAAATATCCGTGAATTCTTTGAAGTCGGTTAATTCCAAGTCGCGGCGTGAGCCCACCCGTTTTCAGACTGCCTTGTCGAAGTCGATAACTTTGAAGTGAGCGGCGGCGACAGTTGAGCAGAACTTATTGTTGATGTAATCTCCGTAAGCATCATGCTCATCTTCTCGATGAGGGAACGCGAAGCGATACGCTCGCGCAAGGCTGATCCATGTGACGGTCCATTCCGATATAGTAGTGACGGTTACAGCTGGTCGTGAACGAGAGGAGCGGTTGGAGAGGACAACATCAAGGTTGACGGGCTGACCAGTGATGATGTTGTCCCACTCATTGTACGGGATTAATGAACCGCTGCTTGACCTCCTGGACGTTAGAGGCCCAAGAAGCGAGAACATTGAAGGTGCATCGCAAATTAGGGGAAATGTTGCGGGATAGACCATTTTTATGGTCAAGATTGGAAAGATCGGGTTCAGCCCGTCGTTTCTTTGCTGGCTGTTCAGGGGTGTCTTCTTCAAGCTGGTGAACCCCTCGTCTAATGACCGGGGGTGCTTTGTTATGAATCTGCAGACCAGTTGTCCGACTCCTATTGGATTTCTCAGGTCCTCGAACAACTCTTTGAATAAAAAATCTAGGCGGAGTGCGAACGCTGAGCCACTCGTTATCAATGTGATCGACCATCCGCTGAAAAGGGCCTAGTTTGGCACTTGTTTCTTCTGTGCCCCCCGGAGAGTCGCAGATCGCCGCTCGTGCAAGGCGAAAGTGTGTTGCATACTTTTCAAGTTTCCCTTGTTTGAACCGCTCGACGATGCTATTCCACTCGCCCGCGAAGCTCAAGGGGACCTGGTCGACTGACTGAAGGGAACCGTCATGCGCATTCCCGAAGATAGTTGTAACCGTGCAGGGCTGAGCGGCGGATGTCGATGAGTTTGAGTAGTTTCTTTTGTGAGCCATAGAGGTGATGCGATGAACGAACTTGAGATGGAGTCTCGCCGTGGGATAGGAGGTTCGATTTGGCCAATTTGGAAGCTCTTCAGGCTGCCAAGGGGGTGCGCCGGAGATATAATCCCGCCTTGCCTCATGCTTGCGAAAACAATCTTTAACGCTGAGCGCTGAGCCATGAATCATTGTTCTTACCGATCTATGATGCTAGGTTGATGTTGTGAGTATATATAACACTGCAAAGGATCCGAGCTGTATGAATCGGGTGTGCGGCAAAACGTAAGCCGAACAACTTATAAGCAAGCCTGCAGCATGCCAGCGCGGGACGCTGACGTTCCACTCGACCACTACCACACCTTGTCCAGAGTCGAACCGCTCCAGACTGTTTGAAGACCTAGCAGGTTTCTGATTCGAGCGCTGGGGTTCAAGACCCATATGTGACAGGATGTCGTGGCACGAGAACAACTCACAGGAAGAACTTATGTACCAGTCTTTCCACAGTGACGCGCCAGTCTATCCTGACGCCCATTTCGTTGGATCTCCTGGCCAAATCCCCTTAGGAGAGCCCAGTACTCCACGTGGTCGCCCGATGCCTTCTCTTAGTTCTCCCACACCGTCCAGTTTGCGCCCAAATCTTGACAAGCTTGACCATCGAAGTGTCTCCCTTATTGTCGCCCATACGTCTCCGCAGGAAGTTAATACGACCAGCGCTCAAAGCCTTAGGCAGTCCCTTAGCCGTTTATCTCGCGTCAGGCCCCCACCCCCAGACACACAATGGTCGCTTTTCGAACAAATGATGGAGAATGAGGGCCAGCTTAGGAGCCCTAGGAGCCCCAGAATACATGACAGACGTATTTCCCTGAACGCCTCTTACCATTCCGAATTCTCTTCAGCAAGGCTTTCGACTTCAGAAGCTGCCTCCACTAACCACGATCCATTCGATAACGTTGTGCAATCGCATGCGCAATGGGAACACAACACCCGAGAGTCACCAGTTGAGTTCGAGCAAACCAATGGACATACCACTGAATCAGAAGACGAGTCCCAAGCCTACTCTTCAGCCACCACAGCCACTCCATCGTCATCACGTCGTCGCTTGCAAGTACCCACGATATCAGTTTTGTTGAAGAACGTTCTCAAATGCGCAGTGGCGTATTTTCTTGCCTCTCTTTTTACCTTTTCGCCACATCTTTCTGGATTTTTCAATGACACTTCCGCTCCGGGAACAAAGAATCCCACTGGTCACATGGTGGCCTCGATGTATGCGTCTTCCTTCACCACTTTTCTAGATTTGATGTTAATCATTCGCAGTGCTGTCTACTATAACCCGGCCAAAACCATGGGAGGAATGATGGAGGCTGACTCATACTGCGCGTGTGCGTTTCTATATGCAGCCTTCGTTTGTTTGGGAAGCATGTCGACGTTCTGGTCCCTCGAGGCCATACCAGGATGGGAGTGGCTTGCTGATGCTCTCGTCATTTTATGGGTCGGAGTTGGCATGTGGGGTCTCACTTGGATGAAAGTTTGGATGGCCAAACCCACCTTCAATTCAGGTATGTCAATCAAAGATTTCAATTCGTAGCATACTAACCCTTTATCAGCGTGTAGCATGACTGTGATAATACTATCCATTGTGTAGGCTATCGTGTATCGCATTTGAAGTATCCGACTCAAATATTTCCCTAGAATTGTCAAGGAGGGAGGCTGGGAAACCCTCCTGGAAGTTACCTCGATCGTGCTTCTCGGCATGATACTATCAAACCTCGTGTGTTTTACGCTATGGCCCCAAAGCGCCACAGAAAACCTCCAGTCGAACATGACAAAGACTTTGGATTCGTTTTCCACCCTGCTCGGCATGCTCACAAACACCTTCCTCCTTGAGGAGCCCATTCGCCAGCCTAGCCAGGATAAAATACACCAAGCGGTCGAGAACCATCAGGCAAGTTTTACGAGCCTCAAAAGGAACATGGGGGAAGCCAAGTCGGAATGGTTCAGTGGTCTGCGCGGACAAGGGGGCAAGGCGTCCAGACAAGCCTACGAGGACGCAGTCGACAGCCTTACGCGCCTTGCTCAACATCTGAATGGCCTAAGGAGCGGTACTCGGTTGCAATACGAACTCACCAAGGCTCACAGTGAGGGACGCTTGACATTGAAGCGACACATCCAAACGAATGGAAAAGAGCGTGCTCCAAGCGGTTATCCAACCGGGAAGAGGAGGATGTCCAATGGGGGTGTAGACATAAAGGATGACGCAGATGAAGTCCTACTACAGGCTGCAGCGGATATGTTCGGCGACCTAATCGACGAGCTGGGTCCACCGCTGAAGGTGTTGACGGTGAGTCGAACTTCATATTTTACTGCGGAAGATACTCATAAATTGCTGCAAGAGAACTTGTACTGCAAGTCTCGAACGGCTACGCGAGGCATTTGCGCAAAGCAAACGTGTTCAACGCGAAACCCCTTTTCAACCTCAAGATTTTCACATTTTAGTTGACGAGATCCAGCGCGCGCTGTTTGCGTTCGAGTCCACCTCGAATCACGCTGTTCTGCGTTTATACAGAAAGAGCGAATATTATTCCCCGTCTACAGACTCTTCGGTCCCGCAGGACAATACGCTCCTTATGAACAGCGAGCATGAACACATATTTGTTGTCTATTTGTGAGCTTCATTTTACTCAAAAGGTTGCATGCTCAACTCACCGTGTTTCAGTTTCATTTTCACGCTGCAGGAGTTTGCTGGGGAGCTCATTTCTCTCACGGACGCTATGCGCAGGATATATGCCGTCGAACAAGTTAGGGCGGATACCCCGAGTTGGTTTAAACAATATATTATTCACGGCCCATCACGAGTGTTCTCTGCGGTGCGATCGCGTCGACGTGCGTTCACTCGTGAAAAATCTAATCGGCCTGGAATTCGCCGAATCTGTCAGTGATCACATTTGAGAATCCAACAGTCTGCTGACATTTTTGCATCAAGCGACATATTTCACTTCTCCTCATCGCGACAAAGTTTTTTTCCCGAAAGTCCAACCTCATGCCCCGAACACAATACAAACGCCCCTTCCTGCGAACCTCCCTTTTATTGGTCGCATGAAGCGTGCACTTTGGGACTTTAGTGCTATTTTGAAAGAGCGCAAGTTGAAGTATGCCTTCAAAGTGGGAATGTCTACCGCTATGTTGGCTGCACCTGCGTTTCTTGAAGCTACGAGACCGATCTACACGGAGTACAGGGGCGAATGGGCATTGATTTCTGTGCGTGCACACGGATTCTATATTTACGCTTAACTGATATATTTTCCCTCCAGTTTTTCTCTGTCATGTCGCCCACGATTGGAGCAGTATGATAATTTGTCATCGGTTTTGTGTCCTTGCTGATTTATTTGCTAGACTAATTTCCTCAGCATCCACCGTGTACTCGGTACTCTGTGCGTTGTCCTGTTTTGTAATTTTGCCGCTTCGTTTCTGACTAATCGAAGTTTTGGAGCTGGGGCAGCAGCTGGAATTTACAGTCTTTTCCCCGAGAATGCAATCGTACTGTCGATCTTCGGCTTCTTTTTCTCGATACCTTGTTTCTACTACATCATCGCAACTCCAGTGTATGCGACGACGGGGAGATTTGCTCTTCTGACATATAATCTGACGTGCCTGTACTCGTATGTTGGCAAAAGTTTTGCTTCCCACGCAGATTTTGTTTATTTATCACTTGCAGGTACAATCTTCGAAAAGGCGACGTATCTGTGCTCGACATTGCGTTTCACCGCTCGACTGCAGTTATTGCTGGTGTCATCTGGGCTGCAATAGTGTCTCGTTTCTGGTGGCCTTCAGAAGCGCGAAGGGAACTGAGTAGAGAGCTGGGAGAGTACGTACGTCATTCTTGGGCATGACAGGTATTGACCTGTTGCACCTAGCTTTTGCTTGAACATCGGATGGCTATACACCCACTTAGTAGCAGCCAACTCAGGCGCGCACCACGTAACAGACGACACGGACGAAGACGAGCCTGAAACGCAGACTCCAGACGAGGACACGTCGCTTTTGCCAAAGTCTGCCAAAGCCAGACTTAGCAAATCCATTCAGGAATTCATGGCTATGTTGGTGTTGGTTTCCTATTTATCGATCGTCGCTTATTGGGACCCTGCAGGGAATTGCATCTCCAGAGAAAACTCATTGAGTTGCAAGGCCTCTTGGCTGAGACGCAGCATGAGCCCCGGCTGAAGGGACCCTTCCCTATACTCCTCTACCGGGCTATATTAACGAGCCTTCAGACTATCCTGGATAGGATGCACAGCATACGTTGCGTCACTACCCGAGAGGAGTGGGTCGCGGTAGGTTATACTCCTTGATGATGTTACATGTTTTCACGTATGATTGTCAAGTCCGTAAGGAAGGATTTTATTCTACCCGTGAACAAGGAGCGAAGAGAGATGGTCGGCAACATCGTTCTTTATTTCTCGATTCTTGCATCCGCTTTTCGTCTGAAAGCGCCATTACCGCCTTACCTTCCGCCAGCTGAGGCATCGAGGGAACACCTGGTACGTCTCCAAATTTATCCCTCACAATCACTCTGATAGATAACCTATATCCTTTAACAGGTCAACGCAATCCGGAAACTTGATGTAGTCAGGAACAGAGATGTGAAAGCGTCCCGACAGCTTCTCTTCTTCGCGTATGCTCTCACTATGAAGGGCGTCACTCAGGAGCTGGAGTATCTTGGGCGTACCCTACAGACCGTTTTTGGTGTGATTGGACAGAGTCCAGAGGAGTTTGAGGCGTTGTTTCTGGAGCCGGGTGAGAGAATGGATGCTGCGCATGTTGTTTGACGCCTGTTGTCACTGTACTAGGTTTACTTCAAGGACATCCGAATAATGATGATCCGAGTTTTTATGAGTCTCCACGATAAATAACTATTGGTCTCCCCTAGTCTGACCATTAGAAGGAAGACAGTCGTCCCTTCTTAATAATAATGGAAAATATACCCTGACTTGCAGGTGCTGTGCAGACTGCTTTCCATCGACTGTTATACACCATGCATCTTTGATGCGGGATACGGTGCTTCCGGTGGCGCATAGGTGGGTCGGTCGCACTGAGGTCTCTGCCGTCACGACACGAGGTACCCTTGTGAAATCGACCTGGCCGTTGAACCTCGATGACATATCCACCTGTTCAAAGGGAGCACTACGAAGACTCCGCCGTTCGACTCAGAGCCATGCACGTTCATTATGCATCCCGAGACTAGAAGCATCCCAGAGAATTCCAAGTCTACACCAAGCCGCCAAGAATCTTCGAATTACTTGGGGGCGTTATGCATGTGCAGGCGGAATTCAGACACGATCATACCAATTGCACAACCGCACCAGCAAACATGAGCGTTCGTCATGTCGTAACTTGCTTATCCTCTCGGCGATCAGTGACATTGTATCCAGTCACCATGCATGTATGTATATGGCAAGCAGGCGCAAGAAGCGACGAAGCCTCAAGGCCCGTGCTTCAAGCAGTATCGCCTCACAAGTTGGGCGAACTACCTCCGCATCCGTCTTCTGCGATCAGCGCTGTTTATACCTTAAGTAGAAATCCTACCAGTGATTGCGCAACTGAGGACATGGCACATCCTCAAAGGGTCCTATTCCCTTCGCGGCCATCGTCGTTCGAACGAACAATAGACTCCTCAGGAGGTGATCGTTCACAATCAAAACGCCCTTCTCTTCCAATTTGTCGGTTATGATACGCCGCTATACCATACTGGAGGTCGCCGAATGGATAATGAATAGGCATGTTGCGCCAAAGCAGACTGGGCCGCGAGTATATAAAGATCAGCGAGAAAAGGTCGTGCCCGCTAACCCCCACAGCCTGCCACTGCAATCCAAGCTAGTTGTGATACTGCCACGCCATGTCGAACAAAGCTTCACCCCCGGACGTTTCTCCAACCATTGAAGCACCTGAAATGTCATCGTCAGTGGATGATGACTCCGTTCATCCGTCCCAATTGTCGGTTGAAATCACTGGTGCGCTTAGTTTTGGCCTCAGGAATTTTTGGGCTGCTGTCGATGAGCGTGATCGTAGACATCAAAGCAAGCGGGCTGCCAGAGAAAATCGGGCTATTCAGTGGACAATTTTACATCCGCATAAAGGGAGACAAATTTACGAAGCAGTCGAAGACTACGAAGTACGTCAAAGACGGCGAGTATGTTGCCGCTTGGAAGGATAGTATAACCTTGTATGCCCCGCAAATGTCTTGTAGGCTGAGGCTGACGGGGCGTTAGTAATGCCATGGAGTCCTCCACGTTTGAAATCGAGGTCTTCGCTCGCCGCTGCTTCTTCAGCTACAAGGTCGTCAAGAAGACAGAGAGCAACCAAAGTCTTGGTGACCTCCTCGAGAACGCTAATTCAGGTCAGTCAGAGCGCCTCGCCACCCAGATGAGAAATATTCGACTGACAAACATTAACAGCGGTCGAACTTGAGTTGCTTGGGAATGGCGAACCTGCGGGTAGAGTGACGTTCCACATTTCCAAGAGCAGTGGCGCCACGTCCAAAGGGGATGCGTAGGAGACATACCTCACATATGCAGTTATGCGGTGGATGTACATAGTTAGCTATGATCAATATTGTTGTGAGGTCAGGACTTTTACATACAGTATAAATAAGTAGCACATATGCACGATTGAAGAGATACTTCTGCAGCTGTTAACGCGTGGATCAGCGGCCAGATATCGTAGATAGTACACTCACGGACGATATCCTACAACCGAGCTTGAGGTAGATGGCTATGAAAAGTTCCCATCATTACATAGTACGCTGGAGATCAAGAATAAATAGCATGTAGGCAGCTAGTATCTTTTCTTATCCGCAGTCAAACTATTTTTGCACTGAGACGGTTCCGAGATAGAACGCCCAGGGCAAAGACAGTTATCAAGAACCGTTCCTGCTAGTGTTGAGACGATATCACATCAATTGTACCTGCACAAACCAAAAAAAGCACGGAGGGCAATACTGCCTGGAAATGGCTATCACAATAAGTTGAAATGTTAGTGAATTTGGGCAAGTCGATCTTTTATGCTAAGGAACATTAATGATACTACTTACTGCGGCGCAGTCTGGCTGTGATGTTTAGATGTTTAGGAAACGAAAGAAGTAGCACAGCTTGGCTCAGGGCGGAGTTTCAATTATGACCAACGGCAAGAGCCACCGACCTCCACATGACAGCACACAACCACCACCACGCCTGAATCATCATCTCCCTTATACTTTCAAAGAAATCTCAATTTGTAGCAATCGTTTTTAACCTGAGAGTCCCCAGTTTAGATCCTTAAACACCCTTCTGATCCATACAGGATGCGCCTCTCAATCCTTCCCGTCCTTGTTGCAGGGGCTGGTATTGGTACGTTTCGCTTGAGGGATAGCATGTGACGTCTTACTGACGTTGAGACGTCATTACAGTCAGTCAAGTCAGTGCGGAGCCCATCCGTGTCATAGCCGAGAGCCCATCGAATGCCAATGCAAACATCCGCTTTGGCCATGCCCTCGCCAACGCCAACGTGAACGGCAACGATGACTCAGACAATGTCGTCCGCTTGGTCCGCCCGAGCGTCGTAATGACGACCTCCACCGAAGTCAAGGGCAAGCATCACTTCTGCGGTGCGTCTCTGAAAGCGAAGGCACTCCGCATGTCAAATGCGTTCCGTCATGCTCTTGGCCTTCCTCTCATCGAGATGGGTGATCACGACGCATTCAAGGGTGAGGTCGCCAGCAACCCCGGTCCGGTTACTGGAGAAGTTCATATCCTTCCCATGCCCTTCATCGGGGCTCCCATCACTCTCGACATTCCTGCCAGTTCCTCTGAGAAGGAAAACTCAGGTGATGTCAAGGAGGTACTTGCCGACGGATCTGTCGTGCGGATCTATCGCCACCATGAAGCTGAATCACACCACCATCACCATCATGACATGAAGCACAAGGACAAAAAAGCAAAATCCTTCTTCAGGCGTGTTCACCGCGCCATCATGGCCCTCAGCCTATGGGAGGGTCGTGCCGTTGCGTTCGTCCTTGGTGAGTGAAGCTTGTATATTTCAAAATTCCTCTGATTTCCTTGGAAGGTTGTGGCATCGGCGTTTTGCTTCGCATGTTCTGGGTGATGTCTGTCCTCACTTATCGCACCGTCAGAGGTGAGAGGGCGGAGGAGGTCACCCTCGACCACGGCTACATCATGTTCGAACATGATGCAGAGAACAACTTTGTGCCTCCTCCTGAATACACCGATGAGAAGGTGAAGTTAGCCGAGGTTGAGGCTCAAGAGATCGAGACTCGTGCATAAAGTGACTGACACCAATTTTCCCCGCATACATATGAATATCTTGGTATGGCTCGCGTACTGTGATCCCTATATATTTACACCCAGATTCACTTCTGTTTCTCTCTTCGCTTGATACATAGCTGGTTGTTTGGTTTGGAAATGCCTCGTGTCCGTGCATATTGGTTGGACGGATTCTCACACTCTTTTGTGCAGATGTTGTATTTCTGTTGCCTGGTGCTCGTATCAAACAAACATATATACTATTGCACCGAATATCCTGCAAACCCATTTTTTGAAACGGTCAGCAGGCTCGGGTTTGGAGTTGTCATAAGTTTGCGATATTACTAATATTTAGATGTCCATATCACATATCTACAACTTCTTCATCCCCTTGGGTGGGCCTGTTCTTTGAAGCGTTGTTTGTCCTCTTGCGGAACAACCTGGCAGCTTCCGCCAACTGAGGTAAAGCAGTTGATAGGGTGTCGAATATTAGGTGACTTGGCCAAGTCAGTTGATGCCCATTGCCACCCACAATCCCGAGGACTGCTTCATCCATCACTACGCGTCTCTTAACAGCGTGCGCGCCTCGGCAGCTTCCGGGATAAATTACTCATTTCGAAGTTAAGTGTTGAAGGTTTCTGTTATTATATGATGACAACTTATACGGGTCGTAACGGGTGCCGTTTCCTGGCACCGGGGGTATGCAACCTTTTCACAGCCAAGGCGTTTTTCTCTAAGTTGGTATGAATTAATGTCTCGGCCACCATGACGTTGAGAAGGGTCAGAGCTATATAGCCAGACCAGACTTATAGAAGAAGGAAGATCGTCGTTCCTTCTAATAAAGGGTCAGGGCGGCCACTCAGCGGCGTTGTTTGCAATCCTCGCTGAGTCGCTGGAGCTTTGTATGCTGTCAGGACTCAGGGAATTCAAGTGTTTCATGTCAGACTTACAGCTTGTCAGAAAAGAATTTTCCAACCCTGCTCTTGTCGTCCTGAATTCAGACCGTTTCCTGAGCTCGAATCAGAAGGTTGTAGACTTTTCCCCCACGCATGCCAATGTTTGATTATGATGGACCTTACAGAACGCCCCATATATGCGCACCTGTAACGGAAGCTACTAGGGACCATCCCGAATGACCATGTCACTGTCAGACCACTATTACGTCAACAGCACCGTCTTCACTCTCCCTGGCGCTCTCGCTCCAGTTTTCCGTCCAGACCTTCTGCATATCTCGAATTCGGAACGAATTAATTGTCTGGCATGTTCCACATGTGTTGATCTGAGTGGCGCGAATGGTGTCCTAGTCTCGACAATGACATCAGCAAGCAGACCATATATTAGTACCTGCCGGGCATGACGGGGATTCGTACTCTGTATGATTTTAACCTTCTTACAGAACCCGACTTGTTATCTCTCGGGGATATGGGGACCGGTGAGTCACATTGCATTCTCGTCACCTGTCATCACACATCCTATAAAGACAGGCCAAGAACATTTCACTTACACCTACATTACCGAACGACCTTCATTTTTCTATCTGATAAGCAGACAAAATAGACGAAATATGAATTCATTCGTTCCTGTTACGACCAATGGTAAATGAATGTGTACCTACCAGGGTGAGTGAATATCTAATCATTTGCTTGAATGCCCTGCAGGATATGATATACATGGGGTAAGTCTGAAAGAATCTGATGAATGGTATGCATGCGGATGTCGTTGGGCTGCAGAATAACCAACGGCGAATTCAGCAAAGGTCGACCTTCAACATTTCGATTCTCCACAAATCAAGAAGTTTTCATGCTTCAGCGCTTGAAGGTAAGGTTGAAGTCAGCTTATTATCTCCCTCGATCCCACGTCAAAATATTCCATCGCATGTTACACTGGATGATTGCATCGGTATGTCAACCCTCTGTCGCCCTCATCTTTATCACTCACGTAAAAGGGTCTCGACTTAACGTTATCACAGACACATTCTCTCAGGTGAAGACTCTATTCCGAGTTTATACTTATATGACCGCTGCTTCTTCTCCAGTCGTCTCTGAACTATCCTGTTGGTTATCTTCATCACTTACCACTGTGAGATACTCTCCTCGACGCCCCCTCATCTCCTCAAATTTTGGGCCATGTCATCATATACCCCACAGGAGGATTTATCGCTTGAACGGTCTCGTCTCATTGGAATGGTGTTGGGGGGTGTATCCTACGGTGTGTTTTCGGTCAAATTACGACGATTCGGTGGTTTGACTTATGTACCACAATAGGGGTATTCCTTCTCCTTACGGTACAAGCCATGACTATTCTCATGCAACGCCCTCGAAATGGGAAGAAAATTGCCGATCATCGTCGCGCGCTTCTTTGTTACATATTCATCACGTTCGTATTGGGGAGCATAAACTTTGCTTGCAATGCGAAATATACGGAGATGATCTGGATAGACCTTCGTGGTGCGCCTGGTGGTCCCGTCGCGCTGATCAGAAACGTAATGAATTACCGTATCAACGTTTTGGCGATATCCTGGTAAGCATCATTGCCTATCCATCTCCAGACAGTGTTGACGGACTCATCTAGTTGTTACCTCATGAAGTTGATCATGGAAGCTCTGCTTGTGAGCTCATTTACCATACTTATGTGCAAGCCTTATATTTGCAATACCCAGCTTTATCGATGTCTTATAATATGGGATCGGGATAGACGTGTGATGATCCTCATGGTCATCATATATATTGCCATGATCGGTACAGTCCATCATTTACCAAGTGACAATAGTCACTGACATCTCGAGCAGTAGCAGCTATTCTCCTATTGATCCAGGCGGGTACCGGTGTCATATTTTACAACATCAACCCCTCACTTGCATACCTCTCCCTCCAAGTCGTTTTTACTGTGGGTTATACCATTCTCGTGGCGAGTCGTTTACTCGCCATCCGAGGCAAGATGAAGCAAGCCATAGCTGGATATGATTCTAGCACCTACGATACCATCATCCTCATGGTCGTCGAGTCTGCCATGTCATACACTGTCGTCGTCATTATCTTTATAGTTGGATTCGCTCTGCATTCAGACTCTATTTCCACTCTATGCTTCCTGTCTCTCAACGAATTCCAGGTAAGCAGCAACAACTTGATTTATCTGCGTCTCTGATGTTGGCTTTTTTCAATATATATACAGGGAATTTCCCAGTTGTTCATTATAATACGTGTAGCACAGGGGAGGGCGGTCACACAGCAGTGGTCGAACCGAGTGACTACGGCACCTACGGCTTTAGCATTAGCAAGGACTGTACCGGACGCACCGGAAGGAACCAACGTTGCACGAGTAGCTAGGCTAGAGCAGGGCAGTGTTAAGTTGTATTCTGTTTCGGCAAAGGTTGCGGAGGTAGAAGTGTGTATGGCATGACATGCTTGGTTTATCCCTTTATCAAATTGTCTTCTATGTATAATGTCACGGAAATCGTTTCAGTTTCAGCTCACCGCTACTTCAGGAGAAAATGCAGGGGAACTTACGTGTCATGATGAGCACTATCAAGCCGCGAACTACGCCTCCACTGCCTTCAAAGTTGAGAGTCAACTAGGTAGCTTTTCCTAATCATGTGCGGTCAGTGTTGAACAGCCATAATATGCGGTACATAAAGTACTGTCCACGGGCGCATCTGTCCTCGAAAGAGAATCTTTGCACATGCGATTGTTAATTACGAGCCATCGCATTGATTTCATCATCGCGCCGGACAACCCCTATCTTTCAAACTCGGTTATGCAGACAAACCAACAATTCCATCATGAATATCAGACGCACATATATTGTGTCCAGTTCGAGATTTAGCTTCATGCACGTGATACAAGACGAGAGTCCTCCGACTTGGAGGCCAGCCCTATTGACCCTGCCTGTGAACGGCTAAGAATAGGCAAGGCGGTTGATGAGAAATATCCATTGTCCGGCAGGCGCACACGTTCATATACATAACTCACCGGAGTTCACCCACGTTCCTTGAATTCTGCACTCGGAAATTGGATGTGTTGATTATGCCTTACCGGACTCCAATCGTACTTGGTGAAACGTCTCCTCGCACCGAAGTCATCTCATCCGCTCCCACCATTGCGGCCACTGCCAAGTCATCTGCGAGACAAATGAACGCAGAGAAGGCAATTGCTAACCACCAATTGGGGACACCATAAGGTCAACAAAAAAGACAACGGCGTGCGACACTGTCCCGCACAGAGCCCGAAATATACAAGCTGTAGAAACCGGGGATGAACCGGGGATGAACTGCAAACCTGCGAAGCACGCACAGGATGATACACGAAAACGTACCTTAGCGCTCAGCAGTCAACTTGAACGAACACTTGCCGCGTTATCGCATGTTCTTTTGACGGTATACTTGACCATCTGTCATGGAAAATGGTGCACAGGTAAGTAGGGGACGGTTTGCGACCGTCAAGGACTTATAAAATGGCACATGACAGCAGTTGCGGCCCTGGGCGCTTCGTATGCACAGCACCGTGATCCTGTGAAAAGGATACCTGATAAGTGCCTCATGGAATGCGCACGTTAGCAGACGCCTTAAACGACTACTTGTGAAACACTCTCAACTCAGACTCTAGCTCTCATTGTTGGTGGAGCGCATTCGTGTTCAGTTCTTGCAAACGGGACTTGCGGTCAGTGATACTCTGGGTGCTTCTCGTAGGAAAAGCTGAAGCGAGGGAAAGATAAGACAACTCTTCATCTAGAACCCTCTGCAAAAAACGTAGCAGCGAGCAATTCCTGCATACACCGTCTTGTGGATCAAGAACGAATTCCTGTGACTAGGCCCCGGTGTGAGCAATCCCTCACGCACTTTAATTGACACAAATTCAAGTGAAAGCAGATAAGAAACGAGCGGCTCTCGCATACATAGTTGAGACCCTATATGTTTTTCTCCACTGCTAAGAAGGTAGTAGTCACGGTATACCCCCAGCGAAACCACAGAAAGCGGGCGGCACGAAGGGCTGTGCACCTAGCCAGCGGACAGCGCATCATAACATGCTCGGATGACGGGTCACTCAGACTATGGAACCTGGAGAGCGGCAAGCAGATAGGGAATGGCTGGCGAGATAAACCGGATGTGCACAGCATAGCGTTATCTCCGAACGGCAAGACTGTTGCAACCGGAACCTTACATGGGACAGTGATGTTATGGGATATTGAGTCGGGGAAGGTCACTGCCAAATGGAAAGGACACACTGCACCTGTGGGTTCAGTGTGCTGGAGTCCAGATGGTGCGCGATTCGTGAGCGGATCCGACGATGGGACGGCAAGAGTATGGGATGTCAAGAGTGGCGAACCAGTCCCGGGTCTGAATCCGATTAAAACGGGGCACCGGTTGGTGCACGCGGTGAGCTACTCACCCAACGCAACGAAAATTGCTACAGGCGGATTCACTGAGAGCACGATCGAAATCTGGGATGTCAAGACGGGCCAGTTGCTCTCCACAATTGAAGTCCCCAGTTCAGTTTGGAGCTTGGCATGGACATCAGACGAAAAGAAGCTCATCTGCGGGACCGGGGATGCCTTGATTAGGATATTCGATACTGCCACATGGCAGCAGATCGCCGTTCTGAAGGGTCACACAGAAACTGTCTCCGCCGTCACTTTATCTCAGAATGATCGCCTTCTTGCGAGTGCATCGCATAGAACAGTACATCTGTGGAATCTGGACACCAATCTCCCGGTTGGTGTACACCACGACGCTACCGTATTTGGTGCAGCCTTTTCCGCTGATGGAAAGCTGCTAGCAACAGGCTGTGACGACAAAAATGTGTGCGCGTGGGACATACACACCGTCCTCAAGACAGCTGGCCTCGAAGACCTCCTGTTTATACCTGATGTAAGTCTCAACATATCACCCACTCTATCTCACTGACAGTGTTCGATCTCAGGCACCAAAAGATGAATGCAATAAGGTATGCATCATCTTGTGGCTCTTCATAAATAGAACGTGCTAATATCCCAATTCGCGCAAGTCCTTGTTAGATGTACGTCATGCCTTTCTTCACCTTTGCAACGGTTGTAACATTGTCATTCTAGGCTGATGCTATGCAGTCTCCAGCCCCCCATCAACTGCCATCAGGCTTTGTCGATGACGCGCAAAATGGTGTTCATGTATGTCCCCGCCACTTCAATGGGCCGGTTCTTGTTCTGATATCTATGTTCACAGTCATCCGCTACGAATTGTCCCCATCCTGATCCTTCTGCACATCGCCGCCGACGCGGTGCTCTTACATCCTCCTTGGCGTCAGGTGCACGCACACTCCTCAGTCGCCTTCCCCTACTCTTCCGCCGCCCCCAACCCAACGTCGATGAAGCGACTGAACTCTAGCAACGTCCAAGGCGAAAAAACCTCTCATCGCAGTTCTCGTGTTGTCGACGTTCCTGCTACATCACTACCAGCAGGTACCTCGCGACAAGGCGAAAAGAATCAATAACCTCATATGGTGGGCTCGTGTTGTGTCGTTTACCTGCTGTGCTTCTCCCCAATGACGGCAGTCATTTACGATGACGCAGCACGTGAATAACCATTTCCATCCCGGTATCTAGCTTCTCCGTGTTTTTCCCTCCCGTTGTAGTGTCTTTTGCTATTGTTCAATCCCACGTTCTTACCGCCATGATCATATTCAATTGATAAATTTCCGTCAATTTATGATATGTCATGCTTCATGTACTTGTATTCCCCCAGCTTCATGCACGGTATTCCATACACATTCAACCAACAAGCCCACGCCATCTGACTTATTTATTTGTTCGCTTCAGGACCAGAATCTGTTCGTCTCTTAAGTACATGATATTTGGCTGATTCACCTCGAACCAGACACAGTCATGTCTCGATGGGCTGGAAAACCTCGACTCGGTCAGTGCCACCAATGTCGGTGCGGAAGGACACGTATACTACCTGTGTCTTCCGTACTAGCAAGTTTGATAACGTAAGTAATTGTAATTTGACATCACCCCATGCCCAGTCCAAGATGTAAGTGCCTTTGATACACGTTTGCGCACTGCGGATGCACACGAGACGCATTGTGGCACGTTTCACCTTAGCAAACACTGCAGAAGATGCAGCTGCTCACCAGAATCTCGTGTAGTCGGTGTAACACAGCAACGTGCAACACTTCCTGTGAGTCGGGTTCGAAATAGACAGGCTGGAGGGAAAACGTGAAGACTTGCAACGGAGATGGCTCGTCCAACAAGTCACAACTCTCAAGATAGAACATGATATAAAAAGACGCACGTGACGCCAATCGCCGTCCTCGGCATTCATCATCTGCACAGCAAGTACTGTGAACAGGACACATAGATATCGCATGGAATAACCGCCTTAACAGATGACTTATACAAACCCCCCGTCGACTCCAAATCAAACATCCGCTGTCTCAGATATCACCTGCCCCTCACGCTCTTGCCTATTGCGTGGAGTGAATCTGAAGGGCAACACTGTTGCAAGCGGAAGCAGTGACGGGACAGTGAGGTTGTGGGACGTCGAAACCGGGAAGGTCATCTCCAAATAGATAGGACACACTGGTTGGGTGCAATTAAGTGTGCTGGAGTCCGGATGGTGAGCGAGTGGCGAGTGGATCCCGAGACGGGACGGTAAGAGTGTGGGATGTCGATGAGCGGCAAACTCGTCTTGGGTATCAAGACAGGGCACAAGTCGGTGCACGCGGTGAGCTACTCGCCCAACGCAACAATTATTGCTACAGGTGGATACAACGATAATGGAATCAAAATCTGGGATGCAAATACGGGCGACCTACTCTCTATGATCATTGATCAAAGACGAATTCAATGCGTTTTGCAGCTTGATCTGGACGTCTGATGAAAAGAAGCTTATCTCGGCGTCAGGGGATGGCTTGATTGGGATATTCGACACTGCCACATGGCAGCAGATCACTGTTCTGCAGGGTCATCGTCTTGCTGCTATTGCCATCACTTTGTCTCGGAATGCCTCCTTGCGAGTATAGGATGGGATCAAACAGCACGTCTGTGGAATTTGGACACGGAACTCCCAGTCGGACCACCCCTCAAGCACAAAGATTACTTGTCCAGTGCAGCCTTTTCCGCTCATGGAAAGCTGCTAGCCACAGCTTGCGATAACAACAACGCATACGTGTGGTACATTCACGCCCTCCTCAAAGGGGCTGGTCTCGAAGACCTCCTGCCCACACCTGATGTGCATGTCAGTGTCAACATATTAATACCCGTTCCATCTCGCTAACAATGACCTCTGTTACTATTAGGCACCAAAAGACCAACAGAATGTATGCACCTCACCTCATGGCTCTTCAAGCATAGACCACATATCACAATTATCGCAGGATGTAGCTGACCAGTCATTTTTGGACGTACGTGAACCTTTTCATTGAATGATTACATACCACGTTAACATTTCAGGCTGATGCTACAAGAGATCTCAACGAGCTCGGGGATGCCGATGAACTCCCACCAGGCTTTTTTGACAGCACGCAAGACCACGTTCATGTGCGTCATCAATTTTTCTATTAATCAACTCTTGTCAAGACCTCTGTGCTCTCAGTACTCTGCCACACATGGTGCCCGTCCTCAACCGCTCTCTACCCATCAACAATGAAGCAACTGAACTTCAGCAACCCCCAGTGCCTTCAGAGACACGTTCACATACCCTCCTCGGTCGCTTGTCCTCCCTCCTTTGCTCTCGACTCGACACTGACGAAGCAACCTCACCTCAACAAATCCCAACGCCTTCGGGTTCACGTCGAGATGCAATCATCGGTCACCTGTCTTCACTCCTTCGCTCGTCTCCGAATACCAATGAAGCGCAACCACCGAGGCCGCCGGAGTCATGTTCCAGACACACTCCTCTTCGGTCACCTGTTTGTACTCCCTCGCTCTCAACCGACCACTGATGAAACAACCGAAATTCAGCAACACTCGAGGCCGTCGAGGTCACCAGATGCAGTTGTCGGTCGCTTGTTCTCACCCTTTCGTTCTCCACCCGACACCAATGAAGTAGTCGAATTCCAGCAATGTTCGAAGCAGACCGCCCGTTGCAGTCGTCATGTTGTTGAAGTTGCTGCAATACGAGACAAGCAGGTATGTCCTGCCTAGTGTGCATTAATTGCTGAGGTCTGATCACTTTTGTACAGGCATTGCTATGTTGCTCGGCGACCGGAAACAGCTAGTGAAAAGGCTAGACGCATCAAGAACCCTAAACCACGGGTTCGTGTGGTGTTGTTTTTGTGCTGTGCATCTCCTGGTACAGACGACGCTCGTCCCAGCTCATAGACTATTATTTTCAGCTCGGTATCTTTATCACGTTGTAGGTATCTTTCGCTACCCTATGAATAAGATTAGGATCTGCCTCCAAAAAATATCCACAATGACATTCGGAATCTGGGCGAGCATGCTCGGATCCAGTTGTTCAGCTGCTCGCATCGCCTTGCGCCTCTTTTACCGCCTTTCTTGAGAATGTCAACCTGTTTGTGAGCTCGTTTACGTTCAGCTTCTGGCGTCGACCTCTCTCCCATGTAGCTTGAAGTACGGCAGGCATTCCCTTTCCTGCGCTCTGAAAATCGATTCAGATAATTGCACGACACGAAATGACACATGCATCGCTCAAGAAACCGTTTAATTCCTCGCAGTCGTCGAGGTGGTCGTTGCCGCCAGCTATATCACCATGCATATAATGTAGTACAACCTATGACGAGGGCTGCTGGTAAGATGTGAGGCTTTCCTCCACCAGTCCGCCGTTCCCGCTGCGCGTTTTAGACATCAAATCTAGCGAAGGAGAGGTGACTCAAGAATAACGCGCAATAGGTAAACTGTGTAAGGGGATCGTCTGGACGCGTTCTTAGGGTAGAGGGTTATTTACTACAACGGGAAAAAGAGAATAGGCTGGGCCACGATGGGTTCAACTTTACAGCTGTGCACGCAGCATAGTGGCGCGTCATAGTCGCGTCATACTTACCATGGGATGGATTGGGGTTTGATGCTGGGGTTTCCCACTGCTTAAGTTTGTGCATCAGGACACTATTGGCATGCTGATATGACACAGCCGGTTTGCTAGCGGATTAGCGGATGGCACTTTCTGCATAACTCGACGTTCTGGACTACAACTTGCAAGACGTCATGCACCCAACGTTCGCCACTGAGGTCATCAAGACGCGCAAGTATCCACCTAAAATGAAATAATAGGGAGCATGTAGTAAATACAAGGATTCTGGTGTATAAACAACTTCACTACGATCCCTCCTTACCGCTGCTTAGACTTCTGAAGAACTCGGCATAGGCATGGTCTACATCAAATAAGAGCTACAACAATACCAGCATGAAGCGCATGTATTCGGCAAGTATCGTAAACGAGCTTACCTGCCGGGATTGTTCTTCAGTAATTTCTTCAGATGCCTTCATGCTGTTCAAAGTAATGAGCCTGAGGCATCCAATGTGAGCACGAGACACTAAATGAAGCAGTTAGCAAGAATGGACGCACCAGCTGACCATCTTCCCCCGTCCCTCCCAGTCCTTGCTCCCCTTAAATCTAGCGTATCCTGTCACAAGCTCCTGCAAGATCGGGTGCAGCTGGTCCTTTGCACGTAGCCGGAGCTTCAGCGCATCCATAAAGGTAATGAAATTCTGTGTTGCTGGTTAGACGTTGAAAAACTCCAATAAAATACATACCTGTGTCGTCTCCGCGATCCACTTCCCAGTCTCAGGTCCCGCCTCACTAGAGTGTTCAACAGTCGCGGGTACGCCAACTCGTATGCGATGTAACGCTGCAGGATTATCCATCCGATATCGCGCCATGAATTGGTCGATGGAAGGAACGGAGTCCTTGACGAGCTTGAGCATGGTCATATATTGCGAGAGAAGACGCGTGCATGCGGGAGAGTATCTCTTCCAGTATAAAGATTCCTAAGTCTATGCGGTGAATTCAAAGTGGATTCAACGTACTGTGCTGCGGTAATGGCATCACGAACGTAAGCGCGCTCAAGATAGTCGAGTGCGACGATGATCCCATACAAGGTACCAAGAAGATTATATTTCTCTCGCTCGGCATTGTTTGTGTATAGTCGAACCTCTTCGTCAAGCGAAAGAGTGGCCATCCTGCCAGTTGCTGGTCGAAGCTAAGCTTGAGATTGGGTTGTTTGGCACTATTTTGAAAAACAGAAACCTTCAGGGGGCCGGACCGTGCAGGTTAGCTAGGCAGTACTTACTTTATAAATTTAAGCCTTCGCCATGGTCACATTTGGACGTTGCACCTGGTGCGGCATCATCCTCTTGGGGCAAGTTCTTCGCAGTTCCACACGCTCGACTCCTCAGGCTGCCGCAGCCGCAACCAATCTCTTCCGCAGTCGCGCTTTCCACCATAAAAACGTAGTATTGAGCTTGAGTTCCAAAACATCACTATCCATGTCTAAGCCTGACCTGATATCTTGGACGCAATCTCGCCTTGGCGCCCTCTACGAAGCGCATGAGGACGATGCATTTGCCAGTGCCTTCGATGCTGTTTTCGCATCCTCTTGCGAGGTTCGCGTGAACCATATACCTTCCACTCTTGATGCTTTCAAAGACAGCGTCTCGTCGCGTAGAGCTGCCAGTAGAGGAGTCACACTCTCTTGGGAGAATGTGATCACCACAGGTGACAGTCCAGACGAAGTGAGGCCCCATGCCCAACCATATGCATAGCCATTCACCTATTGACAGCCCTCAGTGGTTGCCGGAACGTTGATCATTACTCGTAGTATGATGTTCCGCATTCGCGCTGCTCCCGCTCAACGTCTGACTCAGATCCACTTCAGTGCAAGGTATGATATGGATCTCTTGTAATGCCGTTCTCCCTCAAATTTCAATCCCAGGGTGGAACAAGATTCTAGTGTTCAAGCGAATGAAGATGACAATCGCCGCATAACCTCTCTCTATCATACTTCAGTAGACAAGACGCCGCCGATTCACTTTGCAAGGCCTCATCCAGTTAACCAAGAGCGGGAGTGAATTTCATGACAACACGCATTGTAACGAGCCCTATCATATCGTGTAATAGTAGTACAATGACTTGCGAAACTTGTCATATAGCAAATTTAAAGCCGAGCCGCAGGATAGTCGGTGTATCCTTTCTTCTGCTGTTCATAAGGGATTTGTGCGCCGCCTCCGTAAAGGGTTTTCAGATCTAGCTTTGTATCTAATGGGATATCTTGCTCGATTCTCTTTGCAAGATCGGGGTGGCCAATCCAGAGGGTTCCGAATACTGCAGCGTCTATCTCCTTTGCAACAATGAGTTGATTGGCTTCTTCAGGGGTGAGATCGCCATTGAGTAATAGAGCTGATTTCTTGATGCATGGGCGATATGTCTTCAGCACGTCATGCTTCGTAGCACGGTGATTTCCTGCGGAACAAAATAATTGGAGAAAGATGTACGACGTGCACCATCATACCATCGAATTCTGGGTCCATTGCTGGAATATGGCGTATTAGGGAAATATACCCAAGGTCGAGAAGATCGGCTTGGCTGATGAAGTATCGGAAAGTGTCAATATTCTCCTGCAAGGGCATCCTGCTCGAAATAAGCGCCTAGTATAATGGAAAATACTGTCGTTAAACCTACCCCATGTCGTTATATCCACCGGCTGGGCTCAAGCGAACTGCGACTCTCTTACTGCCCCAGATGGACACGAGCTCCTTTAAAATTTCGAGGCCAAAGCGGGCACGATTCTCGATGGAACCGCCGTATGCGTCAGTCCGCTTGTTCGACGTAGAGTCCAAGAACTGATGGACGAGGTACCCATTTGCGCCATGGACTGCAGAAGTACAATGAAGATAGTTTCTGGGAGGACGTGAGCTGCTCACGTTCGACGCCATCAAAGCCTGCCTCCTTAGCATTTATAGCAGCTTGTTTGTACAAGTCGATGAGAATACGAGGATCTTCGATCGCGACGGGCTAAAAGTGATTTTGGTAAATATAAGAACAGAGCTGCAGTGCAGCATGCTACTTACCGTCACATATCCAGGATGACCAGGCAAAAACCTGAACTTTCCCCCGCGGGCTGCGATGTCAGAGGGCGCGTAAACCGGCTTCGGTTACAGATCAGTACGACTCGCGGCAGGCACCAACAAGCGCCGACAGCCTACCATTCCCGAAGCCTTTTGTTCAGGGGCATCTGGATGACTGGCGCGGCCCACTGTACGGCGGAAGAAGAGTGTGATGAGTTACTCTACGCAACGAAAGTGTAAACTCACGATGCCATATCTATAGTGTATGGTCTTGTATTAGCTCGTGAAGAAGGCTAGGGAAGAGATCGTACCTGATTAAATATCACGCCTCCTTCTGCGTGCACGGCATCGGTTATCCTTTTCCAGGCAGAAACCTGGTCCTGATTCCATATTCCAGGTGCATTCTGCCACTCAGTCCTGCATAATTGAATCAGATTTGGGCGCTCGTTACAAATTGAACAACGTGCCCTTGTTGGCAGATCAATGTTCCCTCTGTTGTAATCAGCCCTGCACCGCCGCGAGCACGTTGGACGTAGTATTCGAGGTTGATGTCGTTTGGAACGTTGGTAGGTACAGAGCGAGAGCGCGTTAGCGCTGCCATTGCGACTCTATTGCGCAATGTGAGCGGTCCTATGGTGAGGGGTTCCAGGAGCTTGGTGAATTTGGAAGCCATCAGAGCAGTATCTGTCGATGTAGTGCGTTAGAAAGTAGATCTCAAGTAGTTGAACCTGAGTAAGGAGCAACTGTCTTCCTTCTTTTATGGCTAGAGACCAGTTACCATGGCGTTCAGCTGCAGATCCGTTTAGAACGTATCTGCTAAGCGCCATAAGTCACTGGGTGGAACAACCAAGGTATATATAATGCGGCCCGGAGTCTGGAAAGCCTTCGGGGTTACCCTCACTATTGCACCGCTCTCGCCTCGACACTGGTACTGACGAAGTAACTGAACTTCAATAATCCCCAATACCTTCGGGTTCACGTCCGGATGCACTTCGTAGTCGCCTGTCCTCACCCTTCCGCTTTAAACCCAACACCAATGAAGAAATCGAACTCCAGCAATACTAAGGGCGAACCACCACCTCTCATTCCAGTCCTCATGTCGTCAACGTTGCTGCAATACGGGACAAGCAGGTATGTCTTTCTTGTGAATGTGTCCAATCGCGAGGGTCTAATGATGTGCCGACGAAGATCATACGCGAGTCAAAATGTGCTCGCAGCGCACTGAAGAGCTGGAGAGCAGAGTATCCATAGGTGATAGCAGCAAATGCTCGACGTTGGGGTATGGATACTGTATGGTTTTTGACGTTGACATGCGACTGTGGAGGGAGTAAGCATGTTCGGTCATGTGGTCAATGCTGGGAAGTGCGCTGCTGAGTCTGACGAATCGTTGTCGGGGCCGTCAGTATCAGTGGTCATGTCGCCTTCTGACTCAGACGTTTCTGCGACAGATTGATCGCTCCTCGTGTTGTGAATTTTAGCCAGATGCCTTTCGAGGTGTTTGTAACCAAAAGCACTGGAACAATGTTGATGTGGGCCGTGCGCGTGATCTCTGTGACCCAGATGAATTACGTTGTGCGTTGTGAGGGCCTTTATCTGTGCATGATGTTAGAAATGAGAGAGAGAGAGAGAGAGAAATTCTATATTTATATACCGCAACAAACAAAGTGAGCTGTTAAGACGCGGTGCCCTGTTAGGGCTGTGCTGGGGAGTGTTGTAACAGGGTGAGGGATGTAGGTATAGTACGAATAGCCAAGCGGTCCGCGTTTGATGAGTTTTGGTGTGCGTGTGGGCTCGTTTGGTGTCCAGGCTTAGTATAATATGATACACTTTCTCTCCTTCCTCCTCCTTCTGATCTCTCCTCGTCTCCTCCTTCCCTCGTCACTTCCTTCTTTGCCCTTACTCAGGCTTCTGTCCCTCTCCTTTCTTCCCAGTCTCCTTCTCGTTCCAGTGCGACCTTCTTGAATGCGCTGGATTCTTGAATAAACTTCGCTAGTGCCTTTATGCCCTTCTCCGTACCCAAAATTTCGTTGAGTATGATGTTGTGTGATACCTCACGCAGATGGATGCGTTGTCGCGCAAATAGTGGGCAGTCACGTATGATATGTTCTCGTGTTTGACGTGGTTCTCCACATGGGCAGAGGGTGGGTTCGGTTGGAACGAATGCAGCGTAGTATTCTCCCATGAATCCGTGTCCTGTGCGGCATTGTATAAGACGGCCGTATACTTCTCGAGGAGTGTGAGTGAAATGTTGGCGGGGTTTGAGCGTTGGTGGGAGTCGATTTGCGAGAGCGAAGCGTCCAGTCTGTGCTGCCACGTCTCTATTCCAACTCTCTGTCCATTTCTGCAAGATCCCTTCCTTGTTTCTTCGGCGCGCATTTGCATAGGTCGAGTGGTACGAGTCGTTACGTCCGGTGGCTTCTTTTGCAAGCTCGTCGGCACATTCGTTGCCGATGATGTTGTGATGTCCTGGGATCCATGCAATTTGGACATGATGGAGGGGGGATGTGGTTAGGTAGTCTTCGATCGAGCGTCTGATCTGTAATGCAATGTATTGTGAGGGTCCGGGTGCAGCTGCATATGCAGCCTGCACCACAGAGTTGTTATCGACGTAGAAATGTAAATGGGTCACCTGGGAATTTTGCGCGAAGCTGATAGCTTGCGATATTGCTCGAAGGAGCGCTACCATCTCTGCATCATACACCTCTGCTTTGGGACCCATTCCTTCCTGACCCCAGAAGACTTCTCTTCCTCTGTGATAGCCGGCCCATCCTGCTCCAGCTCTTTCCTCCTCTCTGACTGATTGTTTCGATCCGTCTGAGTAAACGAGAAGGTGCGTGTCCTCCGTTCGTAGATTACGAGCGGTTTGTATGTGCGCTTTGGCGGCTTCTTTCTTGCCTCCTCTTTGCTTGTCCGAGATCGTTAGGCGGCCGCGGTACGTTTCCTTCGTGTTTGCCCAAGGTGGCAGCACAAATATGTTGATGCGTTCCGCGTTCGGGGATGCTCGTTTTGACAGACGGGTGAGTCTGGTCGATTTTGGTGGTTTGCGGCTGCGAGGACGGTATTTGTCGGTGGGAAGAGCGGGTGGGGGGTCAGCGAGGTTAAATTGTCGCCAGGGTTGATCAAGTCTCTGTAGGATTGGGTTGAACGAGGGGAGTTTGAGTAGTCGAGTGGCGGCGTTATCGTTTGCGTGTTCGAGGAAGAGGTTGATGGGGGGGATTGATGTCTCTATTTCTAGGGCCTTTATTGGGGTGGTTCGGAAAGTGGCACAGATATGTCTAAGGGATTTGTTTTGGACGCGGGTAAGCATGTTTGCATGGGTTTTCACGCCCGTCCACCAAACGGGGCTTGCGTATGTCATTACACTGCGGACACAAGCCGAGTATACAGTTCTCAATAGTGATTGCGAGAGACCTCTTACCGTATTTGCAAGCATTTGTAGTCCTTGGGCGATATTTTCCGCTTTGCCTGCCAGTTCACATACATTCCTGCGAAAAGAGAGTTTAGAGTCGAAATATATACCAAGCCATTTGATACAGTCACGGGGGTTAATTGTCACCTGTCCTTCGTCACTAGGCAGCAGGATAGGTGGTCGATCCGGTGCGCGACGCCATGTGAAATGGATGAGCTCAGATTTGTCAATTTCCGCCATCAGTCCAGCTTCGCGAAGCCAATTGTTCACAAAAATGAACTCCTCCCGGAGTATTGCGACATTGTTCTCCAAGGATGGAGAGGAGACATATAAGTTTCCGTCGTCGATGTAGCATGCTAATGTGGTCGGTGTGGCTTTGTCCGGGCGTAATTCACGAGCTCGAGTTTTCGCATTGTAGGCTTCGTTTAGTGGGCTTGTGCAGATAATCGAAAGGGCCGGTGATATTGGGGATCCTTGAGGTATACCGTTTTCGACTGGTTCCGATGGTGACAGTACTCCGTCCAGGCAGATTGCTGCTTGTCGTTCGCTGAGGAAGGATTTCACCCACTTTACCATAGGGAGCGGTAGGTGCTTTGTCCCGAAGTATTCGGAGTAGCCGTGTATGATTGACGAAGTCGAAGTATCCTTTGATGTCGAATGTGATGCACGACGTGACAAGTCCGTGATTACGGGCTGCTTCGATATCATGAACGAATGATAGGGCTGCGTCGACTGTGGAGCTTCCTGGGCGACCTCCGAACTGTGAAGAAGGTACCAGCAGATATTTTGCTGTGAGATATGCTAATCTACTTGCCTGTACGCTTTCGAGGACTTTTCCAAGACATTCCTCTAGCTGGATTAGTCTATAGGCTCTCGGGTTCGAATAGTCTGGTTTTCGGGGCTTGCGCAGGGCTACTGCGATTGTGCGTCGCCAGGCGATGGGATGGTAGCCTACATTTGCGCAGCGTGAGATTAGTAAGTAGATATATTCCGATGCAACCTCCCAGGCCCATCGGAGAGCCATGTAGTTGATTTGGCTGGGTCCAGGAGCTTTTTTGCGATTTGGTCGGTATATACCATTCTTCACTTCGGCATATGTTATGGGTTCCCATGGGATGTCATCCGGGAGGTCCTGTTCTAAATCTGGTGCAGCTAAGTCTAGATTCGGGGGCGGTTGGAACAGTTCACCTCGTAGTGTAGCACACTTTTCCTCATGTGTTATTGCCATGTTTTGACCGTTGTTTCGTCTGAGTGGTGGCGTGGGGTAGTTTCTTATCCCTTTGGGCCATCGAGTGAAATTCCAGACGTCATCGGGAGTGGCTTTTCCCAGAGTCTCGTTTGCCCACTGTCGTTTAGCAAGGCGTGTCTTCCGTTTGAACTGATTGCGTAGTTGGCGGATCTGTTGGATAAGGTCGTGGTCAGCAAAACCTGTATCGATGAGATGTTGTCTAGCCCTTTCACGAGTTTCTGCAATGCGGTTGAGTGATTGCGTGAGGTCGGGAGTCCACCATGGTTTCGCATGTGCACTAGATTTGCGGATGGGGACCGAGCTTTCTGTTGCTTGCACCAGTGCATCTTGTAGCGCTGTGGTAGCTCTTTCAATATCATCAATATTAGGAAGAGTTGAAACACGTAGCGGTATCCATGCGTCTTCTCTATCCGTCAATTCTCTCATGAACGCTCCTTTCCATGCTTTGATCGTGTCTTCATCGATATCTTTCCAATTGAATCGTTGAGCCGTGATATTCTCGATGGGGACACGTTCATGGTCTAGTGTCCATGTGAGCACTGCTGTGGTCTGATCCGTAGGCTTTACCGTAGTCGATTGACCAGTCCTTGATCGTGTCGAGTTCGTATGCTCTGTCGTTGATGAATGTTAGGTCCAAGACCGACGAGGATTCACCGTCGTGTGCGAAGTATGTTGTTGCCCCACGTTCGTTTAGCATGATGAAATCCCTGGTCAGTTAGCCAGTCAACGAAAGCTTCTGCACGAGGATTGGGGTTCTCAGCTGTGTTTGACCACATTGGGTGGTGTAGGTTCATATCTCCCAAGATGATGACCGGTATTCCGTTTGGTAGTTCGATGTTGAAAAGACGGTCTGCTGACCAGTTCAATGGATCCTCGCCTGCTTTCTGGTTGTACATATTTACAAGTATTGTAGGCGGATGTGTTCCTTGGTTGATCTGTAAAATTTGTATGTCAGCATCCATTGCGAGATCAGAACGAAGGGTAACCGTGAAGTCAGGTCTGTTTTTGATGTATGCCATGACTCGAGGAATGACATTCGGGGGAACAGACGGTAATGGTAGGATTGGTTGCCATCCGGTTAACGACGCTGGGCCCTTTGTGTTATTTCCGATGTCACCATACCATGGTTCCGTTATGAGCAGGATGTCATAATCACGGACTGGCGTTGTTG